TTTGGTGGCATGGGCCCCTTGGTGAGGGCCTTACATGCTAATTGCACTTCCTCCTTTCTCCACTGTGGAATATCAGAGCTAATTTTGGTTGTGTTAGGAGTCTAGTTACAGGCTGCTGAGCTCACTTTGGACTAATGGTGCACCAGCACTGAGGCTCCCCTACTACAAGCTGAATTCACCAAAGACCTGAACTGACTAAAAGCTGAAATCACTGAGTGTTGTGTTAAGTAGTGGGGGAGCCTGAAGATATATTGTGGAGCAATTTGTGGGATGGTGGGAGCTGCTTGTGGGACGTAGAGCAGAGCAGTGCGTGGATGGGCTGGTGGAGCCGTTTGTGGGATGGTGGGAGCTGCTTGTGGGATGCAGAGCTAGTGGAGCGGAGCCCTATGGAGCTGTGGGGCGGTCAGCTTCAGATCATGTAATGTGCCCCTTACCTCTCTTCCCACCCCTGCCCCGATCTCCACCCAGGTTGGGAGGTAAAGCTCTGTGGATAAACTTTCAAACTCTGGGGCTGCCCTGACCAGGGACAGAGACTTTTGGGTCATTGGACTTTTGGAACTTTGGGTGATTTGGGGTTGCTGGACTCAAGAACCAAAGGGAAAGGACACGACCCAATTTGCTTGGGGTGGGTTTTCGCTCATGGGTTGTGTTGTGAATCCTGTTGGTGGTGTTTCCCCAACATAATGCCACATTGTTTCTCTCTGTTACTAAAAGGCTTTTTGCCACACTCAGACTCTGTGCTTGCAAGAGAGGAAGTATTGCCTCTTGGAGGCGCCCAGCGGGGGTGGTATATATTTGTCCCAGGTCACTGGGTGGGGGCTCGAGCCAGTTTTGCATTGTGTTATAGGAATGGATCCCCTAGATATTGAACCCGGCCCTTGTTGCTGCCAACTCTGACGGGCAGAAAGGTTACATAAGAAAATCCCAATAAATGAATAATAGCTACGCTAGAGACTGAGGCAGGTACAAAAATCAATCAAAAGTTCTAAAGCGATAGAGTAAAACACAGTGATTCAGTTAGTGGTCTATTAAACTGCCCTTATAACCACAGGAATAAAGCTGTGGCATAGCTTATGTTATCCTCAGGATCCAGCTACTGCTGGCTTTGTGCTCAGTTATTGCTCCTAGGGGGCACCTCATTTAGTGTCTCTATCCACAGTGAACAGTTTCCTGTCCTTGAGGCAGTTTGCAATCCATTTCAACAGCTCTCTTCTAATAGGCTCAGTGTTTTTGTAGGGCAGATCGATTGTTTGTGTGCTGGGGTACCAACAGCTTTTATGAGAGACAACTATAGCATCGTGTTTCCACTGCTCTCATTAGGAGCACATCGCAGTTTGTCTAAAAAGTGAACATGAGAAGATGTGGAGGGGTCTAGCCTAAGAGCCTGCCTATGCATACCCAGTTCAACAATTTAACCATGCCAGTTGTGTAGCATCCCTCCTAGTCTGGGCTCGGTTATACTGGAACAAAAGTGCTTATACTGGCATAGCTTATTGCTGTTTGGGGAGGGAAATAAATTACACTTGTAGATGGCACCCTTATAGCAGTACAATTCATCCATACTAGGGCTTATACCTGTATAACTATACCAGTAAAAAGTCACGCTTCTAACCAAAATAGCTGTGTGTCTGGGTGAGTTATTTTCTTACAAGTCAGATTTCCTGGTTTCCACAGGGGCAAATTGCTTCCAAATTCCTGCTAAGCTCTACCTTGCTAATATTTAACTTGTCGTTCCTTCTATAACAGTTGATGGGTTCGGAGAGGCCTCCCCTCAGGAGCAGAAGTTTCCTTTGCCCCTCAAGTTTTTTGTCAAGGTCCCCCTTGCAGGCTTCTAGAGGGCCTGCTCCAGCCACCTGCCTAGGCAGATCATTCCTTTGCCTAATTGCCCTCTCTCTTGGGAGAGAGGGGGAATGCATTTCAAATGTATGCATGTAGTATTTCAAGTGATTACACCTTGTTCCACTATGTCAAACCCTGTAAATAATAGCTGTTGCTTTATATTTTTACTTTAGAAATGTACAGAACAGTAACTGTAAAATGCCAATCACATTGCTGATTACTAAAAAGAACAGGAGGACTTGTGGCACCTTAGAGACTAACCCGTTTATCTGAGCAGAAGCTTCCGTGAGCTACAGCTCCCTTTGTCGGACGCGCTGCTGATTACTGTTACATTATGTGTATTGTTGTTGCACTAGGTGCAGTACAAAGGTAAAGAAAACACAGTCCCTGCCCCAAAGAGTTTAAAATCTAAAAATAGTAACTGGGCACCAGTACATGAACTAAAAGGTATATTGTTAGTCTCTAAGGTGCCCCAAGTACTCCTGCTCTTTTTATAAAAGAGGAGGAGCCATTTCTCCACCCCAGGTTTGAAGGCTGCTATTTATGAGTAGTTGGATCTGGGCTACTCCAAATCGTACTGCTGGGGCTACTCTGCAGCTGGGCTATTAGAAGAATGCCTGTCTGATATACAAATACCGTAGGAACATAGGAATGGCCAGACTGGTTCAGGCCACTGGTCCCTCTAACCCAGTGTCTTGTCTGAGACAGTGACTACCACCAGTTGCTTCAGGGAAAGGTGCAAGTGAACCCCCATAATAGATGGGGTTCAGAAGGAGTGGGGAGAGATTGCACACCAAAGGGGGAGGTTATGTAGGGTGCAATGAAAGGGGAGATCATGCTGGTGGCCTGGACACTGCGCGATGACTAAGGAATGGGAGGTGGGGATGGGAGGGTAAGGAGGGAAGCAGAGACCTTGGGGGATGGAAGGACAGAAAAAAGGAAAGTGAAGGGCACAGAGACTCCCAACACCTCATTATTTCTGCACCTTCTCTCTCTCAGTAGCATTTCTCATCCATAAGCCCCCGTGGCCTCTCTGGCAGACTTGCCATGGTCTATTTGTCTAGCCAGTTCAGTGGCCATCTCCGCTGTGTGTGAGCTACCCCATAGTATTCCAAGGAGCTGGCTGGGGCAGTCACGGGGTCATTCCTTTTGGGATGTGGATTCATCCCCCTTCTCCTAGACAAACAAGCTTGGTTTCAGAAGCTTCCCTGAACTGAGAAGCTCTGTCTACACTGGTTTTAAGTCTGAAAAATGCCCCCCCCCACATACTAAAATTAGAGTAGTTCTGGCAGTGATAGCAGCGGGGGGGGGCCCTAGTGCGGACAAGATGCTGGCGTTCTTACCCAAGCAGGGTTAGACAGCTCAGTGCTGGAAACACTGTGGGCCACCTAGAGCACCCCATTATTGCCCCCAAAAGCAGACCTGTACCAGTGCCAGTGCAAAATATTTCAGCTGAAAGCCTGGCATAGACCCAGGGCCATGCCTTGGCTCCCTCTAAAGCTTAGCTGTAGATCATCCTTTGCTCAACCTAGAATTAGCACGGAGAGACCTTGTCCCAGACAGAAGTGTGAAGATCTCATATGGGATTAATATGTCCTTTCGTGGCTGAAGTGTCACTGTCTCTTTTGGTCCTAAATTTAAAGGTACACCCCTCCCCCCTATTTTCCACTAATACCCTCTGAACAATCATTTCTATTCTAGGTCAAATATGAATTCTTTGAAGATGAAGCTCAATCTAGCAGTTGGGTGTATGCAGTTTCTGGGTGGGGTGAGAGTTCATGTGATCATCCTGATTACAGAAACTGCTACTGGGGGAGGAAGAGTTTATAATTTCTTGGGAATCTGTAGCGTTAGCATTGTCATATTTCTTAGATGTGCATCTAGAACATGCGGCCAGGTGTATTTTAAACAGCAAAATAAATAAAAAAGCATTTTGCTGCACTTAGTGCAGAAAAATGGCAAGACAGCCACATTTGGCCGTAGTATATTCATTGTACAATCTGCAATTTAAAATCAAGGGAGGAGACAAACAGGAAACCGCAGGGTGTTTTCCATCGATGGGGTAGATAGACCAGGCAGCAGAATGTGGAGTGGAAACATGCAGTTGATTTGGCCTTCAGGCGTAGGATGAAATTGTTATACTGGATTGTATCCAGACTGAGTTTATGGAGCTCTGTGTCAAATGCCGCTTACCAAAAGAAAAATAATCAAACAAAATAGGAGGTTGCCTTAGCTTTTCCTGCTCCTTTACAGGAGGCCCTTGCTAAGACTCGCCTTCGAGAATTGTACCTCCCTGGGGTGAGACAAAGACCATTTAAAGAGATATGACCAGTGGAGCTGCATACATGACATACTGCAGATCTAAAGGCTTAGTGTGACAGTATGTAAGAGCCACAGCCACCCTCAATTCCTGTCCTACTGCCATGCTCTGAGTGTCTCACTCATTTTCTATCCTGAACTGGAAATAGGAAGCAAATTTTGAAGTGAGGATGAATAACAACCAGAACACAAATGGTAAATTCTCCATCCTATAGAGTCTTTAAATCCGGATGTTGGTGTTTGTTTATAAAGATCTGCGCAAGCCCACCCACACATTACTGGATTCAGTGCAAGAATCCCTGGGTGGAATTCTCTGGCCTGTCCTAGCAGATGGTGAGACTAGATTGTAGCTTCTGGCCAGGCACTCAAATGTATGAATTTTTCCCCCTCTGCTGCAAAGCCAAAGCAAACTGCCCTTTTTGAAGGCTTCCTTTCAATGGATTTTGTTTTTGATGCCAAACCTAGGCACAATGCAAAATAGAACTCAAAACAAGCAGTACACCTATACTTTTGTTTCTAGAGAGACTAATCTATTTCAAGAGTGAAGCTGAGTGCAGGCTGAGTTGAGCAAGTGAAACTTGTGGTCGGATTGCACTCTTAACTGGGTGGTCATAGGGGCACTGATGGAATTGCTTCACTCCAAATACCACAGCCAGAAGCTCCTTTTCCATTTGGGCATTACCCCTGTTCAATCTCTGAAGGTCTCTGCTGAGATAACTGACCAGCTGCTCCTGCAAAAGAAATACAGCCAATCCTTTCTCTGATGCATCCCATTGGAGAATCAGTGGCTCTCCTGATTGATAGTACTTCACAACAGAGGCATCTGTTATCATTTGTTTCAGTATGTCAAATGTTTGCTGTTGGGAACCTGCCTAGTCCCACTCAACATCCTGCTTTGAGAGTCAATGTATGGGTTCACTGGAGCCAGGTGTGAACAGAAAACCTATCATTCCTATGAAGAGCTGTATACTTTTTGATCCACTGAAGCTGGCATGTCTCTGACTGCTTTGATCTTGTTGGGATTTGTATTCAGTCCCGCCACGGTGAGCAAAGTCCAATGTATGTCACTGCATGCTGTTTGAGTTTTATGATCTTGTCCCTGCATTGCAGTAGAGAAGCTTGTAGCTTTCTGTCATGGTCTTTTTCAGCTTCTTTATCATTACTCCCTTTACCTAGAGTGAGGATATCTGCAATTATTTTCACCCCAAGCAGCCCTTCTAGCGTTTGGGTGAGATAATCTAGTCTGACCTCCTGTATAACACAGGCCATAAAACTTCTCCAGAATTATTTCTAGGGCAGCTTTTAGAACAACATGCAATCTTGATTTTAAAATTGTCAGTGATGGAGGATCCACCACAATCATTGGTAAATTGTTCCAGTGGTTAATTACTCTCACCATTAAAAATGTACACCTTATTTCCCAGCTGAATTTCGTAGCTTCAGCTTCTAGCCACTGGATTATGTGATACCTTTCCCTACTAGACCGAAGAGCCCATTATTAAATATTTATGAACTTTAGTAATGTCACCTCTTTACCTTCTCCTTGGTAAGCTAAATAGATAGACCCAAAGAGCTTAAAGAGAAGGAGTACTAGTGGCACCTTAGAAACTAACTAATTTATTTGAGCATAAGCTTTCATGAGCTACAGCTCACTTCATCGGATGCATTCAGTGGAAAATACAATGAGGAGATTTATATACACACAGAACATGAAAAAATGGGTGTTTATCATGCACACTGTAAGGAGAGTGATCACTTAAGATGAGCTATTGCCAGCAGGAGAGCGGGGGAGGGGGAAGCGGAGGAGAACCTTTTGTAGTGATAATCAAGGTGGGCCATTTCCAGCAGTTAACAAGAACGTCTGAGGAGCAGTGGGGAGTGGGGAAATAAACATGGGGAAATAGTTTTACTTTGTGTAATGACACATCCACTCCCAGTCTCTATTCAAGCCTAAGTTAATTGTATCCAGTTTGCAAATTAATTCCAATTCAGCAGTCTCTCATTGGAGTCTGTTTTTGAAGTCTTTTTGTTGTAATATTGTGGCCTTTAGGTCTGTAATTGAGTGACCAGAGAGATTGAAGTGTTCTCCAATTGGTTTATGAATGTTATAATTCTTAACATCTGATTTGTGTCCATTTATTCTTTTACATAGAGACTGTCCAGTTTGACCAATGTACATGGCAGAGGGGCATTGCTGGCACATGATGGCATATATCACATTGGTAGATGTGCAGGTGAACGAGCCTCTGATAGTGTGGCTGATGTGATTAGGCCCTATGATGGTGTCCCCTGAATAGATATGTGGACACAGTTGGCAACAAGCTTTGTTGCAAGCATAGGTTCCTGGGTTAGTGGTTCTGTTGTGTGGTTGCTAGTGAGTATTTGCTTCAGGTTGAGGGGCTGTCTGTAGGCAAGGACTGGCCTGTCTCCCAAGATCTGTGAGAGTGTTGGGTCGTCCTTCAGGATAGGTTGTAGATCCTTGATGATGCGTTGGAGAGGTTTTAGTTGGGGGCTGAAGGTGATGGCTAGTGGCGTTCCGTTATTATCTTTGTTGGGCCTGTCCTGTAGTAGGTGACTTCTGGGTACTCTTCTGGCTCTTTCAATTTGTTTCTTCACTTCAGCAGGTGGGTATTGTAGTTGTAAAAATGCTTGATAGAGATCTTGTAGGTGTTTGTCTCTGTCTGAGGGGTTGGAGGAAATGCGGTTGTATCGTAGAGCTTGGCTGTAGATGATGGATCGTGTGGTGTGGTCTGGGTGAAAGCTGGAGGCATGTAGGTAGGCATAGCAGTCAGTAGGTTTCTGGTATAGGGTGGTGTTTATGTGACTATCGCTTATTATCACTGTAGTGTCCAGGAAGTGGATCTCTTGCGTGGACTGGTCCAGGCTGAGGTTGATGGTGGTATGGAAATTGTTGAAATCATGGTGGAATTCCTCAAGGGCTTCTTTTCCATGGGTCCAGATGATGAAGATGTCATCAATATAGCGCAAGTAGAGTAGGGGCGTTAGGGGACGAGAGCTGAGGAGGCGTTGTTCTAAGTCAGCCATAAAAATGTTGGCATACTGTGGGGCCATGTGGATACCCACAGCAGTGCCGCTGATCTGAAGATATACATTGTCCCCAAATGTGAAATAGTTATGGGTAAAGACAAAGTCACAAAGTTCAGCCACCAGGTTTGCTGTGACATTATCAGGGATACTGTTCTTGACGGCTTGTAGTCCATCTTTGTGTGGAGTGTTGGTGTAGAGGGCTTCTACATCCATAGTGGCCAGGATGGTGTATTCAGGAAGATCACCGATGGACTGTAGTTGGGGGAGGGATAGCTCAGTGGTTTGAGCATTGGCCTGCTAAACCCAGCGTTGTGAGTTCAATCCTTGAGGAGTCCATTTAGGGATCTGGGGCAAAAATTGGGGATTGGTCCTGCTTTGAGCAGGGGGTTGGACTAGATGACCTCCTGAGGTCCCTTCCAACCCTGACATTCTAGGATTCCTCAGGAAGTCAGTGGTGTCTCGAAGATAGCTGGGAGTGCTGGTAGCATAGGGCCTGAGGAGGGAGTCTACATAGCCAGACAATCCTGCTGTCAGGGTGCCAATGCCTGAGATGATGGGGCATCCGGGATTTCCAGGTTTATGGATCTTGAGTAGCAGATAGAATGCCTCCAGTCGGGGTTCCAGGGGTGTGTCTGTACAGATTTGTTCTTGTGCTTTTTCAGGGAGTTTCTTGAGCAAATGCTGTAGTTTCTCTTGGTAACTCTCAGTGGGATCAGAGGGTAATAGCTTGTAGAAAGTGGTGTTGGAGAGCTGCCAAGCAGCTTCTTGTTCATAGTCCGACCTATTCATGATGATAACAGCACCTCCTTTGTCAGCCTTTTTGATTATGATGTCAGAGTTGTTTCTGAGGCTGTGGATGGCATTGTGTTCTGCACGGCTGAGGTTATGGGGCAAGTGATGCTGCTTTTCCACAATTTCAGCCCGTGCACGTCGGTGGAAGCACTCTATGTAGAAGTCCAGTCTGTTGTTTCGACCTTCAGGAGGAGTCCACCTAGAATCCTTGTTTTTGTAGTGTTGGTAGGAAGGTCTCTGTGGATTAGTATGTTGTTCAGAGGTGTGTTGGAAATATTCCTTGAGTCGGAGACGTCAAAAATAGAATTCTAGGTCACCACAGAACTGTATCATGTTCGTGCACAAGAACAAATCTGTACAGACACACCCCTGGAACCCCGACCGGAGGCATTCTGTCTGCTACCCAAGATCCATAAGCCTGGAAATCCTGGACGCCCCATTCTCTCAGGCATTGGCACCCTGACAGCAGGATTGTCTGGCTATGTAGACTCCCTCCTCAGGCCCTACACTACCAGCACTCCCAGTTATCTTCGAGACACCACTGACTACCTGAGGAAACTACAATCCATCGGAGATCTTCCTGAATACACCATCCTGGCCACTATGGATGTAGAAGCCCTCTACACCAACACTCCACACAAAGATGGACTACAAGCCATCAGGAACAGTATCCCCGATAATGTCACGGCAAACCTGGTGGCTGAACTTTGTGACTTTGCCCTCACCCATAACTATTTCACATTTGGGGACAATGTATAACTTCAGATCAGCGGCACTGCTATGGGTACCCGCATGGCCCCACAGTATGCCAACATTTTTATGGCTGACTTAGAACAACGCCTCCTCAGCTCTCGTCCCCTAATGCCCCTACTCTACTTGCGCTATATTGATGACATCTTCATCATCTGGACCCATGGAAAAGAAGCCCTTGAGGAATTCCACCATGATTTCAACAATTTCCATACCACCATCAACCTCAGCCTGAACCAGTCCACGCAAGAGATCCACTTCCTGGACACTACAGTGATAATAAGCGATAGTCACATAAACACCACCCTATACCAGAAACCTACTGACTGCTATGCCTACCTACATGCCTCCAGCTTTCACCCAGACCACACCACACGATCCATCATCTACAGCCAAGCTCTACGATACAACCGCATTTCCTCCAACCCCTCAGACAGAGACAAACACCTACAAGATCTCTATCAAGCATTTTTACAACTACAATACCCACCTGCTGAAGTGAAGAAACAAATTGAAAGAGCCAGAAGAGTACCCAGAAGTCACCTACTACAGGACAGGCCTAACAAAATAAATAACAGAACGCCACTAGCCGTCACCTTCAGCCCCCAACTAAAACCCCTCCAACGCATTATTAAGGATCTGCAACCTATCCTGAAGGATGACCCAACACACTCACAAATCTTGGAAGACAGGCCAATCCTTGCCTACAGACAGCCCCCCAACCTGAAGCAAATACTCACCAACAACCACATACCACACAACAGAACCACTAACCCAGGAACTTATCCTTCCAACAAAGCCCGTTGCCAACTGTGCCCACATATGTATTCAGGGGACACCATCACAGAGCCTAATCACATCAGCCACACTGTCAGAGGCTCGTTCACCTGCACATCCACCAATGTGATATATGCCATCATGTGCCAGCAATGCCCCTCTGCCATGTACATTGGTCAAACTGGACAGTCTCTACGTAAAAGAATAAATGGAACAAATCAGATGTCAAGAATTATAACATTCATAAACCAGTTGGAGAACACTTCAATCTCTCTGGTCACGGAATTACAGACATGAAGGTCGCTATCTTACAACAGAAAAACTTCAGATCCAGACTCCAGCAAGAAACTGCTGAATTGGAATTCATTTGCAAATTGGATACTATTAATTTAGGCTTAAATAGAGACTGGGAGTGGCTAAGGCATTATGCTCAAGGTAGCCTATTTCCCCTTGTTTTTTCCTACCCCTCGCCCCCCCCCCCCCAGACGTTCTGGTTAAACTTGGATTTATGCTGGAAGTGGCCCACCTTGATTATCATACACATTGTAAGGAGAGTTATCACTTTAGATAAGCTATTACCAGCAGGAGAGTGGGATGGGAGGAGGTATTGTTTCATGGTCTCTGTGTATATAATGTCTTCTGCAGTTTCCACAGTATGCATCTGATGAAGTGAGCTGTAGCTCACGAAAGCTTATGCTCAAATAAATTGGTTAGTCTCTAAGGTGCCACAAGTACTCCTTTTCTTTTTGTGAATACAGACTAACACGGCTGTTACTCTGAAACCTGTAATTACAGACCAGTAAGTCTAATGTCAGTACCGGGCAAATTATTTGAAACAATAGTAAAGAATAAAATTGTCAGACACATAAATTGTTGCGCAAAAGTCAACACGGTTTCTGTAAAGGGAGATTGTGTTTTACTAATCTATTAGAGTTCTCTGAGCGGGTCAACAAACATGTGGACGAGGGGGATCCAGTGGACATAGTGTCCTTAGATTTCCAGAAAGCCTTTGACAAGGTCCCTCACCAAAGGCTCTTACGTAAATTAAGTTGTCATGGGATAAGAGGGAAGATCCTTTTATGGATTGAGAACTGGTTAAAAGACAGGGAACAAAGGGTGGGAATAAATGGTAAATTTTCAGAATGGAGAGGATAACTAGTGATGTTCCCCAAGGGTCAGTCCTAGGACCAATCCTATTCAACCTGTTCATAAATGATCTGGAGAAAGGGGTAAACAGCAAGGTGGCAAAGTTTGCAGATGATACTAAACTGCTCAAGATAGTTAAGACCAAAGAAGACTGTGAAGAACTTCAAAAACATATCTCAAAACTAAGTGATTGAGCAACAAAATGGCAAATGAAATTTAATGTGGATAAATGTAAACTAATGCACATTGGAAAAAATAACCCCAACTGTACATACAGTATGATGGGGGCTAATTTAGCTACAACTAATCAGGAGAAAGATCTTGGAGTCATCGTGGATAGTTCTTTGAAGACGTCCACGCAGTGTGCAGCGGCAGTCAAAAAAGCAAACGGGATGTTAGGAATCATTAAAAAAGGAGTAAGACAGAGAATATCTTATTGCCCTTATATAAATCCATGGTACGCCCACATCTTGAATAGTGTGTACAGATGTGGTCCCCTCGTCTCAAAAAAGATATACTGGCATTAGAAAAGGTTCAGAAAAGGGCAGCTAAAATGATTGGGGATTTGGAACGGGTCCCATATGAGGAGAGATTAAAGAGGCTAGGACTTTTCAGCTTGGAAAAGAGCAGACTTGGCCCTGGTCTACACTAGGACTTTAGGTCAAATTTAGCAGTATTAAATCGATATAAACCTGCACCCGTCCACACGATGAAGCCCTTTATTTCGACTTAAAGGGCTCTTAAAATTGATTTCCTTACTCCACCCCGACAAGTGGATTAGCGCTTAAATCGGCCTTGCTGGGTCGAATTTGGGGTACTGTGGACACAATGCGACGGTATTGGCCTCCGGGAGCTATCTCAGAGTGCTCCATTGTGACCGCTCTGGACAGCACTCTCAACTCAGATGCAGTGGCCAGGTAGACAGGAAAAGAACCACGAACTTTTGAAACTCATTTCTTGTTTGGCCAGCGTGGCAAGCTGCAGGTGACCATGCAGAGCTCATCAGCAGAGGTGACCATGACGGAGTCCCAGAATCGCAAAAGAGCTCCAGCATGGACTGAACGGGAGGTACGGGATCTGATCGCTGTATGGTGAAAGGAATCCGTGCTATCAGAACTCCGTTCCAGTTTTCGAAATGCCAAAACCTTTGTCAAAATCTCCCAGGGCATGAAGGACAGAGGCCATAACAGGGACTCGAAGCAGTGCTGCATGAAACTTAAGGAGCTGAGGCAAGCCTACCAGAAAACCAGAGAGACGAACGGCCGCTCCGGGTCAGAGCCCCAAACATGCCGCTTCTATGATGAACTGCATGCCATTTTAGGGGGTTCAGCCACCACTACCCCAGCCATGTTGTTTGACTCCTTCAATGGAGATGGAGGCAACATGGAAGCAGGTTTTGGGGACGAAGAAGATGATGATGATGATGATGAGGTTGTAGATAGCTCACAGCAAGCAAGCGGAGAAACCGGTTTTCCCGACAGCCAGGAACTGTTTCTCACCCTGGACCTGGAGCCAGTACCCCCCGAACCCACCCAAGGCTGCCTCCTGGACCCGGCAGGCGGAGAAGGGACCTCCGGTGAGTGTACCTTTTAAAATACTATGCATGGTTTAAAAGCAAGCATGTGAAAGGAAAGGAGTACTTGTGGCACCTTAGAGACTAACCAATTTATTTGAGCATTTGCCCTGGCGTTCGCGGCTCTCCTGGATGTACTCCCAAAGCCTTTGCAAAAGGTTTCTGGGGAGGGCAGCCTTATTGTGTCCTCCATGGTAGGACACTTTACCACTCCAGGCCAGTAACACGTACTCGGGAATCATTGTACAACAAAGCATTGCAGTGTATGTTTGATGGCGTTCAAACAACATCCGTTCATTATCTCTCTGTGTTATCCTCAGGAGAGTGAGATATCATTCATGGTCACCAGGATGAAATAGGGTGCTTTTCTTCAGGGGACACTCAGAGGAGACCGTTCCTGCAGGGCTGTTTGCCTATGGCTGAACAGAAATGTTCCCCGCTGTTAGCTATGGGGAGGGGGGAGGGTTGAGGGGGTAGCCACGCGGTGGGGGGAGGCAAAATGCGACCTTGTAACGAAAGCACATGTGCTATGTATGTAATGTTAACAGCAAGGTTTACCCTGAAAGAGTGTAGCCACTGTTTTATAAAATGTGTCTTTTTAAATACCGCTGTCCTTTTTTTTTCTCCACCAGCTGCATGTGTTTCAATGTTCAGAGGATCTTCTCTTTCCCAGAGGCTAGTGAAGATTAGAAAGAAAAAAAACGCACTCGTGATAAAATGTTCTCTGAGCTCATGCTGTCCTCCCACACTGACAGAGCACAGACGAATGCGTGGAGGCAAATAATGTCAGAGTGCAGGAAAGCACAAAATGACCGGGAGGAGAGGTGGCGGGCTGAAGAGAGTAAGTGGCGGGCTGAAGACAGGGCTGAAGCTGAAAGGTGGTGGCAGCGTGATGAGAGGAGGCAGGATTCAATGCTGAGGCTGCTGGAGGATCAAACCAGTATGCTCCAGTGTATGGGTGAGCTGCAGCAAAGGCAGCTGGAGTACAGACTGCCACTACAGTCCCTGTGTAACCAACTGCCCTCCTCCCCAAGTTCCATAGCCTCCTCACCCAGATGCCCAAGAACGCGGTGGGGGGGGCCTCCGGCCAACCAGCCACTCCACCACAGAGGATTGCCCAAAAACTAGAAGGCTGGCATTCAATAAATTTTAAAGGTTAAAGTGCTGTGTGGCATTTTCCTTCCCTCCTCCACCACCCCTCCTTGGCTACCTTGGTAGTCATCCCCCTATTTGTGTGATGAATGAATAAAGAATGCATGAATGTGAAGCAACAATGACTTTATTGCCTCTGCAAGCGGTGATCGAAGGGAGGAGGGGAGGGTGGTTGGCTTACAGGGAAATAGAGTGAACCAAGGGGCGGGGGGTTTCATCAAGGAGAAACAAACAGAACTTTCACACCGTAGCCTGGCCAGTCATGAAACTGGTTTTCAAAGCTTCTCTGATGTGTACCGCGCCCTCCTGTGCTCTTCTAACCGCCCTGGTGTCTGGCTGCGCGTAACCAGCAGCCAGGCGATTTGCCTCAACCTCCCACCCCGCCATAAACGTCTCCCCCTTACTCTCACAGATATTGTGGAGCGCACAGCAAGCAGTAATGACAGTGGGAATATTGGTTTCGCTGAGGTCTAAGCGAGTCAGTAAACTGCGGCAGCGTGCTTTTAAACTTCCAAATGCACATTCTACCACCATTCTGCACTTGCTCAGCCTGTAGTTGAACAGCTCCTGACTACTGTCCAGGCTGCCTGTGTACAGCTTCATGAGCCATAGCATTAAGGGGTAGGCTGGGTCCCCAAGGATAACTATCAGCATTTCAACATCCCCAACGGTTATTTTCTGGTCTGGGAATAAAGTCCCTTCCTGCAGCTTTTGAAGCAGACCAGAGTTCCTGAAGATGCGAGCGTCATGTACCTTTCCCGGCCATCTCACGTTGATGTTGGTGAAACATCCCTTGTGATCCACCAGAGCTCACAGCACTATTGAAAAGTACCCCTTGTGGTTTATGTACTCGCTGGCTTGGTGCTCCGGTGCCAAGACAGGAATATGGGTTCCGTCTATGGCCCCACCACAGTTAGGGAATCCCATTGCAGCAAAGCCATCCACTGTTACCTGCACATTTCCCAGGGTCACTACCCTTGATATCAGCAGATCTTTGATTGCGTGGGCTACTTGCATCACAGCAGCCCCCACAGTAGATTTGCCCACTCCAAATTGATTCCCAGCTGACCGGTAGCTGTCTGGCGTTGCAAGCTTCCACAGAGCTATCGCCACTCGCTTCTCAGCTGTGAGGGCTGCTCTCATCTTGGTATTCATGCGCTTTCAGGGCAGGGGAAAGCAAGTCGCAAAGTTCCATGAAAGTGCCTTTACTCATGCAAAAGTTTCGCAGCCACTGGGAATCGTCCCAGAACTGCAACACTATGCGGTCCCACCAGTCTGTGCTTGTTTCCCGAGCCCAGAATCGGCGTTCCACAGCATGAACCTGCCCCATTAGCACCATGATGCATGCATTGGCAGGGCCCACGCTTTCAGAGAAATCTGTGTCCATGTCCTGATCACTCACGTGACCGCGCTGACGTCGCCTCCTCGCCCGGTATCGCTTTGCCAGGTTCTGGTGCTGCATATACTGCTGGATAATGCGTGTGGTGTTTAATGTGCTCCTAATTGCCAAAGTGAGCTGAGCGGCCTCCATGCTTGCCTTGGTATGGCGTCCGCACAGAAAAAAGGCGTGGAACGGTTGTCTGCCATTGCTCTGACGGAGGGAGGGGCAACTGATGACACGGCTTACAGGGTTGGCTTCAGGGAGCTAAAATCAACAAAGGGGGTGGCTTTACTTCAAGGAGTATTTCAGGCAGGACTTCACGGAGGGTTCCAATAAGAAATGGTGCACCTAAGCTATTGTTCTTATTGGAACAAGGAGGTTGGTCTGGCCTCTGATTGATACATGGCTAGATTTACCTCGCTGCACCTTCTCTGTGAGTGACTGCAGTGTGACCTAGAGGAATGAGTCCCCTAGACAGTGGGGGGGGGGAGGGGAAAGCAAATGAGTACAAAACAAATCTGGTCTATTTCTTGTTTTGATACACTCCATCTATCTTTTACATCTTTGGCTGGCAGCAGACGGTGCAGAAGGACTGCATGCCATCCACATCTCAGGGCTGCTCAGCAGAAGATGGTACAATACAACTGCTAGCCATCCTCATCTCTTGCCTGCCCGGCAGAAGATGATGCAATAGGACTGCTAGCAATCCATATCGCCTGCCTGCTCACCATAAGATGGTTCAATAGGACTGACTGCAGGACTAAAGAGAATGACTTGATCAAGTCACTCCAGATTTAGTCCCTGCGCCCATGTCTGTCCAGGCGCTCCTGATCGACCTCACACAGGTGACCAGGAGCACCTCGGACATGACGATGACGGCTACCAGTCCTATTGCACCATCTGTTGCCACAAGGCAATGGGTTGCTGCTACTGTGTAGCAATGCAGTACCACGTCTGCCAGCACCCAGGAGACATACGGTGACGGTTACCTGAGCGGGCTCCATGCTTGCCGTGGTATGGCGTCTGCACAGGTAACTCAGGAAAAAAGGCACGAAACAATTGTCTGCCCTTGCTTTCATGGAGGGAGGGAGGGAACGGGGGCCTGACGATATGTACCCAGAACCACCCACGACAATGTTTTAGCCCCATCAGGCATTGGGATCTCAACCCAGAATTCCAATGGGCAGTGGAGACTGCGGGAACTGTGGGATAGCTACCCACAGTGCAACACTCTGGAAGTTGACTCTAGCCTCGGTACTGTGGAAGCACTCTGCCGAGTTAATGCACTTAATGCACTTAGAGCATTTTCTGTGGGGACACACACACTCGAATATATAAAACCGATTTCTAAAAAACCGACTTCTATAAATTCAACCTAATTTCGTAGTGTAGACATACCCTAAGGGGGGATATGATAGAGGTATATAAAATCATGAGTGGTGTGGAGAAAAGGAATAAGGAAAAGTTATTTACTTGTTCCCATAATGTAACAACTAGGGACCACCAAATGAAATTAATGTGTAGCAGGTTTAAAACAAATAAAAGGAAGTTCTTCTTCACTCAGCACACAGTCAACCTGTGGAACTCCTTGCCTGAGGAGGTTGTGAAGACTAGGACTATAACAGGGTTTAAAAGAGAACTTGATAAATTCATGGAAGTTAAGCCCATTAATGGCTATTAGCCAGGATGAGTAAGGAATGGTGTCCCTAGCCTCTGTTTGTCAGAGGGTGGAGATGGATGGCAGGAGAGAGATCACTAGATCACTACCTGTTAGGTTCACTCCCTCTGGAACACCTGGCATTGGCCACTGTTGGTAGACAGGATACTGGGCTGGATGGACCTTTGGTCTGACCCAGTATGGCCATTCTTATGTTCTTCTGAGTCGCAGCACCACTCAGGCTTGGCTGGTCACCTCTCTGTCATCATGGGCTGGGGGCAGGCAATCAGGCAAAGCCACTCACTCAAACTTGGCCTGTGGTGTATGAATGTGGGGCGGGCAATGGGAGCGAGTGGAGCTGCTGAGCAGCTGGGATCAGGAGGAGCCATCCTAGCTCAGGAGAGGAGCAGAGCGCTGAGCTGAGGGGGCGCCGATGAGTGGCCAGGAAGGTCCTGGAGTGGGGAGCAAGTTGTTGGTGGCCTATGGGGTGAGTCAGGAATGTTGAGGGGCTGGGGACGAGCAGGGGATACTGGTGGTGGTGGGGTTGGGAGCTGGGATGTTGGGGGCTGTGGGCTCAGGGATTGGGGCTGTACGGTGAGTGGGCTGTATGTCAGCGTTGCTACGATGTGTATGGGGACTGTCAGGATACGTTGGGGCTGGTGGAGGGTTGTTGGGGTATCTGTGGGGTGCGAGGGGCATTCAGTGTGTGGGGCAAGGGCACTTTGCTGAGCAGCCTCAGTTAATGCTGTGCAGGGCTGGCAGCAGCTGGAGCAGAGCTAGTGTGGGGTTGCAGCACTGCTCAGGTTTGGGGCAGTCAGGCTAAATCTGAGTGATGGTGGGGGCCCCCAATTTCTGTATTGCACAGTGCCCCAAAACTCTTTAGTCCAGCCCTGAGCAGCAGCATATGTGCCGCGCGCACTGATGTGTGCCAGATCTCAGATCGTTTGAACCAGCATTTTTTTTATGTGATGTTTGGTTTATTGAATATTCAGGTGGAGCTGGTAACACCACCTGTTACTGAGGTTGCCTGACACTTCGCATTATGAGGCTGTATTTTCAGTTGCTTATAACTTTGCCAAATGATCCATTTGGGCTAAAGTTTTCCATGCTTGGTGTCACCCTTGGGCAGAGCCTTTTAAAGGAAGTTTCCGCTAAAAGTGGCTGTTTCTGACAATGAGGTTAGGGAAAATACAGTGTTTACCTGTGTTAAAAATTCTTACAGCTGCTTTGCTGAGAAGCTATAACACCTCTGTGCTTTGGAACAGAGACTTACATTTGGCAGGGGGTCATCCAGGTGTCAGGGGCATGCCTTTTGCTGTCCCCATGAAAATTTGCCCAAATGTGGCCGAGGTATAAACCTCCAAAAAAATCTCAGTTTGCACACACACAGGTTGTTAGAGTTCAGCAGCTAACTTCTCTCAAGAGTTTGTCTGCAATGAGCATGCTCCATTCCCTCACATCTGCTGTGTGTCACCAGATTGTGCACGCATCATCCCTATAGAGAGACTGAGCATTATGCATCCTGGGGGTGCAGGGGCTGAGCAGGAATTTCCCTGCAGTTGTTCCTACTGACAGGTCAGGGTTGCTGGCATCCAGACAGCACAGAAGAAGGGAAAGAAGCAACCACACTGGAATGTAGAGGGGTGAGAAACTGGAGCCGGCAGGGAAGAGAATGTTGAAGGAACTGGAGCAGGGAGACAAATGCGAACAGGAGGTGGTGGATAGGAGCAGAGGGAGAGGGGGACAGGGCTTGGAGCTGATGGATAGGGCAGAGGGGGAGGAAGACAGAATTGGGACAGAGGTGGGCTAGGAACCCAGGGCTAGAAGGGTCCATAACCATTAGAGAACACTCCCCTACCAAACCTGGAATTGAGCCCAGGAGTCCTCATCTCTACGTTCCTCTGTGGTCAACAAATAGGCATGAAACTCAATGGCAAAGTATAACTCATCCTCCTCTAGTGACTGGTCTACATAGAGGATAATAGCCTGATTTCTTAGACTGTGTATTAGTTCGAGTGGTAGAGGTCTATGCTGTGGATCTAACATGCTGAACCATGTTGAGGACCCAAGCTGGGGGTCAATATGGCTCCACATGATGGAATTTTTATTTATTTAAATTTGGAAATTACATACATAAAACCTACATTAAAAGAAGACCTGAAGAAGAACTCTGTGTAAACTCAAGAAGTTTGTCCTGCTCACCAACAGAAGTTGGTCCAATGAAAGGTATTACCTCACCCACCTTGTCTCTGTACTTTCAAAGATCACTATTAAAGTTGCAAAATCAAGCTCTCAAGAGTTAGGATAAACCAGAATTAAGGTCGTCCTTGCAACCTTAATTTGTTTGTCGATTACATGATCACGTACTATTTTCCCCACAGGACCCCTGCCTCATTCAGTGCACTTGAGAACAATGGAAGCCGCTAGGAGCAAAGTACTTTTGAAAATCTAACCACACTTGTGAGTGCTGAACATGCTCAGCTCTGCATGTCAGCAGAGTGGGGGTTATTAGTACTTGAAGAGGTTAGGCACTCATTGGCGGTCATAGGCCGTGGGTGTCAGGCAGTTTTGAAAATCCAACCCCTAAGCATACACTAATGATTGCTCATTGCTCTCTGTGTTTCTTTCAGAAGCCCAGCTGAAGGAGGTAGAGGAAATGCTGGCACAGGAAGGCTTGTCCAAGATAGCTCACAGCAGTCCTAGTGAACAGATTGCTTATTTACTGGTAGAAAGAACTACGCTGTTGGAGAAACTAGAGATTGCAGATCAAAAGCTGGATTCACATAGCTACATAGACGGACTGTGTGCCGCACAACTTCAGGTATCAAACTCTTCAGTTGCTGATTATCCGATTAGCCCCTCCGAAGGGACAATTAAGGCTATTCTCAGGGTTGTTTTTTTTTAATTAAAAACATTTTTATCATATATAAGAAGCCCCTGTATTCTTAAAGCTGAAGTCTGTTTCCATACTAATTTTTACTTATCCATGTTTGTACTTGCGTTGCTCCAGAGTTCTGGAATTGAATAATTAACAGCATTATTTTTTCTATAAAAGGAGAGAGTGCTGAAGGCTTTGTTATGAAAAAGAAAACCTATAAGGCCCAGTTCGGAAGTCTTACTCAGGTAGTATTGGCTTCCCATTTACTCTGGTATTTCTGATGACTCCATGTGCAGGATTTCATGAGTCATACCTCCCTCAAAATTGTAAGATTAGCTTAAAAATCATGAGACTTTAAAAAGAATATACTGTGTTCTTTCTAGCTTTTGAGGAATTCTTCACAACCATGAAGGATAGAAACTTTATTTAAAAAAAAACCAAAACCCACAAAAGCTAAGAGTCTCCCAATCACATGACTGCAGGAACTGGGGCTTTAAGTAAAACACTATGTATCATGAGACGTCTAATATAACTCAGAGATCTGATAAACCTGTGCACAAATGAGGACTGAGTAAGGACTTCCAGACTGGGTCCATAAAGGTCTTGGAATGGCAAGACTAAGGCTCTGTGATAGAGCTCATTTCCAAAGTTCTTCAAAGAAACAGGAGATGCTTTAGAAGAAAAAACTCTCCTAGAAAAGTTGTCTGGCTATGTATTTTAGCCCCACAGGCCCTCATACGTTTAGGCTGCTTATTCCAAAGCATGGTTCATAACAAAACCAGCATACCAAAGAGTATTGTTAGTCTGATGTACCATTTCAGCCATTTCTAGGAGACTTGTTACAGGAGTGCTCTGTCTCTATATACAGGTAAATAGTTAGTGAACAGAAAAGGTGCCAGTACATAGTGCTCAAGAATATGGAGCATGGTTCCTGGGTTTTGTAGGACCAATAAAACTTCTTATTGTGTACTACAAAAGGTTTCTTCTGAGCACCTCCTTACAAGGCTGGCCTCATATATGCTTTTGGAGACCGGCTGCCCCTGGAAATTGGGTGCCCCTGTCCTGTCCTTTGCCTTTGAGCTCTGGAGGGAACTTGTCTTGGTCCCAGCTTCCCACGGTCCACAAAGATGTTGCCTGCTGCTGTTAGGGAACTTGTGATATGGAATAGCCATAACTATAAGAGCCTCCTTTTGGGTCCTGAGTGTTCTGTCACAGGCTGTGTTGTTTCAATAATTGTGCTATTATTAAATTTGACCATAATCCTGTCATATTTTCAGTCTATAAGTAGTAAAACGTAAAAGCGATAAAAATACACCTAATGCTTATGCAATCCAAAGTAGTCATTAGACAATTTCGTAAATACAACCCCAATCCTGAAAAGACTTAAGCACATGCATAGAGTGGAATATTCAAAACAGCTCAGCATTAGGCTTGAGAAAACCCCATCCCTAAGTCTTTTCAGGGTTAGAGCCTAAATCTTCAAGTCACAAAAGGCTCTGGTACCCCAAATAAAAACATCCAATGCCCACCTCACACACTATAAATAAATAGTCATTAATATTTTCAGATAAATACCAACCTGAGTTCACACTTAACAAATCCAGGTTATGGCTGATGTTTAGACACATAAGCCTCTTCCATTAGCATTAAGGGGGGAAGCTTCATTTATACAAAAGTTCTGGGTCATGAACCATTGCAGTCAGTGCTCTGCCAGCTGGTACAAATAATCACTACAAACTACAAAAACTACAAATCAATTATTCCCAATTAAAAATTCAGTTAGAAGCCCCAAGATATTTTAAAAAGAGCCAACTGAGCTATAATAACCTTCTAATAAAATACTGAGTTTAATTACAACTTGTTCTTGGTCAATTAGCAGGTATAATCAGATAAACTCTGCAAAGAGGGCAGCCCTAACTGAGGAGTCAGCACTGAACAAGCAAGTTAATCAAAGGGATGAAGAATGGAGAGAAAAGAATGTTAGAAAAGGATATTTTACACATATCTATGCAAAGTTTCCCATGCATCACTCAGGCAACAGCATTGTTGGTGTGCCCCAGGTGAGCAAAGGACAAGGGATCCTAGATCACAGAATATTGTCACTAGTATATTCTTTGGCCAAATGAAACAATCTCTTGTGAAAAAGAGCTACGGTAGCTAATGGCTAAAACTCCCACCAAGGATATACAACATATACAGTCCTCACTGACTCTGGTTAGTGAAGGACTGTACTTGAGTTTAGTCTGACACACTCCCTGTCTAACTCTAGTACAGACTTTCACACTTCTCATCCATTATAGTTATATGTGATGTCTGATAGGAATCTCTTAACTCTGGACAACTGAGTATGACAAACTTCTGATTATAATTTTGGGTTCAAAACTATTAATATATAAAGATTTTAATCTATACTTCTCCCATGGAGAGAGGTAGTAATTTTGTTGTAAATTTTGTGCAGCCAAAAAAATTAACAGTATGAATACAACTATTCATTTCAAAGGTCATCATAGTCGGATGAAGACTGTTTATTTCTGCTGCAGGATATTCAAAGTTGTCAAGATCTGATTTCCATGTTAAAAATATATCATCAGTATAATAAAACCACTGAAATATAGTCCAGCAAAATTTGTGTTTAAAAGGGATTAAGGCTGGGTAAGTGGAACATCCTCCCCGACAATGCAAACTTTTAAAAGCAAGGAAATGTCAAGTTCTGGAACACCTTTTAACGGTACTCTGACCACACAGCATGTTTCCATGGACAGACTCTGAAGTCTCACCAGGAATATCCTTATCAGGCTTCAGGTGATAAGGAAATGCATTACACACTAGCACATTCCCCTCCCTCACAATAAAATGCAAAATCTTAATTACAACCTTTGCAGCCTTGATGTATGTTCACAGATTAAGTGTGCTGTGTGGTTTGTGTTTCTGGAGGAAGTATGAGGTTGTAATTAAGTTTTTGAGTGGTGCAGACTGGCTGGAACATGGGGAGGTTATCCAGCTTTATTCAGCTAGAGTCAGTGAAGCATATTCAGTATCAGTATATTTCTTTGTGCAGAGCTGAGCCCATAGGATGTAAAAGGAAGAGGCCTGTCACATCACAAGTTTAAAAAAGGCAAAGAACCTGCAGAGTTCCCTATAAGCAGCAGAGTGCAACAGGCACGTGAGGGCTCTTTAAAGCAATTTGGGATCTATCTGGATTAAAGGCACTTTTGAAATATAAAACATGGTTACAACCCATGGTTAATTAAGATACATTAACATTTAAATGACAGCATATCAATATCCAGTGAAGATAATCAGCAAGCCTTTTCATGGTGTTGGCTTATTAATAGGTCTTTTCGTGCAAGGATAAGTTTGATCGTATCCACCAGACATTAGAAGATGAACTTCAGCAACAGCATGAATCCGTGCACTATACTAAAGAGACAATGAATAAGGTAAAACATTTATGCAACCTTTTGCTTCTAATACAGTATGTAACTGTGATTCCACACAGAGAGATGTGACTTTGGGAAGTGAAGTGGATACAGGTCAACTGGATTGAGAACAGTTATAGATAGGGCCCTACCAAATTCACAGCCTTGAAAAATGCATCATGGACTGTGAAATCTGGTCTCTCCTGTGAAATCTGGTCTTTTGTGTGCTATACAGATTTTGCTGGGGAGACCAGTGTTTCTCAAATTGGGGGTCCTGACACAAAAGGGAGTTGCAGGGGAGTCACAAGCTTATTTTAGGGGGTTGCGGTTTTGCCACCCTTACTTCTGTGCTGACTTCAGAGCGGGGTGGCCGGAGAGCGGCAGCTGCAGGCTGGGAGCCCAGCTCTGAAGGCAGTGCAGAAGTAAGGATGGCATGGTATGATTCTGCCACTCTTACTTCTATGCTGCTGCCTGCAGAGCTGGGCGGCTGGAGAGTGGTGGCTGCTGACTGAGGGTCCAGCTCTGCCAGCAGCAGTGAGAAGTAAGGGTAGCAGTACCGCAACCTTGTGACCCCCCCTGGCAACTCCTTTTTGGGTCAGGACCCCTACAATTACAACACTGTGAAATTTCAGATTTAAATAGCTGAAATCGTGAAATTTATGATTTTTAAAATCCTATGACCATGAAATTGACCAAAATGGACCATGAATTTGGTAGAGCCCTAGTTATAAATAAATCACCTTTCCGCAAAAAGTCAGACTAGTGGGAAAGGTACCTGGCTCCTGAATAAAAAACATCCACAGTCCAGGAGCTGGTGCAGACGATAACAGGAGGAGGTTAGTATTAGCTAGCCGACCCAGTGCTACTGGAGCTAGCCTAGCAGGGGCAACTGCCTTAGAAGGAAGGGGTTGGTTCCAGCTAAAGACACATGGAAAGGACAAGGGAAAAGTGAAGAAACGTGATGGGGGAAGGGAGATCTGGGAAGAGACAGGGAGGAGGAGGAGGAGGAAAGCTGAGACGAGGCAGGGGAAGAGAGACAGGCAGAAAGCAGGAAGGGAAAGAAACAGAAATGGAAACAATAGATGTGGAAGTTGAAAATCGTGTGGCGATAGAAGCAGTGAATGAAAGTGAAGGGGATGCAAAAGGGAAAAGGAAGTGCCCCAGTGGGAATTGTTTTGGAAAGTTTGAGCAAAAAGCACTTTCCTCCACTGTAAACATAAAAAGTGTCTTTTATTAAACAGCCTTGCAGCCCTCATTCAGGGCTTGGCTGCTCTCAGCTCTGCCCATTCTCCCCACCCCAAACAACCCAAAGACACTAAAAAGAATGCAAAATTGATTAACCATTGGAACAGACTACGAAGGGGAGTGGTGGATTCTCCATCTCTTGAAGTCTTCAGATCAAGACTGGATGCCCTGCTGGAAGCCCTGCTAGATCTAATGGTCCCTCCTGGGCCTAAAATCTATGAATCTAGGAGTGAAAATACAACTTGACTAACAGTTTCTCTCAAGGGAGAAAGTGCTTCTGTTCTTTTTATCCCACAGAGATTCACCTGGAAAACACCAATGCCTAAAATCAGCTGCCAGCCTGCAGCAATGACATACACACATAACATGTCAGCGTGCTTACGTAACTGGGCGTTGCTGGCAACTCCATGTACTGCCTCAGCAGCAGCTCCCACACGCCTGCTTCCTGCATATTTAGTGTGTCCCCACTTCCCAGGCACTAGTGCAGGGGTGGGCAAATTACAGGCCGTGGGCAGCGTTTGGCCCTTCAGACCTTTTAATCCGGCCCTCGAGCTCATGCCAGGGAGTGGGGTTGGGGACTTGTCCTGCTCCAGCACTCCAGCTGGGGAGTGGGGTTGGGGGCTTGCCCTGCTCTGCATGTGCCGTGGCATCACGTGGCTTCCAGAAGCAGCACAATGTTCCCCCTCCGGCTCCTAAATGTAGGGGCAGCCAGGGAGCTCCGCACACTGCCCCTGCCCCAAGCGCCAGCTCTGCAGCTCCCATTGGCTGGACGAGGGACATGCCACTGCTTCCAGCCCTGATCCCGCTCCCGCCCTCTGATCCCCTGGGTCCCAGCCTGGAGCACCCACCTGCACCCCAATCCCCTTGGTCCCATCCCCACCCCAGAGCCTGCACCTCCAGCCAGAGCCCTCACCTTCCTATCCCCCTGCCTCAACCCAGAGCCCCCTCCCGCACTCTGAATCCCTCATCCTCAGCCCGGAGCCCCCTGCCCCAGCCTAGAGCCCCTTCCCATACCCTGAACCCCTCATTTGTGGCCCCAGCCCAGAACCCGCACCCCCAGCCCAGAGCCAACACCCCCTCCCACACCCCAACCCCTCATTTTGTGAGCATTCATGGCCTGCCATACAATTTCCATGCCCAGATGTGGCTCTCAGGCCAAAAAGTTTTCCCACCTCTGCACTAGTGCAAGCGGCTATGCTGCAGCTTGTTAGTGCAGACAAGGTATTCGGTTTACTTTGTCCTATGAGCATTGCTTCTGTTTCAGTCCCATAATGAAGAGCTGGAAAGAGAGAAAGTGTTACGAAATCGGGTTGAGCGAGACCTGGATGAGGCCGCACGAAGGCTACAGATGGCTCACGAAGAGATCCGCCGGCTAACAGACGAACTGGACGTGCTGAAAAAGGAGCAAAGCAAACTGGGTAAATTTGAGTGGCATGCGACTCAATTATTAGCCTGTACTAGGCCTGGTTTTCAGAGGTGCTGATCACTCGCATTGCTCACTCAACACCTCTAAAAATCAGGTTCTATTCTATGTAAACCTTGCCTGTCATTCTGAGAATAGTCATAGAAAGTCTCCTAGCCCCACTCTGTGCCATGTGTACACTACGAAATTAGGTCAAATTTATAGAAGTCGGTTTTGTAGAAAGCATTTTTATACAGTCGATTGTGTTTGTCCCCACATAAATGCTCTAAGTGCATTTAGTCGGTGGAGTGCATCCACAGTACCGAGGCAACCATCGACTTCCGGAGCGTTGCACTATGGATAGCTATCCCACAGTTCCCGCAGTCTCTGCCACCCATTTGAATTCTGGGTAGAAATCCCAATGCCTGATGGGGCAAAATCATTGTCGCGGGTGGTTCTGGGTACATATCGTCAGGCCCCCCCCTTCCCTCCCTCCCTCCGTGAAAGCAAAGGCAGACAATAGTTTCGCGCCTTTTTTCCTGGGTTACCTGTGCAGACGCCATACCATGGCAAGCATGGAGCCAGCTCAGCTCACCGTATGTTTCCTGGGTGCTGGCAGATGCGGTACAGCATTGCTACACAGCAGCCGCTCATTGCCTTTTGGCAGCAGACAGTGCAGTATGACTGGTAGCCATCGTCGATGTACTCCAGGGTGCTCTTTTAGCCAACGTCGGTGAGGTCGGTCAGAGGCGCCTGGGCAAACATGGGAGTGACTCAGTCAGGTCATTTCCCTTTTAAGTTTTGTCTCATGGCGATTCAGTCCTGCTAGCAGTCCTACTGCACCATCTTCTAATGAGCAGCCAGGAGATGACGATGGCCAGCAGTCGTACTGCACTGTCTGCTGCCAGCAAGAAGTATAAAGACAGATGAAGTGGATCAAAACAAGAAATAGACCAGATTTGTTTTGTATTCATTTTCTCCTTCCTTCCTGCCTCTGTGAAATCAACGGCCTGCTAAACCCAGGGTTTTGAGTTTTATCCTTGAGGCGGCCATTCTGTTTTTCCTTGTTGCAAAGCCACCCCCTTTGCTGATTTTAATTCCCTGTAAGCCAACCCTGTAAGCCATGTTGTCAGTCACCCCTCCCTCCATCGGAGCAACGGCAGACAATCATTTCGCGCCCCTTTCCCTGGATTGCCCGAGCAGACGCCATAGCACAGCAAGCATGGAGCCCGTTCAGCTCACCGCAGCAGTTATGACCATTGTAAACACCTCACGCATTATCATGCAGCTTATGCAGAACCAGCACCTGAAAAACCAGGCGAGGAGGCGACGGCAGCGCGGTGATGAGGACATGAACACAGATTTCTCTAAAACCACGGTCCCCAGCAATTTGGAGATCATGGTGTTACTGGGGCAGGCTCATGCCGTGGAACGCTGATTTTGGGCCCGGGAAACAAGCACAGAGTGGTGGGACCGCATAGTGTTGTAGGTTTGGGATGATTCCCAGTGGCTCCGAAACTTTTGCATGTGTAAGGGCACTTTTATGGAACTTTATGACTTGCTTTCCCCTGCCCTGAAGCGCAAGAATACCAAGATGAGAGCAGCTCTCACAGTTCACAAGCGAGTGGCAATAGCCTTGTGGAAGCTTGCAACGCCAGACAGCTACCGGTCAGTCGGTAATCAATTTAGAGTGGGCAAATCTACTGTGGGGGTTGCTGTGATGCAAGTAGCCAACGCTATCACTGAGCTGCTACTATCAAAGGTAGTGATTCTGGGAAATGTGCAGGTCATACTAGATGGCTTTGCTGCAATGGGATTCCCAAACTGTGGTGGGGCTATAGACACAACGCATATCCCTATGTTGGGACCGGACCACCAGGGCAGCCAGTACATAAACCGCAAGGGGTACTTTTCAATGGTACTGCAAGCACTGGTGGATCACAAAGGACGTTTCACGAACATCAACGTGGGATGGCTGGGAAAGGTTCATGACGCTCACATCTTCAGGAACTCTGGTCTGTTTAAAGGCTGCAGGAAGGGATTTACTTCCCAGACCAGAAAATAACTGTTGGGGGTGTTGAAATGCCTATAGTTATCCTTGGGGACCCAGCCTACCACTTAATGCCCTGGCTCATGAAGCCCTACACAGGCACCCTGGACAGTAGTAAGGAGCTGTTCAACTATAGGCTGAGCAAGTGGTTGGATATTAGGTTGGATATTAGGAAAAACTTTTTCATTAGGAGCGTGGTGAAACACTGGAATGCATTACCTAGGGAGGTGGTGGAATCTCCTTCCTTAGAAGTTTTTAAAGTCAGGCTTGACAAAGCCCTGGCTGGGATGATTTAGTTGGGGATTGATCCTGCTTTGAGCAGGGGGTTGGACTAGATGACCTCCTGAGGTCCTTTCCAACTCTGATATTCTATGATTCTATGACTCTATAAGTGCAGAATGGTGGTAGAGTGTGCATTTGGACGTTTAAAGGGTCGCTGGTGCAGTTTACTGACTCGCTCAGACCTCAGCGAAACCAATATTCCCATTGTTATTGCTGCTTGCTGTGTGCTCCACAATCTCTGTGAGAGTAAGGGGGAGACATTTATGGTGAGGTGGGAGGTTGATGCAAATTGCCTGGCTGCTGAATACGTGCAGCCAGACACCAGGGCGGTTAGAAGAGCACAGCAGGAAGCACTGCACATCAGAGAAGCTTTGAAACCCAGTCTCATGACTGGCCAGGGTACTGTGTGACACTTCTGTTTGTTTCTCCTTGATGAAAACCCGCCCCCTTGGTTGCCTCTAAATTCCCTGTAATCCACCCGCCCTCCCTCCTTCGATCACAGCTTGCTTGCAAAGGAAATAAACTCACTATCATTTAAAAAACATGTATTCTTCATTAATTGATTATAAAAATAGGGAGATAAATCACAAGGTAGCCCGGGTGGGGTGTGGGAGGAGAGTAGTAGGGAAGGAAAAGGCCACTTTAAAACTTCTTGAATGACAGCCTTCTGTTGCTTGGGCTGTCCACTGGGGTGGAGTGGGCATCTGGGTGAGAAGGCTATGGAACTTGGGGAGGAGGGAGGGCAGTTAAACAGCGGCTGCAGCAGCAGTCTGATCCTGCTGCTGTTCATGAACCTCCACCAGACGCCGGAGCGTGTCCGTTTGATCCCGCAGTAGCCCTAGCGTTGCCTCATGCCTCCTTTGATCTTCCTGCCACCACCTCTCCTCACGTTCATCGCCTACTTTCCTGTACTCTGCTATTGTGTCCCTCCACACATTCTCCTGAGCTCTGTCAGTGCTGGACGACTGCATGAGCTCAGAGAACATTTCATCGCGCGTGCATGTTTTTCACCGCCTTATCTGAGATAGCCTTTGGGATGGAGGAGGGAGGCTTGAAACATTTGCAGCTGCTGGAGGAAAAAAAGGGAGCGAAGTATTTTAAAAGATACATTTTACAGAACAATGGCTATACTCTTTCACGGTGAACAACACTATTCACATTACATAGCACATGTGATTTTGGTACAAGGTCGCATTTTGCATCTTATATTGAGTGCCTGCAGCTTTGGTGTTAGAGATCACACTCGCATTGCTGGGCAACAGAATTCGGCTTGCAGGCGGTCATGGTAAGCCATAGTCTTTTGGCTTCTGCAGCCTTCATAACCGCAGTGCCCTCCTCTCCCATACCAAGCAAATCCCGTTGAGTTGGCCATTTAGTGCTGCGGTTTTCCTGTTAACATGCAGCAGCAGAAACCAAACTAACCCCCACCCCCCTTCATCCAATTCTCTGGGATGATTGCTTTACCCCTCCCCCCACCGCATGACTGGTATCAGGGAAGATCCCTGTTAGCCAAACGCGAACAGCTCAGCGCCAGTGGCCCCCCCGCCCACAGGTTGGCTAACTGCAGGGAGGATTTCTTTTCAGCCACAGGCAAACAGCCCAGTAGGAATGGCCACCTCTGAATGTCCCCTTAATTAAATTCCCCTATTTCAAGCAGGTTACCATGAACAATATCACTCTCCTGAGGATAACACAGAGAGATAAAGAACGGATGTTGCTTGAATGCCAGCAAACACCGGGACCATACGCTGCCAGACTTCGTCATGCAATGATAGCAGATTACTTGCTACTAGCATGGCATGGTAAAATGTCCTACCATGGAGGACGGAATAAGGCTGCTTTCCCCAGAAACCTTCTGCAAAGGCTTTTAGAGTACCTCCAGGAGAGCTTCATGGAGATATCCCTGGAGGATTTCCGCTCCATCCCCAGACACGTTAACAGACTTTTCCAGTAGCTGTACTGGTCACGAATGCATCCCAAGTCCTCAGGGCTACTTAATCATTAAAAAATGCTTGCTTTTATAACATGTATTATATTTAAAAAGGTACACTAACCAGAGGTCCCTTCTCCGGCTTCTTTGGGTTGGGAGGGTATTTCAGTCAGAGTGAGAAAAAGATCCTGGCTGTCGGGGAGAACAGTGTGCTGTGTGCTCTCCTCAAGCTCGTCCTCCTCCTCATCTTCCCTATCTGCAAAATCCTCAGGCATAGCCGAGAGTACCCCATCATCAGAGTCCAAGGACAGGGGTGGGGTAGTGGTGGCAGCCCCCCCTAGAATTGCTTGCAGCTCAGCGTAGAAGCGGCATGTCTGGGGCGCTGTCCCAGAGCGTCCGTTTGTTTCTTTGGTTTTCTGGTTTGTCTGAGCTCCTTAAGTTTCACGCAGCACTGTGTTGCATCCCTGCTGTAGCCTCTGTCCCTCATGGGACATGTTTTGGCATTTCGTCTTTTGGAATATAGTTCTGATAGCACGGATTCCTCTCCCCAGACAGCAATCAGATCCAGTACCTCCCATTCAGTCCATGCTGGAGCTCTTTTTCAATTCTGGTACTGCATGGTCACCTGTGCTGATGAGCTCACATGGCCAAACAGGAAATGAGATTCAAAAGTTCCCAGGGCTTTTCCTATACACCAGGCCAGTGCATCCGAGTTCAGAGTGCTATCCAGAGCAGTCACAATGGTGCACTTGTGGGATAGCTCCCGGAGGCCAATACCTTCAAATTGTGTCCACACTAACCCTAATTCAAAACGGCGATGTCGATTTCAGCACTGATCCCCTTATTGGGGAGGAGTACAGAAATTGGTTTTAAGAGCCCTTTATGTCGAAAAAAATAGCTTCATTGTGTGGACGGATGTAGGATTAATTCGATTTAATGCTGCTAAGTCTGACATAAACTCGTAGTGTAGACCAGGCCCTAGCATGGGAAATTCAGTCTGTGTCACATATTAGCCTGATGCGTTGGAATTCAGAATAAAGTCTTTCACTTGTATTCACAAAAAGAAAAGGAGTACTTGTGGCACCTTAGAGACTAACCAATTTATTTGAGCATAAGCTTTCGTGAGCTACAGCTCACTTCATCGGATGCTGCATCCGATGAAGTGAGCTGTAGCTCATGAAAGCTTATGCTCAAATAAATTGGTTAGTCTCTAAGGTGCCACAAGTACTCCTTTTCTTTTTGCGAATACAGACTAACACGGCTGTTACTCTGACACTTGTATTCAGTAGCTGATAGGCAATGAAGTGTGAATGGGGAAAACCAAGACATTGGCTGATTTGACATGATACTATGGTAGCATAGTCCTGGTTTCTTCTCCTTGGCTTTTGTGGAGGAGGAAGAAGCCAGAGATGGGGCTGAGAGGAACAGCTACCCATTCAGTCCAAAAGCAGACGGGCCACCTGCTCCCTGTCTCTAAGATGCCATTGATTACAGATTTCCTGTCCTCATGTGCCATCTGAAGAGTGCATCACTGAGCCGTTCCCCATGCATACCTCAGGGGATGCATTTCCAGCTTCAAGGCAATCTCTGGTTAAGTTCTGGCCCTTTGCAGGCCTTCCTTCACAGGACTGACTCTAGAGATCTACTCCTTCTCCCAGTCAGCCACCACAGAGCTGGGTTTTTGCTCTTACCTCAGAGATTCAAAGGCCAGAAGGGACCATTGTGATCATCTAGTGTGATCTCCTGTTTGACACAGGCCAGAGACGTGCCGCACAATAACTCCTAGAGCAGAGCTTTTACACCTGTCTTGATTTAAAAATTGTCAGTCATGGAGAATCCACCATGACCCTGGGTTAATTTACTCTCATCATTAAAAATGTATACCTTATTTCCAGTCTGAATTTGTCCAGCTCCAGCTTCCAGTCATTGGATTGTGTTAGACTGCCATATTGAAAAGCCCATTATTAAATATTTGTTCCCCATGTAGATATTTGTGTAGACTAATCTTAACCTGCGAAGCTAAATAGGTTGAGCTGTTTGAGTCTATCACTCAAGGAGGTTTTCTAATCCTTTAATCATTCTCATGGCTCCCACTTATCAGCATCCTCCTTGACTTGTGCACACCAGAACAGGACAAAGTATTCCAGCAGCAGCCACACCAGAGCCTGATACAGAGGGGAAATAACATCCTACTCCTCCCCCCCCGCCCGCCCCCGAGAGAATCCCCCTGTTTATGCATCATCGGATGGCATTACCTTGTTTGGCCACAGCATCACACTTGGAGCTCATGTTGGGTTGATTATCCACTACAACCCTCAGATCTTTTTCAGTGTCACTGCTTCCCAGGATAGAGTCCCCATCCTGTAAGTATGGCCTACGACCCTTGTTCCCAGTTGTATCCATTGACATTTAGCCGCATTAAAATGGATATTGTTTGCTTATGCACAATTTACCAAATGATCTAGATCATTATGATTCAGTGACCTGTTCTCATCATTATTTACCACTCCCTCAGTTTTTGTGTCATCTGCAAACTTTTGTCAGTGATGACTTTATATTTCTTCCAGGACATTAATAAAAATGAAAAATAGCATAGGGCCAAGAACCAATCTCTTTGGCACCACACTGAAACAGACCCAATCAGTGATGATTCCCCATTTATAGTTACATTTTGAGACCTATCAGTTAGCCAGTTTTTAATTCATTTAATGTGTGCCATGATAATTTTATAGCATTCTAATTTTTTAATCAAAATGCTGTGTGGTATCAAGTCAAATGCCTTACAGAAGTCTATGTCATCACTGTTACCTATATCAATCAAACTTGTCATCTCATCAAAAAAAGATACCAAGTTAGTTTGACAGGATCTATTTTCCAAAACCATGTTGATTTGCATTAATTACTTTACTCTCCTTTAATTCTTTATTAATCAAGTCTCATATAAGCTGTTCCATTATCTTGCCTGGGATCAATGTCTGACTGACAGGCCTATAATTCCTTGGTCATCCAATTTACCCTTTTTAAAAAATTGGCACAACATTAGCTTTCTTCCAGTTTTCTGGAACTTTCCCAGTGCTCAAAGACTTATTGAAAATCAGTATTAACATTCTAGCAAGCTCCGTAGCCATCTCTTTTAAAACTCTTGGATGAAGTTATCTGGACCTGCTAATTCAAAAATGTCTCACTTTAGTAGCTTCTGTTTAACATCCTCCAGAAATATTAGTGGAATGGAAAGAGTATTATCATCCCCATATGATGAGCATATTATCTGTTTTTCCCCAAATACAAAACAGAAATATTGATTGAACATTTTTGCCTTTTCTGCAGTATTATTGATAATTCTACAGTTTCCATGTAGTAATGGACCAGTACCATTGTCAGGATTCTTTTTCTTCCCAGTATATTTTTAAAAACTCTTTCTTATTGTTCTTAACACTTGGCCATAGATTTCTCCTTGTGTCCCTTGGCTTCCCTTATCAATTTTCTACAATTCCAAACTTCTAATTTACATCCATTATTACTAATTTACCCTTTCTTCCATTTGTCATATACTATTTTATTTTTTTATAGCTGCCTTCACTTCCCCTCTAAATCAGGTCAGTTTTTTAATTAGCACAACCTTCTCCCTCAATTCTGGGACTATGGCTTTTGGGGCATCTAGTAAGGTGTTCTTAAATGATTCCCATTTATCATACACATTTTTCTGATTAAATTATTCCTCCCAGCTGAGAATGTATACAGGAAGCATCAGAAAATGATCAGTTGAAGTTTAAACAGCAGCTGAAGGTCCCTGTCCTACAATGTGATCCATGAGGGGTTTACCCTCTGCCCAGGCTGAGCCCCATTTACTTCACTGGGACTCCACATGGAATACACCTGCATAGACTTGTCATGTAACTGACCACATCAGCTTACTTTTACCCAAGAAGCACTGTCTCCAAGTCATTAAACAGCTCCAATCAGCAGCCCGAGCAGTCAGTCATAGGCTGTGTTTTATTCAAAGTCTTGGGAGCAAACACTGTACACAGAGTTTGTCAGACCTTCTGTGTTGATCGATCGATATACATGCGTCAAAGGGCACAAGCTCGGCAATGTGTCACAGCCTCCAAACAGTACTTCTCCAGATCATGGACAGAGCTGCTGTATTTGACTTCCTTTCCCAGCGGAACCTTGTGTGCATTGAACCAGTGAGAAATCTATTTATGGTGAGCATGCTCAGTTTTGTAATCTGCATAAAAGTATGAATTAGAGTTTGGCTTTCTACGCTGTGATTAAGGTTTTAATGTCTGACGTGTTTCTGTGCTTTGTTATGCTTAGAATGTTAGTGTTCAGAATCATATTAAAAAAACTTACCAAGGGAAGCTATTAAAACTAAAACTAATAATAATTGTGTTTCTGGAATTTTAATCCTCCCTGTAGATTTTAGGAGCTAAATGCACTGTAACTAGATTCAGTCATAGAAAATCAAGTGGGATCCCTGATTTATTTGAGGGAAAGTCCATCTAGAACCAGTGTTTGCTCTTGCAGCCTGTTGAAGTTTAATAAAAAGTGTATGATCCCTATTAGGCAATTTTTCAGTCCAGTACATTATTTTCTATTGTTGGTGGTTGCTAAGTGTTTAAAATCATGAGTTATGGTCTGGTTTTGTGCTCTTTCCACTCCTTTGAGCTCAATGTTATATTGTTTGAATTTTTTGAATGAAAAACTATAGGATTCTAGAATTCTGTGCTCATAAAAAAGGATTGGCAAAGTTATCATAGGTGAGATTGTTTCTCCGTTGTTCTCTTAGATCCTGCTTTGCGGCTGGCCCCACAAACATCTGAGAGCTGGAGAGAAGAGATGAATAAGCTGAAAGACAGTGGTAAGACATACATTAGCAGCATACATACCTGCTGACGTTACTTCCAGGCCTGGGTGGCTGAAATTTTTTGTCAAAATTATTTTAACAGAAAATTGAGTTTTCAGCTGAATGAAAATTTTTGCAGAAAGTGTATGTTTTCCTTGAAAAAAAGTTATATTTAATTGGAAAACTGAAAATCAAAATGCCCAAAATTTTCAGCTAAAACCAGAAATTTTGTGGGTTTTCAGCAGTTTTGGGCTAAAATAGCTTCATTTTTTGACAAAAAGTTGAAATTTCCCACTGAAAAGTTAGATGAAAATGAAAAAAATAGTTTTTGTCCAAATTTTCTGAGGAGAAAATTTTTTTTTTTTGACCAGCTCTACTAAGGAGTATGGTTGGAATATAAATTCAGATCTGGAAAGATTTCTAGTGTTGTGCTGCTAACACAAGCTATTGACACTTTGCTTGATGTTACTTACAGTCTAAATTCTTTGCTATCCATATTCACCAGAATGGCTGTAGAATGAGCTATATTATGTTCACTAGCTATGACTTTTTGAAACACTGTAAGGGATAGGAGTAAGTACCGTACTAACATGGTTTTATTGCACCAATGTATTCCATAAGTGTTAGTGTTATGCCTATGCTGCTATGCTAATAAGCTCGGATTGTTTCTGTTCATGGTAAAATTTAGTGTTGTGGTTTCTGTGAACTTTTAGAATCTGTTCATGAAGTAAACACATTCCCAAAGACGTTAGTTTTCTGTATGGTTTCAGAGTAACAGCCGTGTTAGTCTGTATTCGCAAAAAGAAAAGGAGTACTTGTGGCACCTTAGAGACTAACCAATTTATTTGAGCATGAGCTTTCGTGAGCTACAGCTCACTTCATCGGATGTTTTCTGTATGTTTCTCAAGAGCAAGAAAGCAACATGTGTCCCTTCTGCTTGCACTGAACTAACCCCTCTCCTTACATTGTCCTGGACCTTTCAGTTGCTAATTACAAATATTTTCTGCTGCAGAATTAATTGTGCTTGTTTTTACTAAAAATAAAGCTCAGTAAACAACCTTCTGGAGAAGCGAAGGTCAGGGTGACTAAGAGACCTTAGAAATGGGTCCAAATCCTCTCTTCTGTTCTGGTTTCTTTATGTGCGTTAGACAGCGCAAAGGGGCCAGAAAGCAGGCAGATCAGGCAAGTGAGAATTACCCTGGTGTGCAGAAAGAAAAGGAGGACTTGTGGCACCGTAGAGACTAACAAATTTATTTGCGCATAAGCTTTCGTGAGCTACAGCTCACTTCATCGGATGCATACAGTGGAAAATACAGTGGGGATATTTTATATACACAGAGAACATGAAACAATGGGTGTTACCATACAGACTGTAACAAGAGTGATCAGGCAAGGTGAGCTATTACCAGTGGGGGGCGGGCGGGGAGACCTTTTCTAGTGATAATCAAGGTGGGCCATTTCCAGCAGTTGACAAGAACAGTAGGGGGGGGAAATAAACAAGGGGAAATAGTTTTACTTTGTGTAATGACACATCCACTCCCAGTCTCTATTCAAGCCTAAGTTAATTGTATCCAGTTTGCAGATTAATTCCAATTCATCAGTTTCTCGTTGGAGTCTGTTTTTGAAGTTTTTTTGTTGAAGAATTGCCACTTTTAGGTCTGTAATCGAGTGACCAAAGAGACTAAAGTGTTCTCCGACTGGTTTATGAATGTTATAATTCTTGATGTCTGATTTGTGTCCGTTTATTCTTTACATAGAGACTGTCCAGTTTGGCCAATGTACATGGCAGAGGGGCATTGCTGGCACATGATGGCATATATCACATTGGTAGATGCGCAGGTGAATGAGCCTCTGATACTGTGGCTGATGTGATGGTGTCCCCTGAATAGATATGTGAACACAGTTGGCAATGGGCTTTGCTGCAAGGATAGGTTCCTGGGTTAGTGTTTTTGTTGTGTGGTGTGTGGTTGCTGGTGAGTATTTGCTTCAGGTTGGGGGGCTGTCTGTAAGCAAGGACTGGCCTGTCTAGCCATCTAGCCACTAGCTATCACCTTCAGCCCCCAACTAAAACCTCTCCAACGCATCATCAAGGATCTACAACCTATCCTGAAGGATGACCCATCACTCTCACAGATCTTGGGAGACAGGCCAGTCCTTGCTTACAGACAGCCCCCCAACCTGAAGCAAATACTCACCAGCAACCACACAACAGAACCACTAACCCAGGGACCTATCCTTGCAACAAAGCTTGTTGCCAACTGTGTCCACATATCTATTCAGGGGACACCATCACAGGGCCTAATCACATCAGTCACACTATCAGAGGCTTGTTCACCTGCGCATCTAACCTGGTGTGCAGGAGCTATTAATGGGCAGAGCCAGCTGCAGTGACACTCTCCATTCAGCCCTGCTCAGCATAAGGAATTTGTCAGGGGCCCAGCTGAATTGTGCTGTGCTCCATCTATGCTCGGCTGGAGAATGGTCCTTAGGGACCACTGCCAGGTTAAGTTAGAGCACGCCTCCCCTCCATTGTTGCTCTAACCTGCACCAGGGCTGAGGTTCACATGCTCCACTGCTTTTACCAATTGCTTATGGCCCAGAGTCTCTTCTGTGATTATTTTTATCTAAATAGGTAATTTTGATGTTTCCAAGGGACACCTCTCCTTTTCCAGAGAGAAGTCCTCCCTGCTGTTGAGGGCTGATTCCTACAGCAGTAACCAGACTAGGTTTACTCCTGGTGGGATTCTGCACCAAAAAATTAAAAATTCTGCATATTTTATTTGTCAAAATAATGCAATATAATTACACCAGTTTAAATTGTTTTGGTAATTTATTTAAATTACAGTACAGAAAAAAAGTCACAATAACTATTCAGCATTTCCTAAACACATGAAAGTTAAATTACAAACACTTGGTAACTAATACCTTGCATTCCAGTTATAATCCTGGATTTTCATTTAAATTAAATTACAGAACACCAAACAGCCACATAAAAAAAAGTAGAATGTCATTTTTAATTGCTCAGACTTTCACACATGAAAGTCATAGTTTTGCTAATCATTGTCCTGGACCTGTCTGGGGACTTTGGGAAATGTTTGCTTCTGATTGTCCTGACATTTTACTGACTGCTTGGTAAATGTTTTATTTGCCCTCAAAGTATTTTTTTTTAATAATAGGTAAGTAAAATAGATCCTGAGCTGTACCCCATTGTGCCACTTTGGCACAGGAAAAAAGTGAGACAGCGCATAGATCTTCCTAGCTGATTCCCTTACTGTCATTTATAAGACTTTACATCACTCTGGCAATGTAGGGGCCTTAAAACTTTTACAGGTTTTATGCCTCTGGGGGAAACTGACTGAGAATGGGAACAGTTAATTAACAGCAGGAACATTAACAATGCTGCTACGCAAGCAGGCTGCAACATTTCTGCCTCAGAGAATGAGATCAATTAACTAGCAAGCAGGCTGCTACGTTTCTGCCTCCGGGACCGAGCCTTCCTCGTGCATAATAAAAAGACCTACCCTCCATGCCCCCGGCAAGCTGCAGTAGCAAATGAGAGGGACAGAGTTTCTCTTGCATGTTGACCCACGCCCAGCCCTGTCCCCAATGGTGATAAATGTCTCCCATGCAGACATGTATGCCCAGCTCCGCTCCCCGCACAGTGATTTGTGTCTCTGAAACTGCTCCAGGCACTCTGGAACAGACATGCTGCTGGGGAAGAGGCAAATGTCCCCCTGCAGATTTCTTTTGCATTTTTCTGCATGGGGTGTACAGAAATATGTGGGCTGTATGGATTCTGCACCACTGCAGGGACGCAGAATTCTGTCAGGAGTATAGGCTAAATTTCCACAACTCCAGAGTGATACCAACTCTCCAGCACCCTCTACCCCAGGCTACTCCCTGCAAACACACCTGGCTGCCCCCCTACCCTGACTTCTGCAACCATGGAGGACCTTCACTTCATACACCTTGGCATTTCTTTCTGGGTTTAAAAAGTAGCCCAGCTAGTTCCAGAGTTTTAAAATGGAATAGTCTCACTTGCCATGTATAACAGCTTCACTGGGGGATAACCACATCTAATTTTCAAACAATGGTGATTTCCTATATATTTTACTGTTCTTGCCTTTTTAAGAAAAATGGTCTCTTGCATACACCAATCTCCAAATCTACCTGGGTTTCAAATTGGTAGGTGTAATGTGATTTTGTTGGGTGGATAGAAGTGTACAGATAAATATTAGACGCTTGGGAGAAATTTCTAAAAGGAGTCATTCTTAAATCTGGAAAAGTAGTTGCTCAGTTTGTTCAGTGTTAGAATATGTTCCAGTTGTCACTGAGACCTGTCTTTAAATAGTTGAAAGAATTAGGTTTTTTGTTGTGCTACAAGTGAGATCAAGCTCAGCCCTGACTAAGGAAAGGCTGACATGCTTCCATAATAAACCACATACTTGCAGATCTTGGACTAGAACCCTGGTCCTAAAGCTCCAAAAATCACAAGCCTCTGCCATTTGAGCTGAAATAAAGCTCCGTGACCTGAATAGTGGCTCCCTTATGCTTTGTGAACCAGCCACTAGAGGGCAGCATCACACACCCAAAGATAGTACATTCCAGGGGTCCATACTCATATGATCATAGAATCATAGAATCATAGAATATCAGGGCTGGAAGGGACCTCAGGAGGTCATCTAGTCCAACCCCCTGCTCAAAGCAGGACCCATCCCCAATTAAATCATCCCAGCCAGGGCTTTGTCAAGCCTGACCTTAAAAACTTCTAAGGAAGGAGATTCTACCACCTCCCTAGGTAACGCATTCCAGTGTTTCACCACCCTCCCAGTGAAAAAGTTTTTCCTAAACCTAACCTAAACCTCCCCCACTGCAACTTGAGACCATTACTCCTTGTTCTGTCATCTGCGACCACTGAAAACAGTCTAGAGCCATCCTCTTTGGAACCCCCTTTCAGGTAGTTGAAAGCAGCTATCAAATCCCCCCTCATTCTTCTCTTCTGCAGACTAAAAAGTGATGCCCGTCTGTGCCAAACCCTGAGCTCAGATGCACAGCAAGGGCCAGGGATAGGGCAGTGTTGACTCCATTGCCATCTGTCCATGTGTTGCCTAAGTGTTTTCCTGTCATTTGCTGGAGTTTAGATAGGACTGAGCTGCAGAAGGCCATGGAACACAACAACAGACTGGACAAGGAAATTCTAGCATTGCGCAGTCGGGTCCGATTGCTTGACTCTGAAAGAAAAGTGTTCCTAGAACTGGTAAGTCTCTGTCTCCACCTTATTTGGCATGTAATTCACTCTCAGTCTGCTGTAGCACTGAGCTGTCCATGCCTCAGCTGTTTATTCAGTCACACCATCACATCTAGCCTTTCCTGCTGCTGTGCCCCTGGACTCGTTAATCTCACCTTGAGTCAGAGTTCTCCCGTTTTCTGGTTAGTGTCCACTAAAGGAACCTGAACAACCAGAAACATTCGGACACTGGGTGTTTCTGTAAACAAATTTCTATGGCCTGTGACCATGAGCCTCACGGCTGCTGGAAACATTAAGCACCCAGAGCTCCAAACGAAATTAGTGGGAGCTGTGAGTGCTGAAGTGACTCAGGTTGGGTACCCAAAAAGGAAACACTGAAATCCCATCCCTCTCCTATTGACTGCAACGGGGGTTAAGCCTAAACTTACCTTTAAGCCCATGCTTACATGCTTTGCTGAGTAGGGACAGCATTGCTCATGTGCTTAAGTTTAAGCATGTGTTTCAGTGCTTTACTGAACTGGGACCTTAACATGCATGTTGTGTTATTGTGCCCCGCTTGCCGTGTGATCCAGATTGTTCTCTATTAGTAGCCTGTCCTCAGCATTATTTACCACCCGAATAATGTGCAAATGTTGTCAGATGTGATTTTATATTTTCTTTGGGGTCATTGTGTGACGAAGTGGGACTGTTCTTAATGTTTCCTCTGAATATTGTGGGGGTGCCTCAGTTTCCCCTCTGCAGTTCTTAAGTATCTAGGTGGTGGGGTAAGGGTGTATGATCACTGCAGAGCCCTAGAGGGCAGGTGTGTGCAGGAGTCTGGACACAGAGAATGGCCGACACCCTGTTTCCTGGCAACTGATGGCCTGGGCCCTTGCCCCCTGCAAGGTGAGAGCTAAAGGGTTGGAAAACAAAGGAATCAGGTGACCTCCTGGCCCGGGAAAGGGACAAAGCCCAGAGGAGGTGGGGCTGGAGGGAGTTTCAGTTTGGGGCTAGCTGGGACATGGAGTGAAGTACAGACGTGGTTGTCTGGCTCACTGCCCCCCAAAATGGACCCAGCTGAGGGGTCCTGTTCTCTGCACCTGCAAGCTCTGTGTTAGACCATGTTCCTGTTGTCTAATAAACCTCTGTTTTACTGGCTGGCTGAGAGTCACGTCTGACTGCGGAGTTGGGAGGCAGGACCCTCTGGCTTCCCCAGGAGCCCCACCTGAGTGGACTCGCTGTGGGAAGCGCACGGAGGGGCAGAGGATGCTGAATGCTCCGAGGTCAGACCCAGGAAGGTGGAAGCTGTGTGAGCTGTGTGTCCTGAAGACAGGCTGCTCACAGAAAGGCGACTGCCCCAGAGTCCTGACTGGCTTCATGGGGAGCAGTTCCAGAGCATCACCCAGGGACTCCGTGACACATTGATAAAGATATTGAATAGTGTTGGGATTGATCCTGTGAGACCCTATCAGCAGGAGGTAGCATCTCTCACCTAGTGGTTAGATTCCAAGGCAGCAGTGACACCCAATGGTTCACCTCTGGCGGAAATTTCACCTAGTGGGTGTCACTCTTGAAGGCAGCAACCCTGCCTAGTGGGTATAGTTCATGGGTGCCAGCTCAGCCTAGTGGGTTCAGTTCACAGGCGGCAGCCCGGCCTAGTGTGTTCAGTTCTCAGTAGGGTAAGGGAACCTGGGCCCTCCCACTGCACAGGGTTCTGACCCAGGGCCCTGGGAGGCTGGTTTGGCTCCTCTCACCCTATGGTTTCTTGCATCAGTCTCCAGACAGCTTCCCTGGGTCACTTCCTACCTCCTTTTGCATCCCAGCTGGCCACCAGCCATCCCTGAGGAGCACTGCCTTCTGGGCTTCCTGATCTGGCCCCAGTCTCCAGTGCTGCAGCTCCCTATTCCTTGGCTTGGTGTAGGATCCAGCCATGTCTCCCCTGAAGCTCCCAGAGCACATCTTTCTCCCTGGCCTGCTAGTCCTGACTGAGCTGTTTGGCTGCCTTTTAAACCCTGCCTCCAATCTGAGCACACATGGCACAGTCGGAGGGGCAGGGCCTCCTGAGACCAGAGTTTCTCCTTAACCCACTCCTGTCCAGTGAGAGGTTTATACACTCTGTCACAAACCGTCCTGCTCCGGATCGGTGCCAGGGCATAGTCCTGTGGTTCTTGGAAAATCCCTCTCCACCGCATCTCTCTAGAAAAATTGGTGTTTTTGTGATCCTTCCCTGCTCAGTGAAGGATTTCAAAGCTGTACAGCTGCAAGGAGAGGTATCACTGCATAATCCTGTGGTTAGTATTTGTCTTGGTGTCCAGGCATCATAGTGGCACGTGGTCAGTCACTAGCTGACCGGCATTCCCCCACAAGTAGTACTTAAAGCCTCCACAGCCCATTTCACTGCTAGGGCCTCCTTCTCAATGACCGATCAAAGGTACCAGGTATATATTGCTGGCTGGATCCATATTCAGTATACTCAGGGCAAATGTTACCAAGTCATGATCACGTCTACCTAAGCAACCACTATTTTTTAATTCAATGAGAAACTTAATTCTGATGGATAAAGATTATCATTATAATAGTAGTATAGCGAATCACACTTTTTTTGGGTACAATACTTTTTATGTTAGAAATTTATCATCTTTAATTTGTAGAAACTACTGGCAGGATGAGACCTTTAGCAAAATTTAAGTAGAAATTAACAGATGAAACTGGAGCCTTTCTCTTGTGTGTCTGTCCATGAGCAACCTCTTGGTGGTTGCCAACTGCAACATATATTTAACACCTTCTATTTCCATCCACATCCCAAAAAGTCAGATCCAGAATGTGTCCATTGTGGAGAGTAGAGTCAGAAAGCACCAGATAAACTCCCATATTTGTCGATGTGGCCTGGCTGATCCCAGGTTGATGTTCCAGTATGGACAATAAAATTGATTTTTAAAAAAGGAGTGCAATCCCTTGCCTCACCGAAGTCAGTAGCAAAACTCCCCCTGATGCTAATAAGACCAGGAGTTCACCCAAGAAGTCTTGGAGAATGCAATACCAGGCCTAACTATTATTATTTATTTTTTATTTTATTTTATTTTATTATGTATTAACAAGAAAATAGCTCCTTAGGCTCAGATAGGAATGCTGCAGAACAGCACGATTGTCTGTGTACTACCAGAATTCCTAGATCAATTTTATCCTGAAACTCACATGTCAGATGGACACATTCAAATGAATCCATCCTTGGTGTGGCATCTCCTACCTTTTGAGGTAACCTGCAAAGAGCACAGTTATATCCCTTTCCCTTAGATCATGTTGAAGCAAATATCCAGATGTTCAACCAGATCTTGGTAACACGTTCTACAAAATATACTCTGGCTCAACCGCAAGATATGGGCATGATGCAGGAATGACTGGGTGAAATTCTGTGGCCTGTGAGATCCCTTCTGGTCTTAAAACTCTATGAATTAGTGCAAGGCTTGAACCCAAATCCATGCCTAAATCACAGATGGTGGCTTTCCTGCTGTTCATTAAGCAATGTGAGCTGAAGGTTTGGGGCACTTCTTCCAGTTGCTCCATTAGGCCCCTGAAATAAGGCCTCAGAGGACACCAGTGGGACAGATAATAAAAGTTGGCCCTCTGGTCTTTTGTCTCAACATACCAGGATCAACCAGCCCATTTGCTAAAGAATCTGAGTTGTGCTCCCTAGAACCAGACAACTGCTACTGCCACACACACCCTCAGTGTGCCAGGTCACAGTGTGCCTTGTTGCTCCACCTCTCATCCACTGTTGTGATTTAATCTTCAACCTGCTGCCATGAGAATTGCTGTCATGACTCACAGAATAGGATGCAAAAGACGTAGTAAGATCAGAACCCCCCATCAGTTTTTCCCTTGCAGTAGATGAGAGAACCACCTGAAATCCCTCCTCTTCAAATACTTTGGCTGGGATTTTGTACATGTTTTAAATGATAAAGAAGTAGCACTTTTGATCATACATTTATCTCATCTTGGAGCTTTAGCAGGGAATACGAATACAGCTGACACAGTAATATTCTTATACAATTCAATTAGGAATTGCATATTGTCCCATGCAATATGTGAATGTTGATATGAGAACCAGCTTTGATTTTTCCAGAATATTGTGATTTGAATTCTGAACATTAATGGTTGAATTATTTTAGCCTTCTAGCATTTAATCTAGCAGTTTATTAACAATTAAATTAGCAAGATTTCAACTGTTGGTTTCCTAGGAATTTGACAAAACATTTTTACTTGTATGTTGAAGATTTTGGACTGTTTGTTTCAATTGGTGTGGTATTATCTTAGAATATTTTTGATTAAAACAATGTTCTTAATTTTGCATAATGTGCTTTTAAAACCCTACTTATGGGTAATTATTTGGGCTGTTCTCCTTTTCCTGATTTGCTGTGAGTTGTAAAGTGACTTTAGCTGGCCAGATGAAGATACAATGGAAATACAAGAGACTCTTTTTGCCTTTAAAGGTTGAAAAGCTCAAAGAAGAGATTTGTGAGTATCAAAAGAATGAGAAACCAGGACTTGTAGTGCCTGGAATGGATGAAACAGAAGAAAACGCATGTTGCTCACTGCAGGTATTTTCAACAGCTGATTTTCAGGTTGCCATCTGAGAAATTGTTTAAAATAAATGGGCTTTATTCTTCTCTTAAGTCATATAACACGAATAAGAATATAGCACAACTGTGCTTTCGTTCTAATTAGGCAAATTTTGTGTATTTCCATTCTAGAATTTGAGTGTGGCTCAGTGATATGGATTCATATGACTTTAGGACATATGGGGCTTAGAAATGCATTTAAAGTTAAGAACAAATCTCTGCTAGTATAAACCGATGTTGACTGATTGGCTCCATTACACTCCTAGTGGGATTGAGGGTAGAAGATTCTACTTCCTCTCTGTTTACACTGTAACTTACGTACATTAGGATGCTCTTGGGTACAGCCATTTCCGAGATTTCTCTTTTATGTTTTTCTTAAATCTCTGCTGACTTTAAATATATTCTTTAAATTCAGGATAAAAAAGATCCAGCGAGGTTTGAAGAAGAGTGTGCTGTAGACAAAGCTGACTCAATTCAGGAAAGAAGAGATCAGAATAATGAGACTGTTCATAAAAGGTGAATAATGTGGCTAGCCAAGGGGAATGGCTCAGTCATTGCAGTTTTAACCAAATTCAAAGTGAAAACACAAGTGAATCTGATCTATGTTTGCTTCAAAATCTCCACCTTGACAATGAGAATTGTGCTTTCAGTTGTCACCTCCTATTGTCCTTCCTCGGTTGCTTCCATATAGCCCCGTTCAAGAACCCACTAGTTGTCCCGGAGCAGCTTTCCCTTCTTGCAATGTTAATGTCACTGGTGTGGGAGCATTTACTGCTTGCTTTAAAAGACCTTTTAATGTTAGCTTTGTTCGCTGGTTCATAAATCATAATCACTGGAGGTAATAAAGCTCTCAGCTGGCCTCTAGCCCCCAGGGTCAGGGCAGGAGATTTCCCTCCAACGTGTTCTCCATGGCTTTCTCCAGCCTCATGTTACATTTCTTAAGCAATGGGGCTTCCAGCACATCCTTTGGAAAATGACTTGGTAGTCTGATACATTTCGCTGTCAGGAGGGTTTTCCCTGGTATCTAGTCTACATTTTCCTTCTGCGTCCCAAAGTCATGCTGCTTTGTTGTTGTTTATTTTTTTACTACTATATGATGTTGCAAACTCCTATCAAGGCATTCACTTTTTAAGTTAAACCCCCAGACTGGGGTCTTCTAGAGGGTCAAAGCTTCATTTCTCTCCACCCTGCCACCGCAGCTGCTAAGAGAGGAGGGGTGCCTGCTGCCTGTCCCACCTTGTCTGCTCCTCTTTGGATGCATCAGGGAAAGGAGAGTCCTGGCTTGTCTCCATCAATTTTTGGGCAGCTGAATGGCCTTGTGCTGCCCCTGCTGCTCTTCAGGTGGGTCCTCGCCACCCCCACCAGTGCAGAGGGCTCTATGTGAGTATCCAAGCAGGGGATGGGGCTAAGGTGCAGCAGGGGACGGCTAAGGTGGGTCATGTTGGGGATGGGACTGCAGTGGGATCATCAGAGTCCCAGGTTACCTGAGTCCAGACCTGCAATCACCCAGGACAGACATGCCTCATCTCTGGAGTTTATAAAATACTTCTGGGGAGCCTGTGTGCTTTCCTGTGTACTCTCCCCAAACCCCCATCCAGTGATTGGTCTCTGCCAGGTGCATGAAGGATTGTAATGATTGTGTGATTATATGTTAATTTAGCAGTTATAGCAATTATTGTCATTGGTGTCTAGGTGCCGAAAGGTAATAGACGACATTGAGGGCAGGAATTTTCAGCTTCTGCACAAGCTACAGAAGCTGCAGCGAGAACACGAGGATTTGGTTGAACGTAATGAAGAGTTAGAATCGATTCTGGGAGAAACTCAGAACCAAACCAGAGAAGAGAGAGAACATCTTGAGGGTGAGATTGAAGGACTTCACAGGAAAGTAAGTTAGAATTAAAGAGCGCCAGATATTTCTTTTTAACCTTTATCTCCTTTTGGCGCTATACAATGACAAATAAAATAAAACAATATTTTATATAACATTGCATGTTGCTGTGCTTTTTGGTTCAGCAGATATACAACTAGCAACATCCACCAAATCCAGAAATCTGGGAGAAGAGATGAAAAAATCAAACAGTTAATTATGACACTCGTGTTTTGGAAGTAAGGATTCTTATGCACACAACAGTGTCGTCTTTTTCACAGTCAGAGGCCATTTAAAAGGGCTTCCAGTAATACTGAAAAATGACAGAATCAGCTTCTGAACCATTGGGAATCAGGCAGGGGTTCCTTTTGTAAATGTTTCCTTCTGGGGCTGTGTTACTGCTCAGATGGCCTGAGCCAAGGGTGCATCAGGATTGGGGATTGTCTTTTTGGAGAGCCAGTGAGGAGAATCAAGTAGTCACAGTGATAGTGGGCTGTGTAACTGGACATCTGGCATGTGCTCAATAATAGCAGCTGTGCTGACCCGCCTCAGGGAGGAGCTGCAGCTATGTTGTGCCAGTGGACAGAGGAATGGCACGTGGGATGGCAGGGTTGGGGGGAGTGGAGAGACAGGCATGGATGTGAGAGTAGGAGGTGGGCTAAAAGCAATGCTGTAGAATTAATGCAGGAGAGCCAGTGTGTGAGGAAAGCAAAGGCTGCAATGCAATGTGAGTGCTGCAACTCTCTGACCTCTGAGATGTCCCCACTTTAGAGGTGCTTCAGAAATAAGGGGTAATGCATATAGAAGGGCGGTGCCTATGTTTTAGAGCAACTGGACATTCAGAGTATATCCAGCCCTGGTTCCTCCAGTTCTAATGGAGTTAGAGATATCCAGATAGTAGAATCCACCCTATGTGTTGACAAGCAGATACTCATGATCAGAGGATATGCATCTGCTGTGAACAGATATTTTAGGGGGCGCTAAATATAATACCAAAAGAAATTATAACCAGAGCTGTCAGTGATAGTGAAGGCTGAGGTTGCTGTCCCACTAGGAAGCTGACTTTAGACATTTATTACTTCCTCAACAGTTTTTCTTTGGCTCTGAAATTTGTCATACTTCATCTCTCCCCAAATACTGTTTTTTCAGTAAATTTGCAAGAAAACCCACCCAGCTGTTTTTGAATTTTTTGACTGTTTTTTTTATAAAAGGTCCCCCAAATGCTTCAGCAAATCCTCACTAGCAAGTACTAGCAAGCCCATGCCCCTAGTACAAGGCATGTGCGGGATCTCCAGAGCTCAAAGTTCTGAAGCATTAGCTCCAAGAGGGGTAGCCTGCTGCATCTACAGTCTAGGTATAGCACACTTGGTTCCTCCAAATGTCGTCATCTTGTTCTTCCTGTATAGATCCACCCTACTGCAGTGTGCAAGCCTGGAACCTTCTGGATAGCAGTTAGGGTCTGTTTTTGCTGTTTTTTGAGGGGTTTGCCTCCATTTCCATGTGTGTTCAGACTCATTACTGTGATGTTGATATTCTCCATGGCTAGAACCTGTAAGAGGATTGGCTTTAAGTGCTGCCCTTTATATGGACCCAAGACGTCTATCAGATCAGCATGTTCCATCCCTTACCTGTCTGTGAGCAGCATTCCCTGAGGTTGTGGTTAGTTTGGGCAGCCTTCATTCTTGAGGCCTGAAAAGCCAGAGAGAGCCGTCTCCAGCTCTTCCTTTTAGAATAAGCTCTTGAAGCTCCATTGGTAGAATCTAACACCGAGGGTCTGGCTAAGTTATCCTCTAAAGACTTTCCAGCTACCTTGGCCACAGGTCAATGAATGGTCCCCAGTTCAGATCTAAGGAGAGTTCTTCAAGTCTGAGATCTGCCTTGCAGCCTAGAGAAGTCAGAGGAAACCTCAGCCTCATGGGATCGAGAGTCATACCAGGGAAAAGAAGCAGCAGTAATAGTTCACTTGTGTCAATGAGGCTTAAGTGAGGCCTGGCTCTGGGGCTCGCTTGGCACTGTTAGGTCCTTGCAGTCAAGCGTTGCAGGTGCAGGTAGTGTTTTCTCCAGATCTGACTAGGCTTTCTCTTCGTCCTTTTTTCCTCTTCCATTGTTTGAACAGGGAGCCTATGGCTCTCCTGAGGCTTCTGAAAAGCTACTCTTGGTTCCTGTATCTTGAATCCAAGGACATTTAGATTCACTCTCACACTGCCATGCGATATCACTCTGAATGTCCTTGGAACATAAGACCCCAACACCTCTGTTTCTAGGAACGTTTGATTTTATTTTGATTCTGTGTGCACTTATCTTGAACTCTAGGGGCCATATTCTCAGTTACACCAAGGTCCCTTCACATGGATGATTTAGTTGGGGATTGGTCCTGCTTTGAGCAGGGGGTTGGACTAGATGACCTCCTGAGGTCCCTTCCAACCCTGATATTCTACGATTCTATGGCTCTGGCCTTAATGTAGGTGTGATTGTAACCATAGCAATGAAGTGAAGCCATCAATGTCTCCTCCCATTCTTCACCATCCCAAGCCTTGGAGAACAAATGAGTTTTATAGCGTGTCCAGTAGGTCACCAGATTGTGGCTTGGCTCAACCCATGTAGGGACAGGAGTTCCAGAGATCAGGACCCCTCACCAAGAACGTCCTGGCACAGGCCTTTCCCAGGTCCTCCAGGAGGCTGACAGCATGAGCTCACAACTGCCGTGGTGTCACATCAGGAGGGAGGCAGTTGCTCAAGCCGAGAAGACTCGAATCATTTAGGGATTTCTAAGACAAAAACAACATGAAACCGCACTCAGAAATGTGTGCTCTGGGTGAAATGCCATTTAATACACAAGTTGCCCCTCTGTGCTCTAGATGCAATTTCTGCATGGTCTGAAGGTGTAGTCCCATGTAGAGTACATTGTAGTCATCTTGCCTAGAGAAATGGCTGGACCAAGGTGAGGTCCCACATCTGAAAGAAACAGACACAGCCTCCTTGCCAAGGGCAGATGGTAAGAAATATTCTTGGGAACTGCTGCAAATAGGTTTCCACCAGACCCGCATCTTGCAAAACTTAGCAGCAAATATTGGGAGTATCCAGTCCCTTGGAGATACTGGAATCATTTCTGTTCTTTCATCTGAGTCTTTCTCCCAATCTCTAGGCATTATCTCAATTTGAAATGGACTGCGTGTCAGCCAGCCTAGCCCTCATCCAGGCCCCAGTCTCCATTTAGACATTGGGTAAATCAACTCACCACACCAGCCAGAGGCAAAAAAATAGAAATATACAGCTAGTTATCATCATCATGAGCCATGTTTCCTTGCTCGCCCCCCAGTTGCCCCATACACATGTTGAACAAGGAGAGCATCAGACCAGAACCACATGACACCATGCCAGAGAAGAGCAACTGCCCAATACCATCCTCTGGGAACTCTTGGTGCTTCACAAAATGTAAGATAACCATATCTGGTACAAAAATGCTAATAAGACACATTAATTAGATAACCTTATGAAACTCCAACTCAACCTATAACGTCCAGTTTAAACTCATGTCACTTCACAAATCTGAGGCACCTTACTGCCTGCTAATCTTCCAGTAATGCTGATTTGTGCAGAAAGGTAATACTCCAAGAAGAGGAGTTTCTTGCTGTTAACTGTAGTTTTTGTTGGTATAGATCCTTGTGTCCCATACACCTTCCTCTGTTCTTCTGTCTTTTCTCATGGGTTCTGAGTAACGAACTGGGGATGATACTCCAACTGCTGACTGACTAATCTCAGTACAATGGCAACTCCCCCAACCAAGTAGGAGACTATGTTAGGAAGGGAAGAGAAACACGTTCCAGGACCGCTGGCACTAGAAGAGAAAGTGGAGTATTGCAGTGTCCCGTTAGGTATTTGATATAGAATGCTGAGCCCAGCATGTGCTCCTTAGCGACCAAACTGTCGTAGAACATTCTGGGTATTCGCAAGACCAGACATGTGACTCCGTAAGTGGGCATCTGCAAGGAAAAATCAATGCAGGAGAACATGAAGGATAGGTGACTTACATCACAGCTGATAAGTGGGAGACCTAGAATCAGAAACAAGGTACTTGGGCTTGTAAGTCTCTGTCTGACCCACCGCAGTGCTGGGCAGGCAAGTCATTGAGCTTTGAGCTCTCTGGTCTGTAAAATAGCCTAAAAATACTTTGCCCTTTCTTAGCACTTACTTATTGGTAGCTTTCAAAGCAGCCCCACTTTACAGGTGGTGGAACCTGTGCATGGATTTGGAACCCTGTTTTTAGTGAGGCACAGTGGATGAGGACATGGCTCCATCACAACAGAGATCTGGCCTGGGCTCCCAGCTCTGCTGCAAACCTCCTCAATCTGTTGACTGCTTAGAACCTGATTTGTCAAGCATGGATAAGTGTCAAATCCAAACCTATCCCCTCTGTAACAAAGCTGGGTGCTGTTTCTCAGTGAGTGCTATTGAGGTGCCAAATTTCAATTAACTCCCAGGCATTCCAGCTATACAGCTGTTCAAAAACCAAGCCATTTCCTTCGCCCTTCATCTAGAAGCCAAGACCATCTTTTGGTGGACAGCCCCAAGACCAGCAAGAGAGGTTTCTCAAGAATACAGTGCCAATGCCATTGTGTCTCAAGTGGAGTCATCCAGAGATCTCATTGCATCACACTGCAGCTCAAAATACCCTGTGTTCTGTTACAGGGTACACAGAGATCAAGAGTTATTGGTGGATGCTTCTCTATTCTACTGGGGCAGGCAGCTGTTTCCCACCTTGCCCTGTTCCTATCAATCTTCTGAGCTTTAAAATAAGACAAAGCCCAGGATCATCATGATAACTCCATCCTGGGCCCATCAGGAGCGGTGCTGCTAGAACCTGTGGCCAGTGTCTAGATTTATTTTTCCAATAGTCCAAATCCCCATCCTCAGATCCAGAATCCCTTCACCTGACAGCTTGGATCTTGGGTCCTAAATTCCTGATGACTTGCAGTTTTGCGCTGATGAATTGAGGTTGGTTTGTAAGCCTTCCACCTGAATGTCTTTCCCTGTTTCCCTTTGTACTAGGAAACAGAACTGGGTGGTATCTCCAGGTTCTGACCTAGTCATCATTTACTTTAGTGGGAACTGTGCATGCTCAGCACCTCTGAAAATCAGGCCATTTATTTGGGTGCCTAACTATAGATTTAGGTGCCTACCTGTAGCACTTACATTTGGACCTTGAGCCCATGGTTTTTGGTAAGCTCCCTTTGGGGAGTAGCCTACTATGTTTTTCATTGAAGGGAGAGTTCGCTATCACTTTTGCTAGGAGGGTAAAGTCGTTCAAAAGGACAATTTCTAAGTAGTGTTGGGTTTCCATCTAAAGCAGTAGGTAGCTTTGCCAGTTCTCCCCCACCCCAACCCTTGTCCTATACCAGCAGAAGGAAGATAGCGTGGTCTGTGTCATAATCTCTAGAGTCACAGACCTCCTTGAACCTCCATTTACCGTGCAGCCAGCTCTTGCGATTTTCATCCTGAGTCTCATAATATCTGGTAAAGAGTCCTGTGGCACCTTATAGACTAATAAACGTATTGGAGCATAAGCTTTCGTGGGTGAATACCCACTTTGTCAGATGCACGTAGTGGAAATTTCCATAGGCAGGTATGAATATGCAAGCAAGAATCAGGCTAGGGATAACGAGGTTAGTTCAATCAGGGAGGATGAGGCCCTCTTCTAGCAGTTGAGGTGTGGACACCAAGGGAGGAAAAACTGCTTTTGTAGTTGGCTAGCCATTCACAGTCTCCTTCCTTGGTGTCCACACCTCAACTGCTAGAAGAGGGCCTCATCCTCCCTGATTGAACTAACCTCGTTATCCCTAGCCTGATTCTTGCTTGCATATTCATACCTGCCTATGGAAATTTCCACTACGTGCATCTGACGAAGTGGGTATTCACCCACGAAAGCTCAAGCTCCAATACGTCTGTTAGTCTATAAGGTGCCACAGGACTCTTTGCTGCTTTTACAGATCCAGACTAACATGGCTACCCCTCTGATACATAATATCTGGTGTTTTATTAAAGCCCAAGATCCATGAGTCCTGTGATTCTGTGGATCTCAGTTTTCATTTAAAAAAAGAAGACGTTTCTAGTTCTGGTTGCAGAGGAAAGCTTAAAGGTGTGACCCTGAAAAGCTCAAAACCCAGAAGGCAAAAAAAAGGAACCTAAACTTTGGGTTTTTTTTAAATCTTATGATTTTAAGGCAATCTCGTAACTTGTGGTGGGCTGGCAGCACTGCCTTTATCAGAGAACACAGCTCCCTCAGCAGCTTCAGATACCCCTCCCTGCCTGGGACTTACAACGTAGCACACAGACATCTAGTGGCTGAATAGTACAACTGCAAGTCAATCTCCTTGTTTCAATTTACAGTATTACATTGTAATCACTTAAAACAGTCAATGGGATTTGCAGAGGCTCAGCAGCTCTTAGGTGAATACTGAATGATGATGACAACTGCGTATGTGCGAAGAATGCAAGAAGAAAACAAAATGTTGTAAGACCCTTGAGTCCTCAGTTGTGTGAATTTGTCATTCATTAAAACAGTGGTGCCCACATATACCTAAGTACAGCCTTATGTGGGCCAAGCAGGTTCTACATATTTTAATAAGATTTCAAGGCACCTGTATTGATTTATATTTAAAGTTCAGCTTGTCTCGTATGTATTTAGATAGAAAGAACCTATGTACAGTATTGTCTATTTAAAAACAAAGAAATCAGTGCATAAAACATGAATTATAGAAAACAGGGAAAAAACTGTAAAGATACTTCTGATACTTCCTTGTGTAAACTAAAGTGATGTAAGCATGATGACAAAACACTAGTGAATTGGCCATTAGTATATTGTATTGAAGCAGGCCACGGGTCTGATGAAATGCTGTAGTGGTCTGTGTACAGCCCAAGGGCCACAGGTGAGGCATCCCTGCCTTAAAGTATATTTGTACATGGAAATTGCACATGAAAATGGCACATTAATCTTTAGTGTCATTCCATAGAATGTATCCTTATATCTTTTTGCTTATAGCCATTTACTTTGCATTTTCACTTTTGCTTCATGCTGGTTCTGGGAGGTCAGCTCAGCTGTCTGGAGATGTGAAAGTCATTAGAAATGTTTATACAAAGAACAGAAGCTGACAGCCGGAGTGAATACAATGACTTCCTGCTTCAGCTGATGTGGGGTTTGAACCTGTATCCTTCAACTCTCAAAGCATGAGCCTGACTTCCACAAGTCACAAGGAGGGGGGCTTCTAATTCCCTAAAACCCTTGCCAATCCCAGCCTATAGGGCTCATTGTTGTCCCCATGAGAGTGCCCTACGCTAGGAGGATCCCCGGAGGATGTTTAAGGCCCTAGTCCACTGCTTATCATTCAGCATTGGAGTAGCCCTGGTGAGATCAATGGAACTACTCTCAACAACTCACTCGTGCTTAAATGCTTTGCTGGGTCAGGTCCAGAGTGCCTGATGCCTTGCAGGACTGATCTCTAAGCCAGCATTATGGCCCCCTGGTGCTAGAGGCTAGAAGGAGCTATGAATCTGACCCAGCATCAGCCTGGATGACAACTGTGCTCTGGAGCTCTGCTGGGGGAGGAGTGGGGCCAAAGGCAAATGTGAGTTGGGTAGGGGAAGAAGAAGTTTTCTTCATTTATGGGTTAGGGAGGCCTCTCTGTACCACAATGACAGGATCTGTTGGGCTCCTCGACTGCTCCTCTTCGATGAAGGCCCACAAAGAGCAATCTATGGGGGGATGTAATGTTAAAAAGGTGTCTGGATATCTTTCCCAAGTTCTTCCAGAGACCCTTTTTGTGCAGCTAGGTTCTCACTTTTACAGGTTGGTCCTGAGCAGCCAATCCACCCTTTTGACCAACATCCATAGACTGTGCTGGAGCTTGTGTGGCATAGGCAGCTCTCAGCATTTTCTCCCAGCCTCTCTGTTTCTAAAATTGCTGTTTCTATCATACATGTTTTCATGATTCAAATGGCAAGTGTATGTTTTTAAACTGGGGATTTATTTGTGTCAAGATCACAAGTTTAGAGACGGAATTACTCAAAGCACAGATGAATAAAACTGAAGCCAACATGAAAGATCAAGAAACAACTAAAAAAGTGCAAGATTTCCAAGAGGTAAGAGAACTTTGCTGAGGAACCAACTGTTCTGGTTAAAAATTCAACTGGGTGGATACTTGCTATTCCCATGCAGTTGTTCCGGAACGGTCAGCCCTTCTTTGGTTCATGACAAGGGAATCAGCATTTTTGGCATCTCTTCCTCCTGCAGTTTGTCCAGCAGGCTGCAGCAATAATAATCTGGCATCCCTTCCACTCTGAGCCTGTCCCCCACACCCATGAATCCCTTCTCGGGCTCCCTGAAGCTTAAACTCCCTGTTCTTCCTTCTGAGGCACTATACAACTCTGCCCCCATCCAGTATGACACCCTTAACATCTGCCTCCCTCCTGTCTCCTGATTAATGCCCTGCCAGCTCCAGCTGCCTCCTTCCCGTCTCCTGGTCAATGCCCTTCCAGGCCCAGCTGGGCAACAATTTTTGCCCAAAAATTTTTTCACCAAAAAATGCAGATTTGGGTTGACCAAAACATTTCACAAATTCACCAAATAATTATATTAAAAAAACCCTGAAAAATTGAAGCATTTCAGTTTTTCAATTCTAAACTACTTCTATTTTATTGAAAAAGATATAAAAGAAACCCCAAAATCGAAATGATTTGTTTGACCTGGAACAAAAATTTTCCAACTTCTTTGGTTTGCCAATAAATTCAAATAATTTTCATTTCAAGTCAGCCCGAAGGTAATTTTTTCCCCTCAGTTTAGCCAGGAACTGAAAAAATCAATTACTTGCACAGCTCCACTGTCGACACTTCTCCTTTCCCATAATCTCTTTGTCTCCGGCTCCTCCTCTGGCCCATTCTTCAGGCTGCCCCATTGACTGGAAGGGTGTTATTATTGCAGCAGAATATTAATTAATGGCATGGGGAAAGGGATAATATGTCCCCTCTGACCTTTCTCATCAAGTACCTCTTCTCTTCCCCCACCGTGCCTTGGGACAACCCTATGTCCAATGACAACATTTTGTCTAATGGTTCCATCTTCCCCAGCTGTTGCTACATATAAAACGATGGGGTCTAAATTAGCTGTTACCACTCAAGAAAGAGATCTTGAAGTCATTGTCGATAGTTCTTGGGAAAACATCCACTCAATGTGCAGCGGCAGTCAAAAAAGTGAACAGAATGTTGGGAATTGTTAAGAAAGGGATAGATAATAAGACAGAAAATATCATATTGCCTATATATAATTCCATGCTACGCCCGCATCTTGAATACTGCATGCAGATGGTGTCACCCCATCTCAAAAAAGGTATATTGGAATTGGAAAAGGTTCAGAAAAGGGAAACAAAAATGATTAGGGGTATGGAACAGCTTCCGTATGAGGAGAGATTAATAAGACTGGGAATTTTCAGCTTGGAAAAGAGACAACTAAGGGGGGATATAATAGAGATCAAAAAATCATGATTGGTGTGGAGAAAGTAAATAAGAAAGTGTTATTTACTCCTCATAACACAAGTACTAGGGGGCACCAAATTAAATTAATAGGCAGCAGATTTAAAACAAACAAAAGGAAGTATTTTTTCACACAGTGCACAGTCAACCTGTGGAACTCCTTGCCAGAGGATGTTGTGAAGGCCAAGACTATAACGGGGTTAAAAAAAAAACTAGATACATTCATGGAGTATAAGTCCATCAATGGCTATTAGCCAGGATGGACAGGAATGGTGTCCCTAGCCTCTGTTTGCCAGAAGCTGGGAATGGGCGACGGGATGGATCACTTATGTTCTTATGTTCTTAAGTTCCTTCCATCATTACTGAGTTAAAACCCCACGCCTTGCACCTCTAGTATTTTTAGCATGGTCTATATATTGTCTGTGATTCTGATATGTTGATGATCTCTGAGAACTAGTACTGGACAAGGTAATTTAGGGTTCTTGGCTGGGATTTCCAAATCTGTCTAGGGGATTTGGATGCCTGGGTTGCCATGGGAATTGGGAATCCAAATCCTGGCTGCAGCTTGGAGAATCCCAGCCCTCATCTTTCTAGTGTATGAAAGACTGTGGATGTGACTCATAACAGATGCTGCTGTTGAACAATTGCAGATGCTGAAAAGCCACGAGGAGAAGGTTGAAGTACTTGAAAGTAAATTATCAGAGGAGAGAGATTGGAGAAAGCAACTTGCATCTGACCTTGAAAAGACGCAGAAAGCTTTGAAGGCTGAAAAAAAGGTATTGAATGGCCGGACATGTGTTGTAGTGTGAAGCTGTTCTCTTGGGGAATGCTTACTAATTCTACTGTATTCTTGAACTAGATGGCCACCTCCGTCTTTCTAGAAGACCCCACAACGTTCCACATATAATTGTGCTTGTCCTTTAGTTAAATACCCATCTCTATCAAACAGACATTTCTGAAGGTCTCTTCAGGTTGCTTTGAATACAATTGTTTACCATGGCTTTCCTAGTCCCCTCCTCTGACTTTTTCCTCCATAATTTATCCCGGGTCTACAGCACATCTTATTTTTCCTTTCAGTCAATGATATAAAACAACAGCAAAAAAACTTTGCTGCCAAATAGAATTCTGCTGGACCAAGAAAAACAAACTGAAGTCAGGTAGAGCGTCCTGAAAGCCTGGAGCCCAGAAATTGCAGAGGACTAGATTTTGGACCCCTTACTCACCCTGATGAGCACTTATTGACACAGTATTGCTAGAATGTCTCCTATTTATACATCCAAGGACCGTGGCTCTTTTTGTCACACTATGCTGGTGTCAGTGTGAACTATGTTCTTTGTTTCTAGATGTATGACCTTGCATTTGGCTGTATTAAAACATAAGAACGGCCACACTGGGTCAGACCAATGGTCCATCGACCCCAGTATCCTGTCTTCCGACAGTGATCAGAGGGAATGAACAGAACAAGACAATTATCGAGTGATCCATCCCCTGTCATCCAGTCCCAGCTTCTGGCAGGCAGAGGTTTAGGGATGCCCTGGCATGGGGTTGCATCACTGAGCAACCTGGCTAATAGCTATTGATGGACCTATCCTCCATGAATTTATCTAATTCTTTTTTGAACTTGTTATAGTTTTGGCCTTCACAACATCCCCTGGCAACAAGTTCCATGAATTGATAGTGCATTGTTTGAAGAAGTACTTTCCTTATGTTTGTTTTAAACCTCCTACCTATTAATTTCATTGAGTAACCACTGGTTCTTGTGTTATGTGAAGGGATAAATAACACCTCCCTATTCACTTTCTCCACCCCATTCATTATTTTATAGCCCTCCATCATGTCCCCCCTTAGTCGTCTCTTTTCTAAGCTGAACAGTTCCAGTCTTTTTAATCTCTCCTCATATGGAAGCTGTTCCAGACCCTAATCATTTTTGTTGTGATTCTCAGTACTTTTTCCAATTCTAATATATTTTTTCTGAGATGGGGTGACATCCAGGTGTGGGCATACCAAGGATTTATATAGCAGCATTATGATATTTTCTGTATTCTTAGCTATCCCTTTCCTAATGGCTCCTAACATTCTTTTAGTTTTTTTAACTGCCACTGCACATTGTGCAGATGATTTCAGAGAACTATCCACGATGACTCCAAGATCTCTTACTTGAGTGGCAGGGGCATGTGACATTCCCCTCTGGTGTTATCTGTACCAGTGATCTGCTAGGCCACTCCAATCCTTGACTCTGGGAGCCAGCCTTACCCTGCTCTGCTGCGAGAACCCCACTCCTGGGCTGTTCACGCACAGCCTCTGGCATGTAAGCTGCTCCCAGCTACTTGCAAACAAATAACACTAGCCAATATCTCCGATCCCAGACGCAACCCTAGGAACCTCCGTCTTGCAGTGTCCAGTTATGGACACAGCAAGCTAATATAAGTGTCAAATTAACAAAGAAATTTATATGTTCCAGGCTTGTTATCCCAAGGGGAAACTCTCTGACATGCTTCAAACCAAATGCACTGCTTCAGGTAGAATAAACAAACAGATTTAACTATAAAGATAGATTCTAAGTGATTATACGTCAAAGCATAACAAGACAGATTTGGTCAAATGAAATAAAAGCAAAATGCATTCTAAGCTGTTCTTAACACTTTCAGTGCCCTTATAAACTTAGATGCTTCTCATCACAGGCTGGCTGGTTGCTTTTCAGCCAGGCTCTCCCCTTTGGTCTGTGCTTCAGTCGCTTGGTGGTGGTGGTGTCTGTAGATGTAGGTGGAAGAGAGAGAGAGCATGGCAAATATCTCTCCCTTTTATCATGTCCTTTCTTACCTCTTGGCTTTGCCCTCCCAGCCCCATTCAGAGTCAGGTGAGCATTACCTCATTGCAGTTCCAAACTGACCAAAGGAGGAGGGGTGACTCACTTGAGAGTCTAACAGATTCTTTTGTTGCTGCCTAGGCCAGCGTCCTTTGTTCCTGTGAGGCTGAGCTGGGTTTGTCCCATACCTGCCCTGATGAGGTGTGCACTACCTCTCTGCTCTTGTAGAGTATTTGTCTGGGCTTGCTTTAAGCCGTGAGGATACATTTTCAGCCTCATAACTATATACATGAAATTACAACCTATAACATTACTATAACATTACGGTAACAATGACTACTGTAACATCACTATAACAACAATGCTCAGCGCATCATTAGCCTTCCGAAGACACCCGACATGACAAACTTTGCATTGGATACCACACAATCATTTTCTAAAGATGAACATGGGAGTGTAGGGTGTTCCCCCAAGGTACAGAGTATCACAGCATGTGCAGGAATTTAAATTTCACCACTTTTGTGGGTGCACCGATGAGGGGCGCAGAACTCCTCTGCAGGAGGGAGACGAGCAAACTCCTCCAGCCCAGGAGCCCCAGCAAGGGGCGCAGAACTCCTTCTGCTCCTGAGCTGCAGCAGGGAAAGCACTCGCTGGAGAAGTTTGCTCTCCCTGCCGGAGCCCAGGAGCAGGAGGAGTTCTGCACCCCTTGCCGGGGACCCCAAGCCGGAGGAATTCTGCATCTCCCGCAGATTATTAGGTGGGGCCTGCCCCTGTTAAGTGGTAACAATCATAGAATATAGAATATCAGGGTTGGAAGGGACCTCAGGAGGTCATCTAGTCCAACCCCCTGCTCAAAGCAGGACCAATCCCCAACTAAATCATCCCAGCCAGGGCTTTGTCAAGCCTGACCTTAAAAACCTCAAAGGAAGGAGATTCCACCACCTCCCTAGGTAATGCATTCCAGTGTTTCACCACCCTCCTAGTGAAAAAGTTTTTCCTAATATCCAACCTAAACCTCCCCCACTACAACTTGAGCCCATTACTCCTCGTTCTATCATCTGCTACCACTGAGAACAGTGTAGATCCATCCCCTTTGGAACTCCCTTTCAGGTAGTTGAAAGCAGCTGTCAAATCCCCCCTCATTCTTCACTTCTGCAGACTAAACAATCCTAGTTCCCTTAGCCTTTTCTCATAAGTCATGTGTTCCAGTCCCCTAATCATTTTTGTTGCCCTCCGCTGGATGCTTTCCAATTTTTCCACATCCTTCTTGTAGTGTGGAGCCCAAAACTGGACACAGTACTTCAGATGAGGCCTCACCAATGTCGACTAGAAGGGAACGATCACGTCCCTCGATCTGCTGGCAATGCCCCTACTTATACAGCCCAAAATGCCGTTAGCCCTCTTGGCAACAAGGGCACACTGTTGACTCATATCCAGCTTCTCGTCCACTGTAACCCCTAGGTCCTTTCCATTTTGTTGCCATTTTGTTGCCATTTGAGTTTTCAAAGATAATGGCCAATGGCTCTGCAATCACATCCGCCAACTCCTTTAGCACTCTCGGATGCAGCTAATTTAGACCCCATCATTTTGTACGTATAGTTGGGATTCTGTTTTCCAATGTGCATTACTTTGCATTTATCAACATTGAATTTCTTCTGCCATTTTCTGCTGCCTAGCCATTCGGTCCCTAGTCTGTAGCGGTGCATGGGATTTTTACATCCTAAGTGCTGGATTCTGCATTTGTCCTTGCTGAACCTCATCAGATTTCTTTTGGCCCAATCCTCTAATTTGTCTAGGGCCCTCTGTATCCTATCCCTACCCTCCAGCGTATCTACCTCTCCTCCCAGTTTAGTGTCAACTGCAAACTTGCTATGGGTGCAGTCCACGCCATCCTCCAGATCATTAATGAAGATATTGAACAAAACCGGCCCCAGGACTGACCCTTGGGGCACTCTGCTTGATACCAGCTGCCAGCTGGACATGGAGCCATTGATCACTACTCGTTGAGCCTGACAATCTAGCCAGCTTTCTATCCTCCGTATAGTCCATTCATCCAGCCCATACTTCTTTAACTTGCTGGCAAGAATATTGTGGGAGACCATATCAAAAGCTTTGCTAAAGACCAGGAATAACACATCCACTGCTTTCCCCTCATCCACAGAGACCGTTATCTCATCACAGAAGGCAATTAGATCAGTCAGGCCTGACTTGCCCTTGGTGAATCCATGCTGACTGTTCCTGATCACTTTCCTCTCCTCTAAGTGCTTCAGAAGTGATTCCTTGAGGACCTGCTCCATGATTTTTCCAGGGACTGAGGTGAGGCTGACTGTCCTGTAGTTCCCTGGATCCTCCTTCCCTTTTTCAAAGATGGGCACTACATTAGCCTTTTTCCCATCGCCCGGGACCTCCCCCGATCGCCATGAGTTTTCAAAGATAATGGCCAATGGCTCTGCAATCACATCCGCCAACTCCTTTAGCACTCTCGGATGCAGCTAATTTAGACCCCATCATTTTGTACGTATAGTTGGGATTCTGTTTTCCAATGTGCATTACTTTGCATTTATCAACATTGAATTTCTTCTGCCATTTTGTTGCCCAGTCACCCAGTTTTGTGAGATCCCTTTGTAGCTCTTCACAGTCATCCTAGGACTTAACTATCTTGAGTAATTTTGTATCATATGTAAACTTTGCTATTCACTATTTACCTCCTTCTCCAGATCATTTATGAATATATTGAACAGTGCTGTCAAGTAGCCGAAAGGACTTGGTTTTACCTCTGTTTATTGCATTGGGGAGACCATTACTAGGATACTAAATCCAGTTCTGTGTCCACACTCTAAGCAGGACATTGACAGATTGGAAGAGGGTTTAGTGAAGAATTATAAGCATGAGAAGAGACAGTTCAGTCTATTTTGTGGAAGAGGAAGTTAAGAGGTGACTTCGGCCATGTCTGTACGTACAGCACGGCAGCTGTACAGATACAGCTGCGCCGCTCTCCCATTGGCCTAAAAAACCAGCTCCACGAGCGGCAGAAGCTATGTCAGTGGGAGAAGCTCTCCCGCCGACATAGCATTGTGCACACGAGCACTTATGTCAGTTTAACTTCTCTTGCTCAGTGGGGTGGTTTATTCACACCCCTGAGTGACGTAAGTTATGCTAACATGGGCTGTAGTGCAGACATAACTGTGCTCATGGTCTGTTGGTACCTACATGGGGAGAAGAGATAGTAGGGGACAGAGCAAGATCTAGTGGTTGAAGTTGAAGTCAGAAAGATTCAAACTGGAGGTAAGACAACTTTTTAACAAGGAGGGTAACTAACTATTGGAACAGCTTCCCAAGGGCTGTGTAAACTCATCTCTTGGAGACTTTACATTGAGATTGCATGTCTCGCTAAAAGATCTGCTCCAGTTCAACCTCCAGGGTAACTTACTTAAGGCAGGTCTACACTTAAAACGCAGCATCGGCAAAGCTGCAGTGCTTAAGTGAACATGCTCCTACACCAATGGGAGAGCGTCTCCTGTCAACGTAGTTAATCCACCTCTGCAAGAGGCAGTAGCAAAATCAACAGGAGAAGCTGTCCTACTGACATAGTGTTGTCTACACCAGGGGTTAGGTCAGTATAACTATCATAGAATCTCAGGGTTGGAAGGGACCTCAGGAGGTCATCTAGTCCAACCCCCTGCTCAAAGCAGGACCAATCCCCAATTTTTGCCCCAGATCCCTAAATGGCCCCTTCAAGGATTGAACTCACAACCCTGGGTTTAGCAGGCCAATGCTCAAACCACTGAGCTATCCCTTCCCCCCCCATGTTGCTCAGGGGTGTGGATTATTCACACCCTGACCTGAGCAACGTAGTTACACCAATATAAGTCTGGTTTCAGAGTAGCAGCCGTGTTAGTCTGTAACCGCAAAAAGAACAGGAGGACTTGTGGCACCGTAGAGACTAACAAATTTATTTGAGCATAAGCTCACGAAAGCTTATGCTCAAATAAATTTGTTAGTCTCTGAGGTGCCACAAGTCCTCCTGTTCTTTTTGCCAATATAAGTCTGTAGTGTGGACCTGGCCGTAGTAGTTTGCAGTGTTGTTGTAGCCTTGTTGGTCCCAGGTTATTAGAGAGACAAGAGGTAATATCTTTTATTGGACCAACTTCTGTTGGTGGGAGAGACGAGCTTTGGAGCTACCCAGAGATCTTCTTCAGGTCTGGGAAAGATGCTCCCAGTCTCACAGGTGAACACAAGGTGGGACAGATTGTTTAGCATAAGAAGTTAACACATAATGTAAGTCAGAGACCATTCAAGCTGAAGTGGCCAGTTAACAACTTTGTAGTCAAAGGACAAAAAAAGGTGTGTGGAGGGGTGGGGGACAGTGGGTTACAGATTGTTGTAATAAACCATAAATCCAGTGTCTTTATTAAGACCATGATTTGTAGTGTCTATGAATTTGAGCTCCCAGGCTCATCTTTTGACGGTGTTGTGCAGGTTTTCGTTGAGGCGATGAGGTCAGATATGGAGTGATCGTTTTGTGAAAAGTGTTTGCCCATGTGTGACATGGTATTTTTGTCTTTTATCATTTTCCTATGTGAGTTCATTTGAGAGTGTAGTGATTGTCTGGTTTCACCCACATAGTTGTTGTTTGGGCATTTAGTGCACTGGATGAGTTTCACCACATATTGTGATAGGCATGTGTCAGACCCCTGGATCTTGAGCAGTGTTTTGTGGGGGGTATTGATCATCACAGCAGTGGAGATATGTCTGCTGGTTTTGCATCTGTTGTTCTGGCAGGGTCTGGTGCTGCTTTGAATTGGTGGGTCTGTGGGGAGCTTGCTTCTGCTGATGATCTTGGTGAGGTTGGGGGGTTGTTTGAAGGCCAGAACAGGGGGTTTGGGAAAGATTTATTTCAGGATGTGGAGCACATCGAATATGGGTTGTAGCTGTTTAATGATACCCCGTATGAGTTCCGGTGTGGGGTGGTAGGTGATTGAAGGGTTTGGGTTTTTTTCCATGTTCACCCATAACAATTTTACATTCAACAATACACATTTTGTTCAAACCATGGGAACAACCTTGGGTACTAGGATGGTTCCCCAGAATACCAACTTCTTCATGGTTGTATGCAGAATTGATGTAGCCAGGTCAGTCCCAGGATATTAGAGAGACAAGGAGGGTGAGGTAATATCTTTTATTGGATCAGCCTCTGTGGGTGAGAGAGACAAGCTTTTGAGCTTCCACAGTGACCTGAAGAAGAGCTCTGTGTAAGCTTGTCCATCTCACTAATATGGACCCTCTTCTTGGGCCATCTTGAGGAATAATTTTCTGGACAAATGTGCCACGAAACCAATGATACACCTGAGGTACATCGATGATATTTTCATCCTCTGGACAGACAACCTAAACTCCCTCATAGACTTCCACCAGAACTTCAGCAATCACCACTTGTCCATCAAATTCTCTCTAGGACACTCCCAAACCAGCATCAACATCCGGGACACCACAATCAGCTTCAAAAATGAAATCCTACAAACCACTATATACAAGAGATCCATGAATCACCACACTTACCTTCACAGATTCAGTAACCATCCCAAACCAGGGACAGTGGAGCCTTCCCAAAAGTGAGGGAACCAGGGCCCCTGCCTGCTCTGTGGCCCCACCCGTGTCCCTCCTCTTCCCCCAAGGCTCTGCCCTGGCGAAGCCAGAAGCCAGAGTGGGGCCAGGGAGCCCAGGCCCCTCTAGCTGCCTGGGGTGGGGGGGCTCCCCACAGCTGTTCGTGCAGCTCTTACCCCGACCCAGACCCAGCCAGGGGGGCGGGGCCTCGGAGGCGCAGACCAGCCATGGTAAGTGCCTTCCAGGCAGCTGTGGGGAGCTACAGACCCTCCATCTGCCCGGGGCTGGGAACGCAGGGGGCAGGGACATGGGCCAGGGGCTGCTCTCAGGCCCCCGCACCATGGGCAGGTGGAGGGTCTGTCGCTCCCCACAGCTGCCTGTGCTCCCCAGCTGGGCTATGCTTCTGGCCTGTCCGGGGTATGGGCCTTCGGGGGGAAGAGGAGAGGTGGGGGGCGGGGCCTGTGCTGAAAAGTGGGGAAAGCCATGGCCGCCCACCCCATTCTGGCGCCCCTGTCCCAAGCACTAAGGCCATGTCTATATTTGCAAGCTTACAGTGGCACAACTGTACCCGTGCAGTGCCACTGTAAGATCGCTCATGTAGCTGCATTATGCCAACAGGAAATAGCTCTCCTCTCGACATACAAAACCAGCGCCGCTAGCCGCCGTAGATATGTCGGCCGGAGGGTGTCTCCCACCACTCTAGCGCTGTGCACATGAGTGCGTGTGCCAGCAAAACTTATCTCGGCTTTTTCACACCCTTGAGCGACAAAAGTTTTGCCAACATAAATGCTAGTGTAGACATGGCCTAAGAAATATGTTATCCTCTGCCAGGCACTCAGATACCACAGAATGTGCTCTGAGGAGAAAGCCTGGGATACACACCTTACCTGCCTTCACCATCCAGGGACACTCGACCAGAGAAGTAGATCGCAGCATGGAACAGGCCACTCAAATTCCCAGGAGAACCTGCTTCAACCCTCTGAATGCACAGCCCTAGTATAGTATTTACGGTCAGAGCACGAGGGTTTAACTTTGGATGGCATGAACAGTCTATTATGGGTATAACCTGTATCTGGGGTAATGGTTTGAGATTATTCATTTAAATCTTCGTCAGAACACAGGAGGAGCACCTGATCGTTGGGGCAATATCTTTTTTCCCGTAAATCAAAGGAAAACTAAGTAAACGATGTGTTGTTAACCAACAACATGCAAAGCCCTTTGGAACTTGCTTTTTCCTTAAATACAAGAAATTTTTAAATATCTAAATAGACAAATGACTCTCATTTAATCTGTGCCTAGAATTAGTGATATGCTTCTTTGACTAACTCCTTTTTCTTTTTAACCAGGAATTACATAATTCAAAGTCAGAGCTCATGAGTCTTTATAATGAGCTCCAGAATCTCCGAGGTGCGGCAGAAGAAAGAGATTTCCTTAATGTAACCCATGAGAAACTACAGCAAGAAAATACTTTATTGGAAACAAAGGTGAGAATTTAGTGAGATCAGTAGTCTTTCAGTGTTCCATTGACTGACACTGACAAAATCTGACAATTTGCACTTCTCAAAAAGGGACAGGACAGTACATGGATAGCAAGATTATTCAGTTACAGTAGTTAATGCCAACAAATTTGGGAAGAGATATTAAATTTCATGCCTCCAAATTTAAGCCAATCTCTAACTACTGGGGATTAGCAGGTATTTTACACCTTCCTCTGAAGCATCTGAGTCTGGCCACTCTGAAAGACAGGAGACTGGGTTAGACGGACAATGGGTCTGATCCAATCCAGCAGTTCCTGTGTTCCTAAGCACTCTTTATGTTCTCTGAGTCCTTCATCTCCACCTCCTTCTCCAACTATTAGCTTTGCATCTTTTTTCACGGTCTCAAGTGCTGGCTCTGTTATTGTCCAGTGTAATTTCATTAATTCACAGTGAAAGTGTCAAGCTCCTATCTCTGTGAGAGACCTTCCTAGTGAACTAAATTTTACCATCATTTGTTGATTTTTCCCTTGGGGAAATTGAAACAAAGTATTTTGCTGCAGGTCCAGTTGACCCAAATTTGAAACATTTCAATTTGTCAAACTGAATCAAAATGTTTTGTTTCGGGTCAGTTCAACACTAATCTGTGTCCATCTGTGCTGCTACAGTGCCTCATGGGAGTTGTAGTTTGCATGCCTCAATGCCTCATCTCCTATGATGCACCATGGTCATAAGACTCCTGTGGTGCACCAGCGTGTCCAGAGCCTGGATTTGTTAATGCTCTGGGAATGCTGGGATGTCCATCTCTTTTCTCTGTGCATTTGGGATGACTGGTAGTTGGGAAAGAGGTGGCAATCATGCTGAGGAGATTGGCCAGGAGACAGATATTATTCTGTTGTGTGTTGCAGTCTGTTAGCTAGTGTGTGCATCAGCAGATGTTTTATGACTTTACTTTGTACTTTGTATTTTAAAATTTGTAATATACCTAGAGCTGTAGATAAGCAATAAGGGTACAAATCCAAATAGACAAATGTGATTTTATGGTAGAGCTTCCCTTGATATATGTGTAAACTGCTCACTGATTTCCCATGCACAGTATTGCAAAATATTGAAGAAATATGGGGCATTAGGGTAATTTAGACTTTATATTGCAGATTTACAAGTTTTCTTTAGTTGAAGTCACTAGACTTTCTTATACCCCATGAAAGATTTCCATGAAATCATAGAAAATCAGTCTTATGACATTTACAAGTCTGACTTTACAGGTCTCTGAGCTCTCACAGGAATGTGAACAGTTAAACCAGCTTGTAGTGAATCAGAAGACAGATGAAAACTTTTCAACAAGTGAAAGGAAATATAAAGAGCTTATGACTAAAGCAAGAATATTGGAAGAACAGATCCAAATCCTGGGAGGAGAGAGAGACCAATTATGGTAAATCTTAATAGCACCCTCTGTGTTTTCTGCATTTTATCTTCAGTGACTAACCTAGAAATGTTCAGTTTTTTTAAAATCTTAGCGCTTGTTTTTATAAAGTGCATGAATGAGAGATCAGCAGATGCCTTTTTTTCTCCTATTCCAGCTCAAATATTCAGCTGTCTTGCACTCAGGCTTTTGCTGAGCCCGAGTCTTCTCTGTCATACACCTGTAAATCTGGAGTAACTGATTTATTTCAGTGTTGTTACTCCAGATTCACACCTGTGTAAATGTGAGATTGCTCTGGCCCTTTCGGAACACTTTTATTTTAGTTCCCTTCTCAGCTTATGCAAGCTTGCTTCGAAATTGATTGTAATTCACACCTGTTTGTAGTAAGTACAAGTTCTGCCTGTGGACCCTCTGAAACAGAAATAAGAGTCTCCATAACATAACTAAAGGAGTGAATTGCCTCAGATTTAGTTTTTCCAGCGCAAGGGCTAATCTACACTGGCAACGCTAAAGCGCGACCGCGACTGCGCTTTAACATGGCTTGTGCAGTCACAGCAGAGCGCTGGGAGAGAGCTCCACGAGCGGTGTAGCTACCAGCACTGGGAGTGCGGCTTCTAGCGCTGGGGCACTGTTTACACTGGCGCTTTACGGTGCTGAAACTTGCTGCGCTCAGGGGGTGTTTTTTCACCTTCCCCGAGCGAGAAGTTGCAGCGCTGTAAAGTGCCCGTGTAGACAAGCCCCAAGCCTCTGGGTGAAATTCACCCTATGTAGAACTATTAGCACAAGGCCTGTGAGCCGCTTGAGAGCTTCAGTGGTGCCTAGGCATATTGCTGATCCTTTACAATGGTGAATTTCACCTATCATGAGTAATTTGACTGAAGTTTGTTTGTTTGGGTTTTTTTACTATTTTTACATCAAGTACCAAGCTATTAGAGAGCAACAAGAAAACAGAGGAGTTAGAAAAGCAGGTGAAGGGGAGCAATGAAGAAAAACAACTGTTACAGGAAGAAAATGCTCAGCTAAGACAAGACATCCTGGCTACAAGGGAACAATTTCACAACAAGATAGAAGAGGCTGTAAGCATTAAATCTGAGATGAGCCAAGAGACCCAGCCTCTCAACCCCCGGAGCTCTGAATGTAACACAGCATTAAACATGAGCATTAAACAGGTATGAGAGCCCCTTACAGTAAGTGCCACTCCTCCATTTTGAGTGGTTTAACCAGTGTAGGGGCATAAGCTGGATAAAAAGTGAACTTGAACAGTGAAATAGTTTTTATCAGCCAACAAGCCACTGCAACATCATTGCATGCTGTGGAGAACTGATTAATTTACCTGGGTAAAATACATATATAAAAAAACAAGTAATTAACCAATTTCACTTTCCCATCTTCCTATATGAAGCTTCATAGATTAATAGATTTAAAGGTAGAAGGAACCATTTTGATCATCTGGTCTGGCCTCCCACTTAACCCAGGACATAGACAGTAATTTCTACCTTAAGCCATAACTCTTGTTTGAGCTAGAGCATATCGTTTAGAAAGAAAACCAGTCATACTTTAAACACTTCAAGTGATGGCGAATCTACTGCATCCCTAGGTAAGTTGTTCCAGTGGTTAGTAATCCTTACTGTTAAAAGTTTGTGTCTTTTCTCTTGTCTAAATTTGTCTAGCTTCAGCTTTCAAACATTGGATCTTGTTATGCATTTTTTCTGGTAGATTAAAGAGCCCTCTGCTATCAGAAATCTTTTCCTCATATAGGTGTTTGTAAGTGGTGATCAAGTCATCACTTAACCTTCTCTTGGATAAATTCACTTGATCAAGCTTCTTTAGTTTCTCACTATTAAGGCAGGTTTTTCAGACCTCAAATTATTCCTGTAGCTCTTCTCTGAACCCTTTTCAAATTTAGAAAAGCCTTTTTGAGGTGGGGACACAGAATGGGACACAGTATCCACTAATAGTCTCTGTGACGGGTTGGACCCCCCACCCCTGCATCTGGGATGCCACCTGATGTACTGGGGTTTCACTGAGCCCATCTGCTCCACTAGCCTAGGCTCCCTCTCCCTGTTTTGCTGAATCAGGCTCTCCGGCCTCTGGCAGCACACACACACAGGTGGGGATGCACCAGCTGTAGAATCACACAGAGTCTGCAGGCAGCTCTCTATGAGAATACTCAGCTAGGAAGTTGCCCAGCAGTCAAGTGCACACCCCCTTTGGGGAGTTAACCCAAAACAATACTGTCTTGCGCTGTATAAAAAAGTCTACACAGCGCAAGCTCATAAAAATTTGCCCTCTCCCTCATTGTGGAGAGTGATATTCACAGCTTCTTGCTCCCCGCCCCAGATATGAATTGCACAAACTGGGTTATGCTGTAAACAAGAAATAAGTTTATTAACTATAAAAGGTAAATTTTAAGTGATTATAAGGGATAGCAAACAGAACAAAGCAGATTACTAAGCAAATAAAACAAAACACAATACCAAGCTTAAGATCTTAAAGAGACTGGTTTCCAGAAGTAATTTCTCGCTCTAAATGTTGATTTTGGGCAGGTTGCAGAAATTCTTGAAGGTTAGCTACCCTGCTTGCAGCTTAAATCTTCAGGTATCTTATTCACAGACCAGATCCCCTTTCCAGCCTGGGTTCAGTACTCCTCCCACTTTCCCTTTGTCCTTGTTCCTTAGGTCTTGTCTACACGGCCATTTTACAGCGCTGCAACTTTCTCGCTCAGGGGTGTGAAAAAACACACCCCTGAGCGCTGCAAGTTTCAGCACTCTAAAGTGGCAGTGTAGACAGTGCACCAGTGCTGGAAGCTACTCCCCTCATGGAGGTGGTTTTTTTATAGCACTGGGAGAGCTCCATGACAGTGCTTTAATGTTGCTAGTGAAGACGTGCTCTTAGGTGTTTCCAGCAGTCATCCTGGGTGGGGATTCCATGAAGAGTAAACAAAGATCAGCTTACTCCCCAGCCTTAAATAAGATTTACATAAGGCGGGAAACTTTTGTTTCACAGTCTTGACCTCCCCCTCCTTTTAGTGGAAAATTACTAGAAGTCCAAGATGGTGTTTAGTACCAAGTGACATGACCAAGTAGTGTCACAGCAGCATCCCAGGACGCCTCTCAGGAAGGAGAGGGATTAATATCTTCAAAGTCTCATGGTTTCTTCCTAATGGCCCATCAAGGCTGAAGGCCTGTTGTGTGATGGGGGTTTCCCAAGTACACACCCAATTGTAATTATTACATAGTCAATATTCCTAACCTTAGATACAGAAATGATACATGCATACAAATTGAATAATCACATTCAGTAAATTATTACCTTTCCAACGATACCTTACAAGACCCATCTTACATAACATATATCTGTTATGCCATATCCATATCATAAGCATATTTCCATAAAGAATAAGGGGTGTAACATAACAGTCTTACTAATGCAATACACAGAAGTAATACCCTTCTCCTACTTGATATTCCCCTGCTTATGATTGTGTTCACACTTTTAGCTGCAGCATCACAGTGGGAGCTCATGTTCAGTTGGTTTTTGCTATGACCCCAAAGTCATTTTCAGAGTCACTGTTTTCCAGAGTACAGTCTTATAAGTGTGACCTGCATTCTTCGTTCTTTAATGTATGACCTTGCGTTAGTCTGTATTCAAATGCGTGTTGTTCAAATGAGTCCAGCTTACCAAGCAGCCCAGGTCTGTCAGTATAACTGATCTGTCCTCATCTGCAAAGTTTGTCAGCAATGATTTTATATTTTCTTCCAGATCATTGATAAAGATACTAAATAGCACTGGACTGAGAACAGATCCCAACTAGAACCATTCTCATTGGATGATAATTCCCCAATTAAAATTACTTTTTGCACTCTGACAGTTAACTAGTTTTTAATCCATTTAATATTGGCTGCATTGACTTTACATAGTGCTACGTTTTTTATTGGAATGTCATGCAGGACTTAGATGCCTTGCAGAAGTCTGAGTATATTGTGTTATCATTTACCTTTATCATTCAAACTTGTGATCTCATCAAAAGTGGTATCATTTTGTCTATTTTCCATGAGACCATGTTGATTGGCATTAATTATGCTACAGTCTTTTAATTCTTTTCTGATTGCATCCCATATCAGCCTTTCCATGATTTTGACAAGGATTGATGTCAGGCTAACTGGCCTTTAAGTTACCCAGGTCATCCTATTTATCCTTTTCAAATATTGGCACAATGTTAGCTTTTTTCGATCTCTGGATCTCCCCCCATGCACCATGTTTTGTTAAAAATCAACATTAATGGTTCAGAGAGCTCCTTGCTGAATTCCCTTAATATCCAGTCCTGCAGATTTAAAAATATTTAATAGTTGCTGTTTAACATGCTCCCTTGTTACTGATGGAATAGTAAGTATTTCATTATCACTATAAGATGTGAATACATCATCCTCCTTCTTTCTGAATACAGAACAGGAAGTCAGACCAGATTATCACAGTTGTCCCTTCTGGCCTTGGAATCTATGAACAGAAATATTTATTGAACACTGGCGTTTTCTGCATCCTGGTTGATAATTTTACCATCCTTGTCTAGTATCGTACCTATACCTTTGCAAGAATTTTGTTTATTCCTGAAATATTTAAAGAATCCCTTCTTATTTTCCTGAATTTGACTGGCCACAGAATTTTCATTGATACCTTTTGCTTCCCTTATCAATTGTTTGAATTTCCTAACTGTTGATTAGTACTCATTACTATGTATTACTTTTTTAATTTTTTATTGCTGCCTTCACCTCCCCTTTTTAATGAAGACTTTTTTTCAACCAAGAATCCTCCTATCATCCTAATTTTCCCCCTCTTCACATGCCTCTGTTTCCTTATTAATGCAGTATCTGTCTGGAGAGAGACTCCTGCAGCAGCAACAGGAGGAAATGCAACAACTGAGACAGGATTTCCACAGAGTTCAGAATTTGTGCAGCTCGGCTGAGAAAGAGCTGAGATATGAAAGGGAGAAAAACTTGGACTTAAAGAAGTATAATATTTTGCTCCAGCAAGAAAGCACCAAGGTACGTGCATGGTGTGTGCCACTGCATTAAAAGAGCCATCATGGGTTCCAGGGGCGTTTTCACCACAGTTTGGGGACCTGTGGGAGTTTCATTCCCAGCTCTTTCAGAGACAAAAGGTGAGATGCAAGTTTTGCTCAGTTTCTCATGGTTCTGATTCTCAAGAATGCAAAGGCCCTTTACACTGCATTAGCAGTAACTTAAAATGGTAGTAATTTATTAGGGCCTCTTTTCTACTGCCAGAGTGGCATCAAGTTGCCTTAACATAAAGGAGACAGAATTTAGCGCAAAGTCTGTAGCACCCCAATTAGCATCCAGCCCGTATCATCTGAGGAAGTTCCAAATGAGGAGGACTGGTAGGTGCTCAGTAATTACTCCTGAGCTGGAGAGTGATAGAGGAGTTCGTGGCCTGCACCAGATCTAGCTCTGTAATAGATGTAGCTTTACCTCTTCCATGTGCTCACTGATTCATCCTCGCAACTCCCCTGGGAGGAAGTTATGTAGCTATTATCTCCACTTGTCATATGGGGAACCTGAGGCAGAGAGGTTAAGTCCCAGGCCACAGGGGGAGTAAAGGTCAGGCCTGGAACTAGAAGTCAGCATTTCTTCTTTGAACATTGTCATCTTAGATCCATATTCATGGGATCCCAGTCTCCCAGTGCAGGAGTCCTGAAAACACGTGAAAATCAGTGACTGTTTGAATAGATTTGTAGAGCTGAATCTTTTGAAAATCTCGCCCTAGACTTGCACATTTGCATTCCTCTACCTCGATGTTGGCTCTAACGACTGTTGCATTAATTGAAATATCTTGCTGTGTCCAGTATTTCTTTCTTTATTTTTCAAAGGATATTTTTAAAGCATACAGAAACCCAACTCTCCTGATGATCCTGGGAGCAGCTGGCATTGGCGCTGACTCAGTACAAAACATTGTGCATTTGTTTATCTTTCGCTATATTGGATTGTCTAGTAACCCCATCTCCCTTTTTCCTATCAGTCCATTTTGCTTGAAGCACATGGAAGTCAGTGCTCGATTCTGTACTTTTCTTTCCTTGTCAAACTCAGGTCAAAGCTGAACTGAGACAAGTCCAGTTGAAGTTAACCGACTCAACCAAAATGTGCTCCTCTCTCACTGTGCAATGGGAGCACAGTCAGCAGAAAGTCAAAGAACTTGAACTAGAGCTGCTGAAGCACTCCCAGAGTAGTAAACTGCAGAGCAGTCTGCAGGAGAAACTTGCACTGGAGAAATCTAGGGCTACTGATGCAGAGAAAAAGGTAAATATACAACCTACATTGCATTAGTATCAAATCTGCATTCATTAGTTGTAGTCTGCAGAAGTTCAGACTAAAAAGCATGCACTGGTAGCTAATGTCTTAGTACTCAGATGCATAGTTTGCTTGTTTTTGATCACTTGTGAGGTTTTCGGAAGTATTTGAAGTGCATTTCAATTATTACGAGGAACACAATGAATATATTAATATGCAAATCTGAACATCATCTTTGAAATCTTATTTCTGAAATTCAGAATATTTTCCCATTGTTTCCTTGTACTCCCGCGTCTGCCTTTCTGTCTGTACCCACATGATAACTCTTGTCAGGTACTTAGGTTGTAGGCTCTTTGGGGCAGGGACTGTCTTCTTGTTCTGTGTTTCTACAGTGCCTAGCACAGCAGGTCCATGACTGGGGTCCCTAGGTGCTCCAGCAATGTTAATAATAATAATTAATAAAGTGATCTCTGAGTTGGATTAGCAATACAGGGTCTAATCCAAAACCCATTGAAATCAGTGGAAAGCCTCCTCTTGGCTTTAGTTAGCTTTGGATCAGACCCATACAGAGATGGGGATAAACTCAAGCAGAGGCAAGCAAATCTCTCCTACCTCCCCCCCTTCGATTTGAATACTAATCTATAAACATTCCATCCAAAAAACTATGCAGCAGTTGCAAACTAAGGCCCAATCCTGCAGTTCATGTCATCCAGGTGCTGCCATGTGTGCACCTAGAATCCTATAGAAGCAAGTGGGACTGTATGTGGTTGCTGAGCTCTGTCCAGTGGGTCTGTTTGCAGGATCTAGTCTGTAAGCACGCAGTAGCAGCAAATAATAATAAAGTTAGGTTGCACAGATGGCCTTAACTCTGTACCCAAATGCATATGCAATATGGTACCAAGCCTGATTCCTCACTGTGTAGTTACATCAATTGCTTTACACCAATGTAAATGAGAGGAAAATCGGGGCCACCCTCAAAAATGCAGTCTAGTATCTCACACTGATTCATTGGAGCAGTCAGTTAATCATAGAATATCAGGGTTGGAAGGGACCTCAGGAGATCATCTAGTCCAACCCCCTGCTCAAAAGCAGGACCAATCCCCAATTTTTGCCCCAGATCCCTAAATGGCCCCCTAAAGGATTGAACTCAGAACCCTGGGTTTAGCAGGCCAATGCTCAAACTGAGCTATCCCTTCCCTCTGGGGTTGCTGGAAGAGTACAAAGCATATTTATGAATCTCACCCAGTATTTTGTTTCCAACCTGGGGAGCCCTGAACATAAGAATATAAGAATGGCCATACTGGGTCAGACCAAAGGTCCATCCAGCCCAGCATCCTGTCTACCGACAGTGGCCAATGCCAGGTGCTCCAGAGTGAGTGAACCTAACAGGTAATGATCTAGTGATCTCTCTCCTGCCATCCATCTCCACCCTCTGACAAACAGAGGCGAGGGACACCATTCCTTACCCATCCTGGCTAATAGCCATTAATGGACTTAACCTCCATGAATTTATCCAGTTCTCTTTTAAACCCTGTTTTAGTCCTAGTCTTCACAACCTCCTCAGGCAAGGAGTTCCACAGGTTGACTGTGCGCTGAGTGAAGAAGAACTTTCTTTTGTTTTAAACCTGCTACCCATTAATTTCATTTGGTGGCCCCTAATTCTTATATTATGGGAACTAGTAAATAACTTTTCCTTATTCCCTTTCTCCACACCACTCATGATTTTATATACCTCTATCATATTCCCCCTTAGTCTCCTCTTTTCCAAGCTGAAAAGTCCTAGCCTCTTTAATCTCTCCTCATATGGGACCAGTTCCAAACCCTTAATCATTTTAGTTGCCCTTTTCTGAATGTATTCTAATGCCAGTATATCTTTTTTGAGATGAGGGGACCACATCTGTAGGCATTATTCAAGATGTGGGCGTACCATGGATTTATATAAGGGCAATAGGACATTCTCTGTCTTATTCTCTATCCCTTTTTTAATGATTCCTAACATCCTGTTTGCATTTTTGACTGCTGCTGCACACTGCGTGGACGTCTTCAGAGAACTATCCACAATGACTCCAAGATCTTTCTCCTGATTAGTTGTAGCTAAATTAGCCCCCATCATACTGTATGTATAGTTGGGGTTATTTTTTCCAATGTGCATTACTTTACATTTATCCACATTAAATTTCATTTGCCATTTTGTTGCCCAATCACTTAGTTTTGTGAGATCTTTCTGAAGTTCTTCACAGTCTGCTTTGGTCTTAACTATCTTGAGCAGTTTAGTATCATCTGCAAACTTTGCCACCTCACTGTTTACCCCTTTCTCCAGATCATTTATGAATAAGTTGAATAGGATTGGTCCTAGGACTGACCCTTGGGGAACACCACTAGTTACCCCTCTCCATTCTGAAAATTTACCATTTATTCCCACCCTTTGTTCCCTGTCTTTTAACCAGTTCTCAATCCATGAAAGGATCTTCCCTCTTATCCCATGACAACTTAATTTACATAAGGGACCTTGTCACAGGCTTTCTGGAAATCTAAGTACACTATGTCCACCGGATCCCCTTTGTCCACATGTTTATTGACCCCCTCAAAGAACTCTAATAGATTAGTAAGACACAATCTCCATTTACAGAAATCATGTTGACTTTTGCACAACAATTTATGTGTCTGACAATTTTATTCTTTACTGTTGTTTCAACTAATTTGTCCGGTACTGACGTTAGACTTACTGGTCTGTAATTGCCAGGATCACCCCTAGAGCCCTTCTTAAATATTGGCATTACATTATCTATCTTCCAGGCATTGGGTACAGTAGCTGATTTAAAGGACAGGTTACAAACCATCGTTAATCGTTCCGCAATTTCACATTTGAGTTCTTGGGTGAATGCTATCCGGTCCCGGTGACTTGTTATTGTTAAATTTCTCAATTAATTCCAAAACCCCCTCTGGTGACACTTCGATCTGTGACAATTCCTCAGATTTGTCACCTACAAAAGATGGCTCAGGTTTGGGAATCTCCCTAACATCCTCAGCCGTGAAGACTGAAGCAAAGAATTCATTTAGTTTCTCCACAATGACTTTATCATCCTTAAGTGCTCCTTTTGTATCTCGATCGTCCAGGGGCCCCACTGGTTGTTTAGAAAGCTTCCTGCTTCTGATGTACTTAAAAAACATTTTGTTATTACCTTTTGAGTTTTTGGCTAGTTGTTCTTCAAACTCCTTTTTGGCTTTTCTTATTACATTTTTACCTTTTATTTGGCAGTGTTTATGCTCCTTTCTATTTACCTCACTAGGATTTGACTTCCACTTTTCAAAAGATGCCTTTTTATCTCTCACTGCTTCTTTTATGTGGTTGTTAAGCCACGGTGGCTCTTTTTTAGTTCTTTTACTGTGTTTTTTAATTTGGGGTATACATTTAAGTTGGGCCTCTATTATGGTGTCTTTGAAAAGTGTCCATGGAGCTTGCAGGAATTTCACTCTAGTCACTGTACCTTTTAATTTCTGTTTAACTAAGCTCCTCATTTTTGCATAGTTCCCCTTTCTGAAATTAAATGCCACAGTGTTGGCCTGTTGGGATGTTCTTCCCACCACAGGAATGTTAAATGTTATTATATTATGGTCACTATTTCCAAGCAATCCTGTTATAGTTACCTCTTGGACCAGATCCTGTGCTCCACTCAGGACTAGATCAAGAGTTGCCTCTCCCCTTGGGGGTTCCTCTACCTCATTCACTGCTTCCTCATTCACTGCTTCCATTCACTGTATTTTTCACTGTGCAACTAAATTAGGCATGCAAGTTTGTTCATGAGAAAGTCATGCGAGACCGTATCAAAAGCTTTACTAAAGTCAAGATACACCACATCTAATGCTTCCCCCATCCACAAGGCTTGTTACCCTGTCAAAGAAAGCTATCAAGTTGGTTTGACATGATTTGTTCTTGACAAATCCATGCTGACTGTTATTTATCACCTCTTTGTCTTCTAGATGTTTGCAAATTAATTGCTTTATTATTTGTTCCATTATCTTTCCAGGGACTGAAGTTAAGATAACTGCTCTGTAATTTCTCGGGTTGTCCTTATTCCCCTTTTTATAGATAGGGCACTATATTTGCCCATTTCCAATTTTCTGGAATCTCTCCCTTCTTCCATGACTTTTCAAAGATAATCACTAATGGCTCAGATATCTCCTCAGTCAGCTCCTTGAGTATTCTAGGATGCATTTCATCAGGCCCCGGTGACTTGAAAACATCTAATTTGTCTAAGTAATTTTTAACTTGTTCTTTCCCTATTTTAGTCTCTGATCCTACCTCATTTTCACTGGCATTCACTATGTTAGACACCACCAACCTTCTTGGTGAAAACCGAGTCAAAGAAGTCATTAAGCACCTTTGCCATTTCCACATTTTCTGTTATTGTTTTTCCCTCCTCACTGAGTAATGGGCCTACCCTGTCCTAGGTCTTCCTCTTGCTTCTAATGTAGTCGCTGTCTGTGCATTCCCTGTTCCAGCAAAGGTTCGGAGAAGCCATTCCTTCAGGCAGGAGAGGTGGAATTGTGGTACCACAAATTAGCATGCAGCAGGGGTAGGAGAGGCTGGCCCTGCCGACTGTACCAGAGACAGGTTCTGTTCTCCCGCAGCCCATGCTTACTTGCAGTAGCCAGCTGTTATTGACAGCATCCAGCCAAAACCTGTCATTTACTGTTTGTCTAATCTGCAACCAATTTCCCCCAAGGTTTTGGAGCTACAGCAAAAACTGAAGGAATCCCATCATCAGCTCCGCCTAACTGAGACCCATGTTTTGGGCAGGAAACAAATGGGGGAGGAGTTAAAGGAGGCCCAAGAAAGGGAAACTCAGCTGCGGTGGCAGTTCCAGGAAGAGCAGCGGAAAAGGTGAAAGGAACTGAGATTGTCATGTTGCTGAGGTGAGGGGGTGCTAGTCCCAGGATGCTGGCTGCTCCGGGAACACGCCGGCCTACCATTTACGTGGCGCTCTGCCTGGCAGTGGAGATGGGCTGCATTACTGCGTTAGCCTGAACAGGAAATGATGAGTGTGGGCACGGGGATCCCCTCCCACCCCAGAACTAAGGGTGTCCGCACTGTCACCAGGCTGTGGTGATGGGCACTGTTGACAACCCTAAGGAGGAGGAGGGAGGTGGCAGGGGAATGCTTTTGTCATGGTCTCCCCTACAGAAATCAAAACCCTAGAAAGGGAGTTCTGAGCAGTCCTCTTGGGGTGGTGTGACTTGAGTGTCGCATGGTGTGTGCTGCAAGCAAACTCCACAGGGGGCTGCAAAGGCCTAATGACAAGCAGCAAAAACCTCCAGATGTGGAGCAAATATCCAGCCTGCCAGTGTTCTGCTGGGAAGGCATTCCAGTCACAGGGCACCTCAGCTCAGCAAAAAGCCTCCCTGCCCCAGAATGGGGTTTTAGCATTATTATTTCTATATGTAATATGGCAGCACCTCCAGACCCCAACCAAGATCAGAGCCCCGCAGGGCTAGGTGCTGTACAAATACAGGGCACAAGATGGTCCCTGCCCCAGAGAACAGATAGTCTAAATAAACATGATGGACAAAGGTTGGGAGGGGGAACAGAGAGAGGAAGTGACTTGCCCAAGGTCATGCATCAAGTCGGTGGGAGAGCTGGGTTCTATTCCAGAACCCAGAGAATAAAACCCGGCTCTCCTGACTCCCAGTCCAGTGCACCGGCCACAAAAGCATACTGCTCCTGACTGGAGGAGTAGGTGGATCTGGCAGAGAGGGTTTGCCAGGTCGATAACTCAACAAAAACCTCAATTTTTTAAATTCACCCAAAGCTGCCAGGGACGGTCCAGATTTCCACCAGAGTCTGCAGAACCCAGAGACCTCACCGCAAAAGCTAGGTCCAGCTTGCTGCAGAGTACACAGGGCCTTGGTTATAGTGTGCCCATCGTTATGGAATCTGGACTTCAGCTCCTAGAGCGAGTGAGCAGCAGGCCCTAGTGAGTGATCCAGTTGACTACAGCCTTTAAAGATAAGTTGATGTTACAGACACATACTACGTTCCTTCCAAAGGGGTGACTGACAGGTCAGGTCTATACTACAAATTTTTGTCAGCCTAGCTAAGTTAGTCAGGATGTGAAGAGACCCCCCACTCAGCCAACATAGTGATGCTGGCAAATCCCCAGGTGCACACACAGCTATGCCGAGAGAAGAGTGCTTTTGTCGACATAGCTGATGTCATTCGGGGAGGAGGTTTACCTACGCTAGCAGAAAACCTCCTTTTTTTGGTATAAGCTGTGTCTACGCTAGGGGGCTTTGCCAGTATAGCTATACAGGCAAAGGAAAGGCCATAGAGTTCCACCTTAATTATCCTGTGGATTTTATTTGTTCCATCCTGGCAAAGCCATGGTCCACAGACTTGATGTGAATAATACTTTAGGCTTTTTTCTGGTCTAAGCCTTTAGAAAGTGCTCCCAGCTTTGTGTGTCATTGGACACTAAGAGTTAGTCACTTTCAGCATTACCAAAGGCCAGGGTTCTCCCCCACCCCTCAATGAGTGTGTGTTCTGATGTGATTCATTAACTGCATTATTGAAAGGAGTAACAAAGACTATTGATGAAGGGCAGACAGTGGATGGAGTTTAACTGGAATCCATTATAGCTACCACACTGGCAGATGATGGACAGGTTAAAATATGTAGGCATCAGGGCCAAGAGTACAAGAGGCTGTTTGAACCCCGAATCTGGCCCTGAATAGAAAAGTAACTGTGTTTAATTTCTCAAACTGGGAAAGGGGCAGGAAGGGTCCAGACAAATATAGTAAATAGCATTAAATCTACAAGTTTGAGTCCCATAAGTAGGGCCCTACCAAATTCACTGCCATGAAAAATGTGTCATGGACTGTGAAATCTGGTCTCCCCCCATGAAATCTGGTCTTTTGTGTGCTTTTACCCTCTACGATACAGATTTCACGGGGGAGACCAGCATTTCTCAAATTGCGGGTCCTGACCCAAAAGAGAGTTGCAAGGGGGTCTCAAGGTTATTTTCGGGGGGTTGCAGTATTGCCCCGTTACTTCTGCTCTGCCTTCAGAGCCGGGCAGCCGGAGAGCAGCTGTTGCTGACTGAGGGCCCAGCTCTGAAGGCAGCATCACCGCCAGCAGCAGTGCAGAAGTAAGAGTAGCAGTACCGTGACCCTCCCCCCACAATAACCTTGTGACCCCCCCACACACACAACTCCTTTTTGGGTCAGGACCCCTACAATTATAACACCATAAAATTTGAGATTTAAATAGCTGACATCATGAAATTTATTATTTTTAAAATCCTGTGACTGTGAAATTGACCAAAATGGACTGTGAATTTGGTAGGGCCCTACCTATAAGGCGAGCAGCAGAGCAGGCACTCAGATACCATGGTGATGGACACAGTATAAGAGCCTAGAGAGACGGTAGCTAATGTTCTCTGTATGTCTGTCTAAACATATTGTTAAGTGAAATGAGAAATAGCATCAGCCATAGGCACCAACTTCTGGCACTGCGGGGTGCTCGCACACCCCCACCCCTAACCCCACCATGACTCCACCCTTGCCCCGCCTCCTCCCGCCCCTGCCCTGCCCCCATTCTAACCCCTTCCCCAAAGTCCCTGCCCCAATTCCGCCCCCTCCTTGCCGCTATTGGACCCCTTCCCTAAATCCCTGCCCTGGCCCCGCCTCTTCCCCGCCTCCTCCCCTGAGCACACCACTTTCCCACTCCTCCCCCCTCCCTCCCACAGCTTGTTATGCCTTGAGACAGCCGTTTCACGGTGGCAAGCCTGGGAGGAGAAGCGGGGACACAGCGTGCTCAGGGGAGGAGGCAGAGGCAGAGGTGAGCTGGGGAGGGGGGGGTGGGATGGGGAGCTTGGCTGCCGGTGAATGCAGAGCACCCACCAATTTTTCCCCGTGGGTGCTCCAGCCCTGGAACACCCACGGAGTCAGCGCCTATGACATAAGCTGTAATGTCTGCATTTACAGCCAGTACGAACATAGCAGGGGTCACTGGCAAAGGGCGTAGTGTGCTGAGATTATAGAGAAGTGTGGGTAAATTAAAGACATGGGGACTGGGCTTTAGTCTTGGAAAACACGTGTGAATATTCAGCCAGCTAGATGGGACGAAGGGAGGAAAGGACTTGGTGCTGATTGGAATGTCCACAGCAGAGATAGCCATTGTGTGCCAAGCTGCATGGATAGTACAGTGCATTTCACATCAACAGAGATTATTAGGGCTGTGGAAATATGTGGAGAGTTTTTTGTGAACTCCTAGAGCCTGAGTCGTCCCTTCAAGGACAAGGGGACGCAACCCACAGGGGCAGCTGGATCAGGAAAATCATTTCCCTGGAGGGAAGGCAGGACCCTTGGGGATTCTGCCTCACTGCCATGCCATGTTTTCAGGAAGATCCTGGATCAGCACGCAGAGGAGCAGCTGCAGCAGCTCCGTGGCTTTGCACGCTGGGCAGTACTCTGTGTGAACTCCACTGCAGAGGCTGCCTGGGATGGTGCTGATCTCACCCACTTCCCCGCCAGCTGGCTCTTGTGCCACTGCTCTTGGTGGACTTTCTGCCAGTAGAGTCCTGTAACCTCAGACTGAATTAGGCCCATAATTCCCCACCCCAGCAACCTTTGACAGCACCCGCTTTCCTCACTGCCCCCCACCCCAGCATTCACCACGGCGTTCAGTACCAACGGTAAACACATTGGCTGGGTGATCAGCAATGAAAGAGTTAACAATGTCAACTTCGAAATGGTCGTCAGTTGGCCTCAGCATTAACTCCCCCTGAGACTGAATGGGGCACATCCCACTACAGTCCCTGTCCCTGTGCAAACTCAGGCAGACATTGCTGCATCAGTCACTGTTGGAAGCTTCCATTATGGACGTAAACGCCTAGATTATGCCGCACTGTTCCGAAGCAAGGGAGGGGTTCTATGGCATGTTTGCTTTGGGGTATAGAATAACGGGTAAGGTTAACAAGGTCATTCTGGTCCTGGAGATAATTGGCGGTTTCAGGGAGACTCCCTGTACTGCTAATGGTGAATACGCTTAGAACCATGATATCCCTAGAACTGGAATGAACTTCGGAAGTGCACCTCCTGCAGTGGCTGGGTAGGACCTGCACCTGCTCTCAGGTGAGGATGGACTCTGTGCTTGTCTACACTGGGGAATAGCTTTTCCGCACTGGTTAATCCATTTTGGAAGTGGAATAAGAGCGTCTCCTCGGGGAGCTAGTGTGGAGAAGCTATTGCACTTTACATTCCCTAGCTTATTTCACAACTAACTTTCCCATGTGGACAGGTCTAAAATAAATCTTTTCCCCATCACAAGGTCTCTGACTCTAGGAATGGCAACATGTGTAGTGGGCACAACACAAAGATATGCAGTTAGCATTTGTGACGCTTCCTGGGGTTACCCAAGGTTGGGAGGCACCTCGCTCCCCTCTGTCCTTGCCGTGGGGAAGCCCTGTCTTTGTCTGCTAGGTTCAGCGCCCCAACTCCATCAGCCATGGGCAACACACGTCGTTCCCTTTGGGCCTTGCAGGTCCTGCTGTCTCTCTACAGGTTAGCAATACGTACACTCCAAACCCTGAGTCCTCCAAGCATCTCCCTGATGTGTCCGTCCACTGGACCCTCAGAATATTCATAGGTTGGCTGCTTCCAAAGAAACAATATACCCTAGTGTCATAAATATAAAGGGAAGAGTAACCACCTTTCTGTATACAGTGCTGTAAAATCCCTCCTAGCCAGAGGCAAAACCCTTTCACCTGTAAAGGGTTAAGAAGCTAAGATAACCTCGCTGGCACCTGACCCAAAATGACCAATGAGGGGACAAGATACTTTCAAATCTGGAGGGGGGGGAACAAAGGGTTTGTGTGTCTGTGTGATGCTTTTGCCGGGAACAGATCAGGAATGCAGACTTACAACTTCTGTTAAGTTAGTAAGTAATCTAGCTAGAAATGCGTTAGATTTCCTTTTGTTTAATGGCTGGTAAAATAAGCTGTGCTGGATGGAATGTATATTCCTGTTTATGTGTCTTTTTGTAACTTAAGGTTTTGCCTAGAGGGATTCTCTATGTTTTGAATCTGATTACCCTGTAAGGTATTTACCATCCTGATTTTACAGAGGTGATTCTTTTACCTTTTCTTTAAGTAAAATTCTTCTTTTAAGAACCTGATTGCTTTTTCATTGTTCTTAAGATCCAAGGGTTTGAGTCTGTGTTCACCTGTGCCAATTGGTGAGGATTCTTATCAAACCTTCCCCAGGAAAGGGGGTGTAGGGCTTGGGGGGATATTTTGGGGGAAGACGTCTCCAAGTGGGCTCTTTCCCTGTTCTTTGTTTAAAACACTTGGTGGTGGCAGCACAGGGTTCAAGGACAAGGCAAAGTTTGTACCTTGGGGAAGTTTTTAACCTAAGCTGGTAAGAATAAGCTTAGGGGGTCTTTCGTGCAGGTCCCCACATCTGTACCCTAGAGTTCAGAGTGGGGAAGGAACCTTGACACCTAGCTTACCAGGCACCTCTGATCACCACTCCGCTTAACACACAGCACTTGCATATGTACAGAGTGAAATAAAATATACGTTTATTTAACAGAGATATTCAGGTGGTCACAAGTGGAAGAATTGAAACAAATGGTTACATATAAAATAAAATCCCAGCACACATGCTAGAGCCTGCCCTAGACTTAATTAACTAGATACTCTTCTGTCTAACCAAGTATTTCTCAGCAGCACTTTACAGCCAGGTTGCCTGTGACCCTCCTTTCATGAGACAGACACATTGTCAGCTTGCCTCTGAGATGACGGATTCCATGTGTTTCTTAGGCCCCCAAGATATACCAATCCCATCCTTTGTCTTTATTCATAAACAACTCACCCCCTGCTGTTGGTTTCATTTTGTAGACTTGTTCTCTTGTAGATTTCTCAATCTCTTCTTTTGCCTGTGGCTTAGTATGCAAATAGGCACACAGTGAGGCGTAAAACAGACCACACAAATCACCGGATAGGGAGAGAGGTCTCTGTTACCTCCTGCCTGGAAGGAACATTTCCAACGTATATCACCTCCTGGTGATTTGTCTTAACTCCAAGACCTTAAGAGTTGGGCTGTCAAGCGAGTAAAAAAATCAATTGCTATTAATCGCACAATTAAAAAATAAATTGCGATTAATCACACGATTGATCGCACTGTTAAAATTCGAATACCATTTATTTAAATATTTTTGGATATTTTCAAATATATTGATTTCAATTACAGCAGAGAATACAAAGTGTACAGTGCTCACTTTATATTTATTTTTTATTACAGATATACACTTTAAAAAACAAAATAAATTATATTTTTCAATTTCCCCATTACAGGTACTGTAGTGCAATCTCTTTATCATGGAAGTTGAACTTATGGGAGATAATGCTGCCAGCTTCTTGTTTACAATGTCACCTGAAAGTCAAAAAAGGTGTTCGCATGGCACTGTTGTAGCCAGTGTTGCAAGATATTTATGTGCCAGCTGCACAAAAGGTTCATATGTCCCTTCATGCTTCAGCCACCATTCCACAGGACATGCGTCCATGCTGATGACAGGTTCTGCTCGATAATGATCCAAAACTGTGGAAACCAATGCATGTTCATTTTCATCATTGGAGTCAGATGCCACCAGCAAACAGTTGATTTTCTTTTTTGGTGGTTCGGGTTCTGTAGTTTCTGCATCAGAGTGTTGCTCTTTTAAGACTTCTGAAAGCATGAGCCACATCTCATCCCTCTCCGATTTTGGAAGGCACTTCAGATTCTTAAACTTTGGGTCAAGTGCTATAGCTATCTTTAGAAAACTCACATTTTGTCAAATCTGCAGAGAAAGTGTTCTTAAAAAGAACATGTGCTAAGTCATCATCCAAGACTGCTATAACATGAAATATATGGCAGAATGTGGGTTAAACAGAGCAAGAAACATACAATTCTCCCCCAAGGAGGTCAGTCACACATTTAATTAATGCATTATTTTTTAACAAGTGTCATCAGCATGGAAGCATGTCCTCTGGAATGGTGGCTGAAGCATGAAGGGGCACACAAATGTTTAGCATATCTGGCACATAAATATCTTGCAATGCCGGCTACAAAAGTGCCATGCAAATGCCTTTTTCTCACTTTAAGGTGACATTGTAAATAAGAAGTGGGCAGCATTATCCCCCGTAAATGTAAACAAACTTGTTTGTCTTAGCCATTGGCTGAACAAGAAGTAGGACTGAGTGGACTTGTAGGCTCTAAAGTTTTACATTGTTTGTTTTGTTTTTGAGTGCAGTTATTTTATTAAAAAAATCTACATTTGCAAGTTGCACTTTCACAATAAAGAGATTGCACTATGTACTTGTATGAGGTTAATTGAAAAATACTCTTTCTGTTATCATTTTTACAGTGCAAACATTTGTAATAAAAATAATAATATAAAGTGAGCACTGTGCACTTTGTATTCTGTGTTGTAATTGAAATCAATATATTTGAAAATGTAGAAAAACATCCAAAAATATTTAATAAATTTCCATTGGTATCCTATTATTGTTTAACAGTGTGATTAAAGCTGTGATTAATCACAATTAATATGTTTAATTGAGATTAATTTTTTTAATTAACCGCATGAGTTAACTGCTATTAATTGACAACCCCTACTTAAGAGTATAATTTTCAGGATAGATACATAAATTCTTAAATATTATCCATACATACATTTCACACTGGTTATGATGACCAATGGGCTACTGGCTCTCGATAGAGATCTCACATGCCACCCTTCAATGAACTGTTATGCAGATATCAGACCCAGGGGATCCCTGTAAAACCCTATGACTCCCTCTGCCAGTTGGCATCAATGGGTCCCTAGGTCACAGTATTCTTAGCTCATTATGATTTCATTGTCTTTCTGATTCACAGTTCTAATGACTAATGATCTTCAGAGGGGGCTTTGCATTTGTAACTGGGCTTGTCTACACCCAAAAATTGTATCTCTTTAACTATACCAGTGTAGTTTAAAGGGTACAGCTCCCCCAGTGTGGATGCAGTTATACCAGAATAAAGGTGCTTATACCAGTAAAGCTTATTCCCATGTGGAAAGGACAATAAACTATGCTGGTATAAGGTGCCTTTATACCAATATAACTGGGTTCCAACTAGGGATTGTATTGGTATAACTATTTATTCTGATACAAAATCTCTGTGTGAACCAGGCCCAGAGTAACTCTGAAACCCTGTCAACTTGACTTCTTATCAGCGGTTGTCCATTGTTGCCTCATTGCCATGACATGCTTTTAGGAAGCTCCTGGATCAGCATGCAGAGGAGCTGCAGCAACAGCTCAGACACTCACACGAGACTGAGACTTTGCTGGCCAAGACTCATGCTGAGCTGCAGGTCAGGTGTCAGCAGCAGGAGGCACAACTGCATATATTAGAGGATGAAAAAAAAACAGCATCAAATGAGGTAAGTTAGACATTGCTGCTCTGGGGTTGGCCGCTTGGGAAGGGGACAGGTTGGTGGCATAAATGATGCTGCTGTTCTAATAACTAACTTCAATACAGACCATCAAGGTAAGAGTCAGTACTTTCCTATCAGCTGATAATGCTGCTGTGGAGAATGTGGAAATGTATGTTACATTGTTATGAAAGATATGTGTGACTCCGTATCCCCACTCAATTTGTATTGCTACCCACTGGGTGTGAAGGAGTTAATTTCAAGCGGATAAGGGATGGGGATGTTGGTGTCATGTGGGCTTGCCTGGGTTGGTATGAATGAACTATCAAGAACTGTCCCCTTACGGATGAACTTGCCTTGGGAGATACAATGGAGGACCAAAGACTGGACATTAACTTTTAATGGCTGGGAGCTGTAGGAAGCAGGACGTGTGAACACAGCACGGCTGCAACTAGGGACAAGGGACTTGGGAGGAGCAGACTGGGATAGAAGATTGCAGCTACCCAGGGTACAGGGGAAACAAGCAGAGAGAGATGAAATCCAGGAGGCTGTGGACAGCAGGGGCAGGTAATTCTGCCAGCATGGGCTCTCAGTTAAGTTTTGCTTTTCCACACTAACCTAAGGACCCTTTAGTACCGTGTTCTAGTGGTATTCTAGTTGACTGGTAAATGTTGGTTTGTTCTGAATAGGTTGTCCTGCTTTCCTATAAATCCCTGCTGGTTGTCTTGCTCCCCAGTGAAGTCTCTACCAGGGGCCAATGCTCATTTGGACCCACTGAAGAGCCACAGTGAGAACAGAGGTGCTGGAGCCAGACGGCTCAGTCTTGGAGCAGTGGAGTTGCAGGGCCCATGCCCAGAAATTGACAACACAGGGTCAAATCCTGAGAGGTTCTGAGCTCCTGCAGCTCCCACTGATTTCAACAGGGATTCCAAGTGTTCAGGATCTCTTAGGGGTCTGGATTAGAATATGGGTGATGTGAAAACAGAGGGAGCTCTCTGTGCTCCCCTCCACAACACCATCTCACCCATCTGGTTAAGGCCTGGTCTACACTTAAAAATTAGCTCCACTTAGCTGTGAAAAAGTCATGCCCTGAGCACTGTAGTGAGAATGGCCTAACCGCTGGTGTAGACATGGCTAGGCAAATGGAAGAGTGCTTCCATTAACCTAGCTACTGCCTCCTGGAGAGCTCCATGGGAGGGTTAGGTGGGGGCAGGATGATGGAACAGGAGAAGGCAGCCCCTTTGCTTTCAGAGCATGGGGGCTTTTGCACAGCAATCCGGGTAGGAGACAATACACCTGGGAGCTGTGTCCCTTCTCTCTGTGTCCCCACCAGGAGCAACAGGGAGAGCCACATTCTTCCAACTTAACTAGGAAGAGGCAGACTCCTCCTGTGGCCGTAGCGAGGGCAGTTTCATTGGAGTGGCAAGAGCAGGATAGACTAGATCTGATTGTTCCATTGTCTGGTTACTGGGGCAAAAACGAGGCTTTATGACAAAGAAGCTGTTGAGGCCAGAGCCGGGAGCACAAGGATTGAAAGAACGTTTTCCGTCCCTGCATTTTTTTTAAAGATAAATTCTAAAACATGCATCTGTTTTTCAGCATCTCCATTGTCAAAAAACCAGTCAGAACCTTTCAGAGCAGCTATCGCTGTTGCAGCAGGAGAAGGAAACCCTCCACGAGGAATATCATCATCTCCTGAAGCAGCTCGACATCTACGTCAGGTAGTTACCAAAGCAGCAGGGACACGGAGGAATGAGGTTGCACCGCAGCTGCACTGTGTGACAGTGGAGTGGCTTATAGCGTAAACTTTGGTCTCCCATGTAAAATACAGTCAGCACTAAGAGATCTGTTTTCAGTTGACATCTTCAGACAGAATCAGGTGGAGTAAATGTCCCACTTCTGCAGCTACTTCATTCTGTGTTCTTCCATTCAGGAGCTGAGGGTGGTGCAGGTGACAGGCACCACGTAGTCAGGTGGGGTCTCAGCAGGCGCACACAGCACTGGTGCTGCAGGACCTTCACTGGCTGTAGAGCTCTTTAGACATTTTTCATCTAAACCAGAGGTGGGCAAACTACAGCCCGCGGGCCACATCCAGCCCGCGGGACCCTCCTGCCCTGCCCCTGAGCTCCTGGTCTGGGAGGCTGTCCCCCAGCCCCTCCCCTGCTGTGCCCCCTCCCCCGCAGCCTCAGCTCACTGTGCCACCGGTGCAATCTGCCCAGCCTGACCCGGTGCTCTGTGCTGCGCAGTGGTGCGACTGGCTCCAGCCGGGCAGCACGGCTGCCTGTCCTGATGCTCTGGGCGGTGCGTCTGCAGTGCTGCCAGCCACCGGTGCTCCAGGCAGCGCGGTAAGGGGGCAGGGAGCAGGGAGGGTTGGCTAGAGGGCAGGGAAGTTTGGGGTGGTGGTCAGGGGGCGGGGGTGTGGATAGGGGGTGGGGCAGTCAGAGGGCAGGGATCGGGGGGTTGAATGGGGGTAGGGGTCCCAGGGGGGCAGTCAGGAAAGAGAGTGGGGGTTGGATGGGGCGGCGGGGGGCAGTCAGGGGCAGGGGTTCCTGGGGCAGTCAGGGAGAAGGGGTGGTTGGATGGGGCAAGGGTCCCGGGGGACGGGGGACCGTCAGGAATGAGAGGAGGGGTTGGATGGTGTGGCGGGGGGCAGTCAGGGGCGGGAGGTCCGGGGGGCCATCAGGGGACCGGGAGGGATGGATGGGGCAGGGGTCCCGGGGTGGGCCGTCAGGGGACAGGGAACAGGGGGGTCAGATAGGGGGCGGGGGCCGGGCCAAGCCTGGTTCTTTGGGGAGGCACAGCCTCCCTTAACTGGCCCTCCATACAATTTCGGAAACCCGATGTGCCCCTCAGGCCAAAAAGTTTGCCCGCCCCTGATCTAAACGTTTTTTGACGGAAAAGGCCTTTACAATCAGATTTGAATCAGACTCACAAAACATTCCAGTTTCAAACAAGTTCACAATATTTGAGATATTTGATTTTGGTTGAAATTTTTTGATTTTTTTGAAAAACTTTTTGAAACAAAAATTTTGAATTGTTTCCAAAATGTCGGGTTTTTTCGGCGGGAACAGATGCACTTCTGTCATGTTTTTACTCCTTCCCCTGTTTCTTCCTGAGCATCTGCAATTGTCTGCCTGATGGTTTCCAGGTGGAGTTGAACGTACTAGTTTTGACCTATACAGCCTACACTACACTGGCTTGTGTCCTGCCTTCCTGAGAGACGCCTCTCTGGGCCACCCTGCCATGGCTGTTCTCAGCAGAGACCCCGCTGGCATTAAAGTGAGAGAGTTACCAGTACGCCATTCTCCAAGAGGCAATCTGCTTTGCCTCATTACATCCAAAATGGCCTAATTCCCCTGCAAAAGCCCATCTACTTGACAGGGCATTTGGGGAAGTGGGTAGTGTGGGATGGGGGATGTTCTGCTGATTTGATTTCTTGGCTGTAAGCTGATTTACTGTATTGTGTTGTGATGTTGGGTGGTTATTTTCCAGCAGCTGGTTGTCAGGGCACTTACAGTCTGTATGTGGGCATGTTTCTGGAGTTCAGTCTGCACCAATAAGTGAATAAATTGATGAAGATTTTAAGCAGCAAGGAAGGAGAAGCTCTGACTGATTATCCTGGGAATGGAGGGGTGAATGCAGAGCGCAGAGTTCACTGCCGCATTACCCCAGTGTTCTGCCAGTGTCACTCCACAGGTTTCAGGGATTGTAAGTAAGACCAAGGTCGCATAAGGAGGAACTGAGCCTGGCATCTTCAGAACCAAAGCTGGGAAAGGGGAGATCGAAGTGGTTGAAGGTTCATTCCAGGTTTATTAAAACTAGACAGGGTGGGATTTCTGTTTCTCCTAGTCTCCTGGGGAAGGATTGGATAGGACCCTTCTAGGAGCCAACTTGTGGAAAGCGTGGGCCCTGCTTCAGAAACTGGTTTCTGATTGGTTGAAGTAGTAGCTTATTTAAAAACAAACAAAAACCAAGATGGGCAGACCCAGACGTTAGGTAGAGAGACAAGGGCCTTGTTACTGTGGTTTGTGATTTTGGATTCGTGGCCAATAGGAAGATGAAAAGTTTGTGGGCTCATCTCTCAACAATCATGCACCCCACATTAGGGTGCGGTTCCCGAGGCCAGCAGGCTTCTGTCTGTGCTAACAGAGATCATAGGGCTCTGAACTGGGCCCAGAGGTTGGTACCGTTTCTGGGGCACATTCAAAGGCTGGCTTTTTTTACCAGAATGGGGGAACTTGGAACCATTTCAGAGAAATGACAGTGTCAGTCAGTTAGGCTGGTCACTCAGTATTTGGACTGGCTACATTGACCCCACAGCAGATCCACTGGCTGTATTGTTCTGCCTGGGTACTATTCTTCTTCCTCTCACCCCTCCCAGGATTGTACAGATTCCATGTGGCAATCTGAGCAAGTGCTAGGCATCTAGTGTATTGTTCTTCGTGTAAAAAAGCAGTCAAGCATTTTAATAGGCTGCTATTTACACATCTACCTTCTCAGGAAACACAATGAGCGGCAACTCCGCCATAAAGCCAAGCTCCGCAGAGCCAAGGAGACATTTGTTCATGAAGTGAAGCAAAGAGATGTGAGGATTAAACAGCTTGAAAGTGAAATTGTGCTGTCCAGGAGCCAGACGGGAAAGGTGAGGAAGCAGATGACAGAGATTTCCACTGTGGGGCCGCTGCTCCAGGAGGGTCCCAAAACAGAAGCTGCCCTAGCAGGGTCACTGGCATGCATGCTTTAGGAACTTTGCATGGCCCAACTGTTCGGATGGAGGCTTAGCTCATGTCAGGCATTGTGCTCATGTGCGGTTCAGGAATCTGGGAGCCAGCATGGGCAGCTAAGAGGACAGCAGAGCCCATACCATATAAACCTCTGTGAATAACTTGCCCCCCCGAACTAGACATAGGCTCCAGTCCTCACCGAGGCAAACAGGTTCACACAAAGGGATTGTCTAGACCAAGCTTGTTCGGCGTTATGATGAGCCCACAAAAGGACAGTGTTTGGGAAGCGAAGTCACCTCGTGTTTGAACCACCCAGCCCAGTGCTTAACTTGTAATGAAATAGGTGCCAGGGTTCAAGCAATTTCTTTACATCCATAACCGACATGGCAGGCCCAGAGGTGCCGGGACTATGACCTGCCAAGCCGAGAGGTGCCAGGGGCACAAATTAAGCCCTGCTCCTGCCTTCCAAGCTTTTTGCTGCTGCATTTGCCTCAAACTTTCCAGAAAAGCGCTACGCAGGCATACAATCCAACACGAAATGTCAGACAGATCGGTTCAGTGTGGATAAAGTCGGGGAGGTAAAAATCAGGCTAATCAAGCTATGCTTGTGTAAGCCTGAGCAATGGAGAGAGACAAGCATATCTCAGTGCTTAGGAGACAGAGGCTTCCTGGGTACCATAGATCAGTGGTTCCCTGTCTGGTTTTGGAGGAGCCCCAGTCAGTGGCTTGGCAGGTTGGTGACCCCTACCGTATCATGCCGTACCCTAATACAGTTGTCATCATCTTGCTTTCTTTCCACTGTTTTTCTCCATCTTTTCTGTCTCTATTCTCCTTTTATTCTTTTTTTGTGCTTTAGAATTCTTCCCTATTGCCCATTTCCCCAGCAGGCCAAGTGCGGCTTGAGAGGGCTCATTTGGGCAGGGCTGCATGCACTCTTTCAGTTGAGTATAGTGCCGCAAGAGCAGAGCATCAGCCAAAGCTTGCAGCCCCATGCACAGCTGAGCACATGAGGGGCTGCTGCAGTAGTAGGGGTGAGTGATGTCTAAGGATTGTTTTAGTGAGGTGGGACAGATGTAGGCTGAGCAGCTTTCTCTTCCCGCTCCTACCTGCTCCTCTGGGGTGCCTCTTGTGCCTTCAGTTAGCCTGAGGTGCCCACCTTAGGAAACATACCTCAGATGAGGTTCCATTTACAAATTCTCTTAACATACAGGTCACCCTAGTTTCTGGTGTTCCTGTCTCCACTGAGCACATTGCGGTTGCACCAGGAACAGATTTGGCCTGTCGCATTAACTGATGTATTTTGTGTATTAGAAATCCTTTATTTTAAGGAAATGCAATTCCCTATTATTTAACAAACCCAAACTGCCCATGTGCAGAGAACCCTTCTCTTGCGGTGGGCCTACCAGAGGAGGGCAGTGGTGATTTTACTGTGACTGGTGCTGCCCAGTAACTCACTGTTGCCTGGCCACAGCAGAAGTTCCTGGAATACCCAGTATTACTTACTGAGACTGAGGTTTTCTGAATTAATTTGCCCTTTTCTGCAAAAACACAGGTGCCTTGGGGAGAACTCTATGACTGGGACATGTGTGGGATTGTCTCACGTCTGCTTCTGATGGTGTCAAACATTCTTTCCACCTGTCCATCTGAAATGCCATTGGACAGGTGCAACTACACAGCCCTTTCCAGGCCACATAACATCAAAGACAATACATATTTTATAATCAGACCCCGGATGGTGACCTCCTTTACACAGCACTTCGAGATCTGTGGATGAAAAGTGCTATATCAAAGCTTATTGTTTCATCCTGTTTTCTTAACCACAGGAACATGCATTGATCAGACAGATCACCACGGAGAATGAGAATTTGCTCCAAGAGAAAAGAGAACTCTTACAGCAGCTTAATGAACAGGAAGAAATTGGACAGAACAACAAATGGATCATTTCCACAATCCAGAACAGGTAGCCATTAATGCTGTTACAGAGAGCGCTCCTGGGCCAGAGTTCAAAGTTAGCCCTTTTCTCCCATTCTGTGCAGCGTCACTCCAATGAAATCCTCGTTCTGTGCATGGATACAACTAGGGGAACGCAGTGATGAGGCAGGCAGCTGCTCTTCATGCCTAAAGGATGTACTCAGGCCACTACACGGGAATAGCTGCTTTGAAATGGCCCTGCCTCTGCTGCTGCATGGAACATGACTCGGTGTAAAACTGCAGGGGCAATATGTTTGAAGGGTTTAAAGGGTTGTTTGAGTTTCTCAGCAGAGAGATTGAGAGGAAATGCCCCTTTGAAAACAGAAAATGGTTAGGGTGAAGATTCATGTGCAGAAAATAAACTGTGCCCTTTCTGTGTGACCTTCTCAGAGTGCAGTTCCTGGATGAAGAAAACAAGCGACTCCAGGAAAGCACCCTGCAGCTTTCCGGTCAGGTTGGCATTCTGGAGCGCACTCTGAGGAACATCCACACCCACAACTTAGAGGTGAGATGTGCTGCTTTTCTCCAAAAATGGGCACATCTGAGGAATTTCTCCCTAGTTCCTACCAATGTACCTCAGCTTTAACCTGGAAAAACCTCTTCTAGACTCCACAGGAATTTTTGGTACATATGTCCGTACAGGACCAGACTTTCAAAAGTGAGTAGTACCCACTGCCAGAAGGGGAGGTGTATTGTTAGTGGCCCAGTTCCCTAGGCATTGGACTGAGTCCCACCAACTCATTTCATAAATGACACCCCCCAGAGATTGGCTGGTAATGTCACTCTTGATTAGCTGAATTGGAGCCAGTGGCCTAAATGTGCAAGGCTTTGTGGTTCATTTCCAGTCTGCTGACACAGCCAGTGCCCGTGTCTGTTGTGTTATTAGGCCACCTGTCATCGTGACAAAGGTATCACTTTTTCTTACCTTTGTTCTTTTTTGTTTTTCAGTCATTAAAAATATCCCAGTGACGTGTAAGGTCGGGAACCAGGAAAATTTTTTTAAAAGTGGGTAATTTTAGATATTTTACACAAATGACCCCAAAGTGTCAAACATGGGAGCCTAAATCCCTACCTTGGCATCTGAAGAGGTGTCCTGATTTGCAAAGGTGCTGAGCACTCCCATTTCCCCTTGCATGGACTCAGGACCTCTGAGAATCAAGCCATTTATTTGACTGGGATTTTCAAAGTTTAAATCAAATAGGAATTGAGTGCTTAACTCCCTTAGAGACCTTTGAAAATCACAGCCTAAGGGCCTCAATATATCTGAGCCATGTCTACACTATAGAGCCTATATCAGCATAGCCCCCTAGTGTAGATGCAGAACAGGCTGACAGAAGAGTTTTTCTGCCGACACAGCTACACCACCTCCCCAGACGGTTAGCCCGGTTGACAGAAGTTGGCACAGTAGTGTCTCCATTAGCGGTTTTGCCAGCATAGCTATGTCAGGGCGGGGTGCTCGCAGCCCTGCTGCCCAGAGTGCAGGCAGCATGGCGAGCTGAGGCTGCGGGGGAGGAGGGACAGCAGGGGAGGGACCAGAGGCTAGTCTCCCCAGCCGGAAGCTCAAGGGCCGGGCAGGACGGTCCTGCGGGCCGGATGTGGCCTGCAGGCCGTAGTTTGCCCACCTCTGGCTCATGCCCTTGCATTGAACTGTTGTTGTTAGGAAAAAACCCATCCTATAAATAACATCCCTCACACCCCACCAACACACACAAAACATATGTCCCCTTGAGGTGTTTCATCTCTTTGGACTTCTCTGTGTCTGTGATTCCTCGTGTTCTCTCTATAAATGTTATATTAAAACCTTCTTTGTCTCTCTAGTTTGTGAATGATGCACTTGCAAGCATTGATTGCCTAGAGCATCCTTCCTACCTTGGATCTGTTGTTTATTTTTCTGGTTCTCTTTCTAGGACATCAGGAGCATTGGCTTCTCTGAATGCCAGCTGCTAAGTAAGATGTTGCCACGTCCAAACACAAGGTATTATAAGTAAAAACATACAGGCAGTTTGTCTACTTACTAATAGTGAGACTAGTCAGTGTATGGGGAGAAGAAAGCTGTGAATTCTTGTTTTGCAAACACGTGCTCCACCCTTTCTTTTATTCAGAGATGTGTTTTAGTCATGCTGTGGGGAAAAAACAGTAATAAAACAATTATATAAAAGCACATGGTACACAGAAGTAAAACTCCAGAAATACATTTTCCAGCTCCACATGATTTATGGGTGGTCGTTTAAGTGATAACATAATCGTACAAGACTAAAGATGCACTGTCAGCTACATACACAGTGGAGTTTCAAAATCTTTATCCCTTGGCCCATGCATGCACAGCTCTTTTTAAGAGATACTAGAATAGATAATAAAATAATTTGAATGAAACCAGAAGACAGCTGGTCTGTGCCATCTAAGCTCACATTTAAATCACTAAGTGTAATACTGATGGATAACATTCCTCAATTGTTATAGTTTTCTTCGCCAAGCTCAGGAGTACATGGTGCAAATTAATGTCACTGGATTCTGTTGCATCCGATGAAGTGAGCTGTAGCTCACGAAAGCTCATGCTCAAATAAATTGGTTAGTCTCTAAGGTGCCACAAGTCCTCCTTTTCTTTTTGCGGATACAGACTAACACGGCTGCTACTCTGAAACCAGTTATTTCACTGTTACTCTTGTGCCCCACAGATGGTGCTAAAACTTAGGGTTCTTCTTCGAGTGCTTGCTCATATCAATGCCAATTAGGTGTGAGTGCGCTGTGTGCATGGCCATTGGAGAATTCTTTAGCCTAGCAACATCTGGTGGGTTAGCTGTGGAGCCCTCTGGAGTGGCACCTTCATGGCACTCGATATATACTCCAGCCGACCCAGTGCCTTCTCAGTTCCTTCTTACTGCCCATGACAGTCATTGGAACTGTGGAGTCCTGCTTCACTGCTCTCCACTCTCCCTAGCATATACCTCATAGTTTAGTTAATAGTTATAGTTAGATAGTTATAGTTGTTCGTGTTAGTGGGGTTGGGGGGGTCCCTGATTTTTCTCTTTGGCTCATGCCCAAGGCTCCGGGATTTAAGCCCTGCGGTTCCTGCTCTAATCCCATGCCAACGGGCGACCCCCATGAAGTGTCTGGGGGAGTCTCATCAAGCAGAGAAGTGCAGGATCTGTGAAGGGTTTAGTCCCTGGACTAAGAAGGAGCGGGACTTTTGTTTAAAGCAGCTCTTCATGGAGGCGGCTCTTAGCCCTCAGCCTCCTGTGGTGCTCCAAGATCTGGCACTGAGCACCTCGGTGTGCAGCGCCCTGGCGTTAGCGGTAGGACTTGCACCGCGGTTGGACTCTGACAGAGACCTGTGGCACCGACGCTCCCCGGCACCGCAACCAACATCATCGGCCCAGCCGATGCTCCCATTCTCCTGGCCAGAAGCGGCACCGGAAGCTGGAAGAGGCTGACCCACCTCCAGCTTCCCTGGAACCACCTGCGGAGACGCATCCCGCAGGGGAGCATCTAGGGGCACAATCTACGGCTTCGGCACCATTGACTCCGGCCCCCAGGGGAGAACCGTTGAGTCCGGTGCCCCTGGACTCCCCGACACAGAGCATGGTTGAGGTCCAGTTGCCGTCCACCCCGGATACCTTTGCAGCTGCAAGGGATCTTATTGCCATGAAGGCATCGGCATCCCCTCAGCCTCATGCCAAGGCACTGGTGCCTGTACGTGCGGCACCATCCCGGGGCAAGCTGGCCCTAATCCACCCCTCAGCACCGTTGGTCAAGCCGCGGCACCAATCCCGTTCTTGGCACTTTTCCCGCTCCCGACGCCACTCACAGTCCCGGCACCACTTTCCCTTGCAGCACCGCTCCGACTCCTGGCACCGGTCCCGGTCACGCCACCGGTCTGCCCGCCGGCTGCCATCCAGGAGCAGATCCCGGACCCGAGACTGCTCTCGACGCCGGTCATCATCTTGGCCCAGGTCCAGATCCAGGTGCCGTTCCAGATACCGGTCCAGGTCCCGGCATTGCCCCCCTGCGTTGCGACACCACTCCCAATCGCCTCATCAGCGTGCCTCAGCGCAGATCCGCTCAGCACCACCATGGCCCTCACATTCCACTTCTCATTCTTCGGGATCAGAGGCGGGGTCACGTTTCTCGGAATGCCGCCATTTGGACCGTAGCCACCTGGAGTCAGGGGCTGGGCATTGGCAGGAGCAGGAGCAGGGTCTCGCTCAAGGGCCCACTCAATGGCAATTCTGGACGCTCTGGGTGTACCACCAGGCCCAGGGTGCTCCTTCTGGATCAGCTTCTTGATCAGCCCCATCTGAGCCACGAGTGCCAGAGGCTACCGCCAGGGGGCATGGAGACTGTGGCAGCTTCTCTCCCTGCTTCAGGACCTCCTCCGACACCAGTTCCTGGTCCGGGCACTGAGGTCGCTGACACAGGACAGCTGGGCCCAGCTCCGCAAGAGGCCCTAGATGACCCTCTTCTCCCCCGTGGCCTCCTCCTCCCCGACGAGGCGGTGGCAGGCACTGCAGTCTCGGGTCCCCCTCCGATAGACCTCCATGCCCACCAAGAGCTCCTGCACAGGGTGGCACAGAATATGAACCTGCAGGCGGAGGAGGTGGTGGAGGTGGAGGACCCTGTGGTAGATATTCTGTCTGCCGAAGCTCCATCAAGGGTGGCCCTACCCCTTATTCGGACCACCCAAACCACCGCCAGAACAATCTGGCAAACACCTGCATCCATTCCCCCAACTGCTAAGGGAGTGGAGCGGAAATACTTTGTCCCAGTGGCGTAGCTGGGGGGGAGCGGGACAGTGGCCGCTCCCCCTCTGAGCACAAGTGGCGCCTCGTCAATGTCTTGGTGCCTTTTAAATTTTCCCCTGTGGAGGGAACAGGGGGAGCGATCCAGAGAAAAAGGTGCCACCCGCTGCGGCGCGTTTACTCCCCCGGCGGCCGCCCCCACTCGCTCTGGGTGTCTTCGGCAGCACTGAAGGTCCCGCCGCCGAAGACCCGGAGCGCCGCCGGGGGAGTAAAAGCGCCGCAGCGGGTGGCACCTTTTTCTCTGGATCGCTCCCCCTGTTCCCTCCACCTGGCTGTGCGGCTGCTTTGTCCCCTCGAAGGGATAGGATTATCTGTTCACACACCCACAGCCCTCTTCGCTTGTGGTGGCATCAGTGAACGAAAAAGAATGGCATGGCCAGCAGGCCCAATTGCGCTCAGTGTAGCATGTATGATTACCTGCCCTGTGGGCGGGTGGCGTATGTGTGCATTCGGTGCAAGGAGCTCCTGGCCCTCAGAGACTGTGTACGGGCTTTGGAGGCCAGGGTGGCAGAACTGGAGGAGCTAAGGGAGGCAGAGAGGTGTGTTGATGAGGCTTTCCAGGACACTGTAGATTTGTCCCACCTCTGGTCAGACAGCCCCTGCGCTGTTAAGGAGGATGAAAGGCCCAGAGGAGAGCAGTGTGACGGGGTTGGGACTCACCACCATAGCGCCTCTTGTTGGTAACTCTGGGAATTAGCTCAGTCCATGTGGAGCGCCCTCCGCTGGTGGTGTCCCGTCCATCTCTCGCCCTCTGTTGGCGTCTGGACCCGCGTTGCTCCCTTCTCGCGGCGTCCTCTTCAGGACACTGCCCTCCGGCAGTGCCCCCTAGTCCACCTTCACCCCCTTCCAGGGGGGTTAACAGCAGTCTTTCTGCTTCGCCCCAGCCACAGTGGCCAACCACACCCCCAAAGTCTAACCCCCTTCTGTCAGGGGTCGGGTGCAGTCCGCTATGGCCACTTCTAACGGCCGGGTGTAATACAAGGGGGAAGGGGGGGGACCCAGGCCCACCCCCTACTCTGGGTCCCGGCCCAGGGACCCTCTGGCAGCAGCCTCCCTGCCCTCCTTCGCTTCCCTTTGGCCCCTTTGCACCTTGTGGGCCCTTCTATCAGGGCCTGCAGCCTGGCAGGTACCAGGCTGGAGTTCCCTTCTGCTCCCTCGAGCCTGCCCAGCACTGCGGTGTCCCAGGTGCTGGTCTCCTCGCTCAGGAGACAGACCTTCCCCTTTGAAGGTCTGGGAGAGACTGACTGCGTCTTGCCTGGGCAGCCTTTATATAGGGCCTAGCCTGGCCCTGATTGACTGCCTCCTGCTCAGCCCTGATTGGCTCTCTAACAGGCCCTCCCTGATTGGCTGCCGCGGTGCGCAGCCGGTCTAGCCTGCTGTAGCCCAATCTGGCATGGGAATGCGGCCGCCGCCCCATTACAAGCAGTCAACCGGAACAGAGAGAAACTTTCCCATAGTTGGGACCCTCCTTCCAGATGATGCTGGGGTATCCTCTCGCACTGAGGTTACCTCTCCGGGCGAGGGAACTCCAGTCATTAGGAAAAGGCAGGTGTTAGTAATGGGAGAGTCGATCATTAGAAACATAGATAGCTGGGTTTGTGATGACAGGGAGAACCATATGGTGACTTGCCTGCCTGGTGTGAAGGTTGCGGATCTCTCGAGGCATCTAGATAGACTTATGTGTAGTGCTGGGGAGGAGCCAGGGGTCGTGGTACATGTAGGTACCAATGACGTAGGGAAGGGTTGGAGAGACATCCTGGAGGTCAAATTTAGGCTGCTAGGAAAGAGACTGAAATCCAGGACCTCCATGGTGGCATTCTCAGAAATGCTTCCAGTTCCAGGCGCAGGGCCAGGTGGGCAGGCAGAGCTTCAGAGTCTCAATGCGTGGATGAGACGATGGTGTAGCGAGGAGGGGTTTAGATTTGTTAGGAACTGAGGAAATTTTGGGGTTAGGGGCAGCCTATACAGGAAAGATCCAGGCTGCTGGCACTAAACATTAAAAAGATTGCAGAGCAGTTTTTAAACTAAGAGATGAGGAAAGCCGATCGCTGCAGAGGCACACCTGGATCGGACAGAGACTTCTCTTAGAGGAGAGTCTAGTGATAGAGATTCTCCAGGTTTTAGTCAGGAAGAGAGGAGGAAAGAGGACAAAATATGGGCCAGATCAGACGAGAAACAT